GATCCTCCCAGCAATAGTCATTCCCACCGCAACCGGGAGAACGTACCTGGCAACGTCTAGCTCCCAAAACGCAGGACAAACAACGGACCAAATTGCAACAGGAACTGCAACGGACCACCGGGCCGGCCCGTCACCCATCACAATGGGCATTGTCCGGCGGTTCTTGGCACGGTCTCCTTCCACGTCCTTGATATCTTGAATATGCATCGTCGTGCCGATCACGGCACTGGTGACCCAGATCCACCGCCATGCTCTAGGGAGTATATCGAATCCAGTTCCGGTCGCAACACGTAATGATCCCTTGTTGTATTGGCTGAACGCGAGGGCAAGAAGGACATTCCGTAGAATGAACCCGTCGTCACCACCGCTGAGGTCATTGTATACCCAGTTAAGGGTGTAAAGGAGAGCAGTCTCCTCCCATGCACCTAGATACACGCTGGATGCGAGCACCATTGGAATTGCAAGTAGAAGCAACCGGCGAGTCTGCAGGATGCTGATCCGACCTGCCGGTAGTGGTCTCCAGGGTCGGTTGATCTTATCTTCTGCCACGGAGTCCGGGTGCCTTTGATTCGCCAGGTTAAACACAAACAGGTTTAGCCAGTTCCAGAGCATGACAATGGGTATCCGACTAACGACTGAGAGTAAGTCCGGAGTGTTATCGTCCGTCAGAAGCGGCCCGGAAAGAGCGGCGCATATCCCGAATGCTGTTTCAGGTATGACAAATGTGGTAAAGTCATCCGCGGTAAATAGCCAGATAGTCAAGACAAGGTCCTTCCAGGACCATTCTTCCTATACACTTGTGAGCCTTCTGGAAACATGAGTAATAGCAATGTTCACTCACTTTGTAAGCCCTTGTATTGTTTGGTCTTGTCTTTACGACATCGCTTTCAAGCAAAGCACCTGCAGCGCCGAGTAAATAAGTGCAAAACTCGTAGAAGCAAGTAAAATCAACAAGTTCCAGTTTCCTCTGCATTTTAGATTTTATTCTGCTTACGCAGTATAGAGATGTCTGCGTCGGTGTTTGAAAAGTATTCTTCAGAAGGCTCCCAGTCTTGGGTGCTTAGCACCCTTATATTCGTGGAACCATATCAGGTCAACCTTCTAGTGGGCACTGAAAAGATTGTGAGTATCCCGGAAATCTCAGGGTCGCTTTTTCAGCTCTTGTCTGCGGAATTTTTGCAGTGGCTGGCTGTATCAATCTCTAGCTAGACCTATCGGTAAAGCCGGAGAGTTGTTGTGGAAGACAAGGCTAAGCAAAAGACGAGGTTTTGGTTGTCCTTGCCGATGACGCTCTCTTGATACAAGTCGTGGCCGAACCGTTGCAGAGCTGAATAACGCCACACATGCTCTTGTCAGACGGGTGGACAGTAGCGCCGAGGCGATTTCTTCAGACTGTCAGATAAATCTCATCTGTGAAGTTAGCTGAAACCCCCGGGCCTAGTTGTCTGCGCCGGCTGGTGCAAAAGCCAAGGTCCCAAGAACAGATGTGGTCATTCCAGCCGATAGACGAGAGCTGACAATAGGACAAGAGTGTCAGCACTAGCGTTCTGATGCCTGACGAGATAAATCACATATTCGGCCTGAATGAAGCAGTGACCTGTGAAAAATATGTGTAGCACACAATTCAACATACAGAGTTCAGTTATAACATCGCCAGCCAACCAACTTTTAGCCGTCGCACCAAAGGCACCTTCATCTTCGACGCTTGCGCCAGGCTTGTGCCTTTCCGCTCCCTCAGCAGTAGTCCAATATCCATATAGCTCGCCACGGTTGCCCGCAATGGCTCTCTTACGCCCCGAGGTAGCTCCTCCATCGCCCCTCGGCTGACCTGATAATATTCATCTGCTTTCTGCAGCATTCTCTCCTGTAGATCATACGTGACTGGGGAGTTAGGACATTGTAATACATCTCCCGGAGTTAGGCCCACTTCGCCCAACCATGTTGTAGGAATGTATACTCGTCCGATTGCTGCATCGCGATGGATATCACGTGCAATATTGATACATTGCATGGCTTTCCCCATATCCTTGGCCGCTCGCCTCAATCGCGGTACATCCTGGATAAAGTAATGACCGCAATGGAATAAGGTAAGGTCGAAGACCAGTACACCGACAGTGCCAGCTACAAATCCTGCGTATTGGTCTAGACAATACTCCGACTGGATCGGGAAAGCTTCTCTCTGGGGATTAAATTTGAGGTCGATCTCAAACCCTTTTAAAAGATCATCAAAAGAGTCATTAGATAGATGTGAGGGAGGAAGGTAGCTGATAGATTGACGTAGTCTTTCATGTTCCTCCCCCTTTTTACCAGTGTAAAAGTGGTCGGAATGTGGTTCACTGCGATGGGTTGAATCTAGGAGATGCCTGCACTCTGTAACCCAAAATCTGGCCTCCTGTTCATCCTCGGCTTCGTCAATGAGATCATCCATGACGCGGCAGAAGGAGTACCTATGCATGTCAGAACAATGAAGCACGTTTGGACTAAGGGGTAATACAGGAATATCAGATCAATGCGCAGCTGACCCTGGAATAATGCGCTGCCGAGAAACATGCTCTGACTCTTCTCTTGCAGACGATATACAGCCTGGGACAATGCAGATATGAGAGATGCGTCAATTGGAAGCGGCCTGGCCAATAAGGACAGTGCTTTTCTTAATGTAATGTAGACGTCTGACGCTGGCTGTGATAGGGATTCGTATTCTTGAAGAGCGTATGCGTAGTCACACCCAACCAGTCCTAACACGACCATCATATTGCTCACCAGAAAGAAGAGCGCTTCTCTGCTACTGTTAGATCCGACGTCTAATAATGCACCGGTGGGCCTGACTGACTCAAGTTCTAGACCTCCGATACGAAAGTTCAATTTTGTGCCCTCCTCGATCCTCCAAGTCCCGGTACCCATAGCACGTGAATCTGCAAACCAGAGGTGTAGCGTGGGGAGGCAGATTGAGGTGATTGTTGGTTTCCAGGGAAGTTCGGATAGAAAAGGGTAAGACATCATCCTGTGTTCTCGCATGAGCACCTCAATGGATTCACGCGTAGACCAAACATACCACTGGAATAGCAGGATAGGACACGCCCACACAAGAATCAGGCCTAGGTAAGTCATACGCCGTCCCAACAGCAGGCACGCTGTCCCACCACCCATCAATGCCAAAATGACAGTTGCTACCACATATCTTGTTCCACGTCTCTCCAGATGTGACCGAAGGTACATGGGTCGCACAAGCGGCTTAGTGAAGATACAGTATGTCAAGCTCGTGATGTATGTCTGTATGGCGAAAAAGAAAACCTCTTCAATCGGAATATCAAGTATCTTGAGGCCGACTACTGCGTCTGGCGGATAAGTCCAGATAGCGGACCGTATGAGGTAGGAATCCCACGGGAGCGTCGCGAGTATGGCAATCTGTCATTCCCGGTCATATCAACTGAAGTTGTCCTTGCCGCAGGGTAAAATTGGTGTACCGTAATTAGGATGCATATCTTGCATCGATCTTGTGCAGTGAAGAATGGATAGTACAGCACTGTCAGTGCCGACGCTGCAGGGATGGTATAAGTGCAATGACTGCTTGCGCGCTTATAGTTAGCAGGTGCAGAAACAAAGCTTGTAGGAGGTACCTCTCTTACAGAATAACATAGTCGAGTCCCATTTTGATTCATGGTTATCTCTCATTCCCTTATGGCGACTACTGAGCTTATGGAACATATATCAGTCAAAGGGCGTTCAGTCCTCTCTGCAAGGTTTAGCCGAATCCTGTTTTCCTACCCCAGCTTCCGGAAAGGGACCATCTGCGGATGCGTCTCTGCTTTATGAACGTTGGAAAGTTTGCTCTGGGATGCTCATTGCCACCCATAAAACAGGGTAGAATTGAGAATGGCTAGTTAAGTTAATGCTAAGTAGTTCAGAAACTGTCCACCTGTCGTCAATCATATAAGGAAATGTCCTCACTGGGTATCCGATCGACAGACCAGGGAGGCTCTGACGTACTCTGACCTCATGACAGGAGTAAGCTGACCGGGTAGTGAGCAATGCATGAAATAATGACCAGCTGCTCTTTTTCAACGTTATTGAGCTGTGGCGACAAAGCACGGGATTGACGCGACGAACGCATGAGTGGAAAATAGTAGTAAGTATGAAGCTGCAGTGGGAGAGCCAATTAGGGAAAAGGGGATGGGTTACGTTATCGGAGTAGATGAGGGAACTCCCCCACCCTTGACAGTTGGGTGGGTATGTTTTCATTCTCCAAATCAACACAGTCTGACTGAAGTGACTGCTCAATGCAAATGTCTCTAATATGCAATGCCCCGAACGCTTATCACTTTATAACATCACATTCAGATAAAACATTACCAAGCAAGCTCTGATCGGGCCATGCAACTGGCCGCTTCCAGCTGAGAACAGAACCTCTCCTCCTCTGCCAGCTTCCCTGTCCTCATCTCCCCAGTCACTTTGGGAACAGCTGGCCAGATTTCTTCCCCGCCTTGCTCCTCTTCTTTTCGCCGGTGCTCCATGACCATTGTCTTGACATGGTCTTGAAAATGGATGGGTCCCTGCTCACAATTAGCGCTTGCTAATTTTACACCTGTCTGGACAGTGTCATAAATACCTTTTCCTTGTCCGGGTGGAGTTCGCCGTTGATGAACACCCCCGCGCTCAGATTTTCTTGCGCTCCAACACAGAGGTCCCGATCTTCGTCTAAGACCTGTCGGTAAAACGCGTTGATATTGGCGAATTCCTCGTCGGTGGCATCTCTGTGTCGATATACTTCGTTTTCGATCTTGCTCATTGTCGCGCTAACTGGGATCATGCGTTGAATATAGAAGAATTTGTCCCTGCTTGTGTCAATTGACCATCGACCTTCCCTTTCGGATACAAACTTACGTGACTGTGACCGACGTCGTCGGGTAAAAGTACGTGATTGATCGTCGGAACTGCGCATCAATATTGTCCTTGTTGAAGATATGATGCTCCATGTACCTCGCCTTGGGCTCGACCCGGTACCGAGGGAGATCCGACACTCCATTGATCAGTGGATGTGAGGTCGCGCAGTGATAACATTCATTGTAGTTCTCAATCAGAAGCTTCCAGTTCGCCTCCACGTCCATCTCCCAATAATGGTCAAAAGTGTATTCCCCGTCAAAGTCAAAGTCTTGCATCCGCGGCTGCTCATCGATCTTTTGGAAGTCATCCTCCCACTTGACCTCCGGGTCCCCGGCTTCTAGATTCACCCAGACGAAGCCCGCTTTATCAATATGTACATGGATTGGGAGGAGTCCGTGCTGACTTTTGTCGAAGTTTGATACAGTCTCGAAGCGAGGTGCCTTCGATAGGTTGCCCTTCAGTCCGTAGGACCAGCCATGATATTTGCAGCTGAGGATCGAGGTGGCCCCAGACCGAGCTTGGACAACTGGGTATGCGCGATGTCGACAAATGTTGTGAAATCCATTGATGCTACCTTCGCGGTCCCGAGTTAGAAAGAAGGAGAAATTGGAGATGGTAAAGGAAAGGAAGTCGCCGGGTTTGGTTAGTCGGCTAGAATGTGTGAGTAGCATCCAACGCTTGGAGAAGATGGCTCGTCGCTCCAGCTGATACATGGCATCGGAGCGATACCATGACCCCGGAAGGCTCCGAGGCGGAGAGCTTTTCTCGGAAGTGTTGGATGACCGGCCAAGTAGTCGCCACATGCTGTCGGACGAGAGAAAATTGTTCGGGCAGCTCGGAGGAGCTCTGATTGTCGCTGTTTCTATATAATGGAGAAGTGCTGGTAAGTGGGGTCTCGGCTTCGGCGTTGCAGCATCAGAGATGGGGGCGTTGGGAGCTCGTCCGAGGACACCACTGATAAGCCATTGGATAAGGATCATCGGCTTATCTATCATATCTTTCTGCTGCCACGATGGCTGTCAACCAACTGAGAGAAACGATAGAATAACATGGGTGCTTATCCTGTTTCACTTGCTAGTCGCTGCTGCATATCGCCACATTGGGCCACAGACGGGATTTTTCGATACAATTCAAACAATCAACCATGTCTATCTTTGGTGAGTGCCAAAGGGTCCTGTCTATATTATGCTATTTATTACATGTATAAGTCGTTCAAGTCATTTTTATGCGACTCACATCGTCCTGTCCCAACGACCAGAGTCTTCTCTTCTCTTCTTTTTCCGGCTGGCGGGATAGCCACCAACTCAACTCATATTTTGCTCGTATTCCGCATTTTCCTGAGCAAGAACGTCGCTGCTCCGATCAAAACTGACCCTAATATCCCACAGCAAGCACCAAAAAGCTGCAACCCTGAGTAATCCGTGTAATTTTGCTTTTCGAGTATGGCTCCCATGATCGGCAACCCGGTCAGGCAGCTGCCAAAGTTAGCAACCGGTAAATTTGACTTGCTTAAAGGTCTGATACTCACCTTACTGACATGATTAGCTGAAATGTTCCAAATCGCTGACCCAGGGTTTGCAGATCTCCCACTTTGGCAACACATGGCATCATAAGGGAGACAACCGCGCCACTGACGAAGCCATAGACCGCCGAGAAGACGATAATGCCCGCATGTGAAGGGTGGTAGTTGAAAGGAAGCCAAAGACAGAGCATTGACACTCCAGTACCGAAGCAGCAGAGTGTCAGGACGTTGAAGTGACCAAACACGTCTGCTAGCTGAGGAGGGATGAGACGTCCGAAGATGGAGGCGGCACTGAAGTCCACAGGAGTCAGCCATCATAGATGCGAGGAAAGGTTTTGCGCAACCTTACTTGATGATAGAAATCAGGTAGAGAGCAAGAGTCGACGAAAATCCCGCGTTCTCTGCCATGCTGGAAATATAGTCGAAAGGGGCCCAGAGACCCCACCTGTCACTGTCAGTGGATGGGTAAGGCCATTGATAGGAACGAATGACGAACATGATGAAAAATGCGCCAGCGGTGTACAATCCAAATGCGGTATCCTTCAGCAGAGTCAGGTCGACCCACGCTGCTTTACCGTTCCACTCTTTGCGCGGAAGACGGCTGCGGATCAGTAGGCAGGCTATTGCCAGCATAATTCCGACGAATAGCGCTGTATACCGAACGGCACCATAGAAGCCGATGTCATTGATGACCCGGTCAAGGAATATGGGAAAGATAACACCCCCAAGTGAACTTCCCGATACCGCAATGCCAGTTGCAAGGCCTCGGCGGCGAACGAACCATTGGCCGACGCAAATCATGGCCGAAGTGAAAACACCACCGGCTCCGATGCCGAAGCAGAGGCCTTGCGCAAGGAATATTTGATAGTACTCGTGCGCCAGGCTAGTCATACAAAGTCCTAGCACACAGAGAATGCTGCATGGCCAGAGGACCGGGATCGGGCCATAAGTGTCAATCATGCGGCCCCATAGCGGTCCCGGCGCCCACATGAGGGCCAGCTGCACGGCGAAAATCCATGATATGTCGGACGCGTCGTAATCTTTGAGCGACGTCTGTTGATATGTTGTTTGGAAGACTCCGATACTGTGATAAGGTCAGTATGAAGTAGGTGGGCAAATTCACCCAGGCTATACATACGCATTCAGGAACCCAAAGGAGGAGAATAGGGCGCAAAAGCTTCCGGCCACCGTCAGCCAGCCCTTGACCCCTTCTTCGGGCGGGATGGTTGGCTCCTCTACCGGCTGGTTCTTAGGCTCAGACATGGTTTGTCTTGCCCAGAACTCTCAAGCAGATATTCCCTCCAATATATGTAGAGCCCTTGTCAAATATTTGAAGATGCATGAAGCGAATGACAAATTCTGGAGGGAAAAGCCTCCACAGGGTCCCTCCGGACAGCGATTCGGTCTACGACTGGCTAAGTCCGACCGAATAAAAGCGGGCGCTAAGATAAGTATCTGGGTTTCGATGAGAAGCTTCGCCTCGGACCCTCGGCTCTCGTTATGTCCGATGGGGCGAACACGACAAGGATTTGGCTCACCAGGGTCGCGCTAATTATGCGAACGCTTGTCGCTTTGGGCATGAAATTGACCGTGTCATCGCAGTGGCAGAATGCCATCTGACCCGTTCAATCTTCAATAAAAGAAAATACATATGCTGTGGACATTGGTCGGACGATGAGCTGGAGCCAAATGACAGCAACCAGGAGCATTCAACTGGTAGTCTTTTTTCTTCCGCTCGCGACCTGCTGGATCCCACAAAGCGGCTGCGAGCAAGCTACACCAGGGAACCCTGGCCGGAGGACTCTCGAACCCATTATTGGGATGATGCCGGCCCACATGGCTCCACTGTGCTGAACTACCGCAGGATACCTAAACTCTGATGCCAACTGCCGGATCAATGTACAGGGCAGCGGACTTCATGGACTACGGCAGGCTGCGCCGGACATTGGGACGTGTTCATGCGACACTTGATTCATATCGACAGCGGGCAATATGATTCGCTAATATACCCTTCACGGCCAGTCCTCAGTTTGGCCTAGATTTACAATTCCGTCCGCACTAAAGAATGCAGACCGAGTATTGACTTGGGCATCAGTTCTGCTCAGGTCATAGCACAAATGCTTCTGATCGGAGAATTTCGGATGTATCCGAAACATCTGCTTGCGGCTGCACACCGACATGAAAAAGGCACGTCTCATTCATCGGAATATTCCCCGTCTCAAAGTTGGTGACGTGAACGGCACATTAACCCCACCAATCAGACGCCAGGGAGGCCTGATGCTAGCCCGATGATCGTCAAGCGAGTTCCCTGGACGATGCCGTCCTCCCCGATGGAACAGCCATTATCCATCTGCTGGATGGGAATACTAGCCCGTTGAACCGAGCTACTTCAGGAACAGATGTTCAAGTGTGACCTTCCCGTCTTTAAGTAGTATAGCTTCACAATTGGGGGTTAAGGCTGCTTGTGTCCCTTGTAAGTGACCGACATCAGCAATGGCCGTTATGACGACCCTCCGGTATTTGGTCGCATACGAGGTGCAGTAGTACAGCATATTAGACCAAAAGCCTCCAGGGTGCTTGCATTGGGATGAACATCGTCCAGGATCACCTCCGGCGGTATCCAGCAGGTGTTCAGCCGAATAGCCCCGTGGCTGTATTTGGCAGGGAGTATCCTTGTCGGTTTGCATATAGGTAGCTGTCTAGAACTTGTGAGTTCGAGCTGCGCAGTTATATGGGTGATCGTTTTCCAAGTGGCATGCTAGCGACGTGGCTGGAATAAGCTATGGTCACCAGGCCTCATAGCACATTGCTCCTTCGTAATGCGGCAATTCAATTCCTATATAACCTTTCTAAAGCCCTCGCTACGATCAGAAATAAGCAGGCCGTGATTGAATTCTGGTAGTAGACCTTATGCGACCGCGCGAAATTAGTAACCGAATCATTGATGGATTGACTGCGAGATGGAGATTCCAGTATCATTCCTACAACCATGCTCAAGCTGGGAAAAGCTGTGAATGAACAATTAGCAGAAGATAGGCCGTGATCAAGCCTTGAGATGCAATGAATAGCAAAAATGTTTCAATACCTGCTATCACAATCTTTGCAGACAGATTGTTACTAGGGTGGAAGGATATCTAGTTCTTTGGGAACAACACACTTTGCCTGATACATATCTTCTGGAGATTTCATTGTTCTTCTGGAAAATGATCAGGGCAGGACTTTCATCCTCTTATAGTACATCATCTCCCAATAAACTAATGGTGGGACCGAGGCCAGCCCGGGGCATATAACCGACCCCAGAGAGCCCGCGACCCCACGGTCGGCGACGTTCTCCGGTCGACGATGGCCTCAAAAACCGGGGTCATCCCCCACGAAAATATCCCCAATTCACAACCAGCACCATGCCTAACACCCGTCCCCTTGTCCGTGCGGCATGCCATAATCTCTCCGGCATGCGCCATGCTTCTACTAGCGCCACGAAAAAGGCTGGCCCCCTCGCCGGCATCACTGTCGTCAGTCTGGAACAAGCCATAGCCGCTCCCTTCTGTACCCGCCAACTAGCCGACCTAGGAGCCCGAGTCATCAAAGTCGAACGACCTGGCGTCGGAGACTTTGCTCGCAATTATGACACCCGCGTTAACGGCCTAGCCTCCCACTTCGTCTGGACCAACCGGTCTAAAGAGAGTCTCGCCTTGGACCTCAAAAAGCCGTCCGATCACAGCGTGCTCATGCGCCTGCTCGGCCGCGCCGATGTCCTCGTCCAGAACCTCGCTCCCGGCGCCAGTGCTCGACTGGGTTTATCCTACGATGATCTCAAAGCGGCTCATCCATCCTTGATTGTGTGCAACATCTCCGGGTATGGTCCTGACGGACCGTACCGCGATAAGAAGGCCTACGATCTGTTGATCCAGAGCGAGGCTGGCATGCTCTCCGTCACGGGGACGGGAAAAGAGCCCGCCAAGGTGGGCATCTCCATCGCTGATATTTCCGCTGGTAGCTATGCCTACTCCAATATCCTGGCGGCGTTGTATCAGCGGGAGAGGGATCCCTCGAAGCGGGGGTGTAACATTGATATCTCCATGTTGGAGAGCATGGTTGAGTGGATGGGCTTCCCTATGTATTATACTTATGAGAATGCCCCGGGCCCGACACCAGCGGGTGCTTCGCATGCGGCTATCTATCCTTATGGCCCGTTTGAGACGGGAGATGGAACGGTGATGTTGGGGATCCAGAATGAGCGTGAGTGGGCTAAGTTCTGTGACATCGTCTTGGGTCAACCCAGTCTTGCTACGAATGAGCGGTTTGTGAATAACTCGCTGCGCTCGCAGAACCGTGATGAGTTGAAGAAGATAATCTGTGACGTCTTCTCGTCGCTTTCGGCGGAGCAGGTGATTGCTCGACTGGATGCAGCGGCGATTGCTAATGCCAGCGTCAATGATATGCAAGGCGTCTGGAACCACCCACAGCTCAAGGCTCGGCAGCGATGGACAGATGTTAAGACGCCCGCAGGAAGTGTGCCGGCTCTGCTACCTCCTGGAATGACCATGGGGGATGAGGATACTTATGGGGCGCGCATGGACGCTGTCCCTGATGTGGGTGAGCATAACAAGGCTATTCTGGCCGAGTTGGGGCTCGACGAGGGTACGGAGAAATAGCTGCAGTTGAATTAATGACATGTACAGTTGAGCTAGTGGACTTGGCTATCCTTGCGAGTATTGGAACTTTTAGGCCCTTTGTAAATAACTCAGTGCGATGGATTCACCTCGGGCAATTCTACTGTCCACTCACGAGGTTGAAGATACCTGCATGTCAAAGGATGTTCAGACGTAGAACTAGTCGACCACAATATGGATCTTACAGTTTAATCCAATTCAGGCAACCTACCCCTGCTGCCCCTAATATCACCCCGCGACGGTATCCAGCGTAAAGTGAATATCGGCGCAATATACCCATCGCCGAAGCAAGTGGATCGGGAAAACAGGCAAAAAGCCGACATGCCCGCCAAGACCGAGGCAGCATAAAGCCGCTTTATCCTCGACTACGGCTACTTGCATTCTGCCTGGCCACCTCTGAACTCCACTGTGGACGATCTCTTTCATTGGTAATTGGAGCTAATTCGAGGATCATGTCCAGTCAGGAGTCATCGGGCCACCGACAGGTAAGAACCAGGGCCAAGCAGGCTTGTCTCCACTGCAATAAGCGGCGAATCCGCTGCAATGTGCTACAGATGCGCCCATGCCAGAATTGTCTGGCATTGAATGTACCCTGTGAGATAGGCGTTTCAAAGCGAGGAAAGTATGTTTTCACGGTTTCGTCATTATGGTAGTTTGGCGTAGACTGATTCAATGGCTTAGGTATCCCCGTAAGAAGAGTGCTCGGCAACAAACCGACGGCAACTCGGTCCAATTGCCGGCATCATCTGCGAAGGGAGGGAACCATTCATTCACCGTGTCAGCAGGTGATAAATCCGACGCAAAAGAGTCGCATGTTCACCCGATACCAGGGGATGCTGCGAGTGCGCATCCAACAGTGTTCTTTGGTGAATCGAGTCCACTCACTGTAGTGATTGACGAAGGGCGCCGGTCGCCTGAAAAGGGAACTAATGAGATGCATATGACTCGCTTTCATTATGCCATTCCTGAGAAACTTGATGCCTTCAACACCCGTGATGAGGCTTTCCGAGCACACAAGATCAAGCAGGAAGGCCAGCTGAGAGCTGATGGGGCCTTCTCGTACCCGCCGCCAGAGACATGCGAAACTCTTCTGCGGGCGTACTTTGACTGGTTTCACCCCTGTTTCCCAATCCTTGATTGTGCTGCGGTGTATGAGAGCTATGTGCAGGGGAGCATGTCGCCCCTCTTACTCCAGGCGATACTGTTCATAGGCGTCAGCCTTTGCACGGATGAGGTGTTTGCCCGGACGGAGTTTTCTGTTCGGTACTGGGCCAAGTTTCTCTTTTACAGCCGAGCAAAGGCAATCTACGATGCTGAATGGGAGTCTAACAAGACGGTCAAGATTCAAGCGCTGTTTTTGTTGAGCTTCTGGCGTGGAGGACCATCTGAGGAGCGGGACATTCGATTCTGGCTTGGCATTGCCATTGACCTGGCACAAAAGCGCGGCATGCATTTGATGTATGTATTCTTTTGTCTTACCCTGTCTCCTGTTAACTCAGTCAGGTCCAAATTCCCGTTTGCCTCCCGTCGAGAGGCAGGTCTATGGAAGCGGATTTGGTGGTCGCTTTACGTATGTCACCTCTCGTAAGCCTGATGTAGATGCTGACCGTTGCTAGACCCGAGACCAGCAAAGCGCCGCAGCACTTGGGCTTCCGCCACACATTCGGGACGAAGACTGCGATGTCGACATGCTAGAGCCTGAGGATATCCGAGAGGAGGCTGTGGGCGGCCAAAGTCATTTTGGGGTGCAGTGTATCGAAGACCTCTCTTATCCAGCCGAAATGGCAAAGTTAGCCAAATTATGTATGTCCGAACCTCCATACTGCGAATCTTTGCTCACTGTTCAGTGCGTTCTATTGTCTCGACCCAGTACTCGCCGCTGGGTCCGTCATCTAACGGTGCGTCACGAGCGGCATTGCACCAGCAACTGAGGGACTGGGAAGCCAATATGCCTCTTGAGCTGAAGCTGGAAAATGCCACAACTCCACGAGCCAAGTTTCTGGCCGGACTCTTACATATGACATACCAGTAGGTGGCATGTATTGGGTACTTGAGTGTATTTCACTGATTGAATGCCATTAGAAATCTCTACATCCTGCTTTACCGACCGTCCTTTCTTCACCCTCCTGATGGAGATCTGGATAGTCAAGGTCAGATAGCCTTGAATGCCGCGACGAAAAGTACACGAGTGTTGGAGGATATGCTTTCGCATAACTTGGTCCAACACGGCTCTTCTCATCTGTAAGACCGTCCCCGCCGATATGCTATAGAGGATTCAAGCTGACCATGTAGAATCATACACGTGTTTTTAACCCTCTGCATCCACACCATTCATTTCCGTCGCACGTCCGGGACAGGTCGTAAATTGGCGGAACACCGAGCCCGGCTCTGTCTCTTGAGCCTACAAGAGCTGCAAAAATCTTGGGACTTGGAGAACTGGGTACTAAACCTGTTCTTCTGATGTTTGGACGATCGCACGGCCCGCACTCTGCGACCGGTCGATCCCACTGTTCCCTCCCCAAAACTCGAGAGCCGTGATCTTGTCTCCGCCACCCCGGATGTTTTCCCTTCTCTCAATATAATTCCAGAGGCGGGCGGACCGACGCTCAACACATCTTCTCAATCAGCGCATACGCAGTATCCCACTGGGGATATTAGCGCCCCGAGTGATTGGTACGGCTTGTTCAATTTCGCCGACGATTATACCGACATTTTGGGGGCGGCTCCCAGCCACGACGCATCACTAAATTTGCAGAATCTGGAGTTTCTCTATCGATTTCTATGACGAATTCTATCGCGCCGAAAAATTCTACACAATATATGATGGCGACCACACTTTATCCAATATCGTCAATGGATTCAGCTTGGGGGAGGATCGCCTTGGCAGAGTTCGGTACTTCGATCGCGCTAAACGTGGAGCATCATCCGTGTGCGAGTCAGCTCATTCCTGCCGAGGCCAGGCTGAGCACGTATTAATTCCCTGACCCCCTCTTTGTCAGATCGACCCCAACTTCACCTTTAATTCAATCCTGTCTTAAGGCACCATGTTCGGTGACTTTCCCGTCAACAACAAGATCGTCCTGGTGACTGGGGGAGGATCCGGTGAGACCAGTTGACCCTCACTTTACCTCTGCTCCACATCGCAACTAACGCGCCACTCAGGGATCGGGTTGCAGCTCTGCCGCCAGGCCGCCGCCAAAGGCGCCCGAATCATCATTGCCGATCTGCGCCTCATTCCCGAAGCCCAACAGTTTGTCGACAGCTCCGACGCCGTCATCTTCCAGCGCTGCGACGTCCGTAACTGGAACGACCTGCAAGCCCTCATCCAGCTCTCCCAAGACAAATGGAACGACGTTCCCGATGTGTATGTCGCGTCAGCGGCCATCTTTGAACCCGTACGTGTTTCTCCCCCAACCAAACATCCCCCAATTTATCATGTTCATCATCATATCCTCGCTAACGGATTTCAAATGAAGTCATGGTCCAGTTTCTGGGAGGACACTGAGTCGACCGACTACGCGTGTATCGACATCAATGCCAACCACCCCATCAAGCTTACTCGACTGGCCATCCGAGCTCTCTTGGGTAAGGACAAGAAGGGTGTCGTATGTCTGGTCTCCTCTATCGCGGGAATAAGTGCTTCGATCCGGAGTCCCCTGTATTGTGCAGCCAAACACGCCATCTGGGGCTTCGTCAAGTCGATGGCCCCGCTTGACCAATTGGAGGGCGTGAAAGTGACCTCCATCTGTCCAGGGTATTTCATCCCCTTTTATCCTTCTACTCTCTGATCTTTAGAAGGCGCACTAACAGCAACCAGCGTTGTCCCCACGCCTCTATGGGACACCGTCCCCGGTATCCGCAAACAACTCTCCTATGATAGAGTGAAACATGTCCCAGCGGAAGAAGTGGCAGAGTACATGCTCGAGCTTATCCAGCAGGGCAAATACCCCGGCGGTTCGGTAGTGGAGATTACCAGCTCCGGCCCGGATGGACGCAGAGTAATCCCGCCGTGGAATGTCTCGCCACCAAAAGTGTATGCCGGTGCGGATAAAGAGATGCTGGGCAACTTTATCGAACCCGTCCGTGCGGCGTTGAAGAAGGAGCGAAAGGCGAAGCTGTAATCATTATACCCATTAGCTAACGCGTTCATCATTGAAGACATCTATACACCATGATGAAGAAAAGCTTTGAGACCCATAAGCTTCCATATCAAATGCTTTCTAAGAATTATACTTCTTCTGCTTTTTTTTATAAATTGCTCTGCAAGATCCTACTATTCAGAATGAGATTAGATGCCTTTTTAACCCCTTTTGGTCAATTAACCCCTTTTGGTCCGATATAATATACCATACTACAACCCCTCGCAGCATCATCTCCGGGTGCAAATTCGATCGGTCAGCCTCTAAGACGTAGAATCTCCATTTCCACCCACAATACTTTGCATTTCCTCACTCTGGACCATGGCCAACTCGTCGGCAAAGCTTGCTGGAACGTCGTCCGAGACAATGGCTAAAGGACCAAAACTACTGACACATAAGGAGCTATAATAATAGAATTATATTATCATACCAGAACTCAACATTCTTACATAGTAGACCAAAAGATTAGATTCTATCAGTTTAGCACGAGATTGTATCATCTTGTCAGACGCGGCCGTATGTGTGAGGCTGCCGATAAGGTGGTTAGGGAGGTTGAGCCCGGTCGATTTCAAACATTGTGGTCTTTTTGACCCAGTAGTAGGACATCAATTACCGATCATGGTAGGCCCGTGGCACCTATATGTAAACATGGTTGTAAAGTTCATCAAGGTTCTTGACGGTCACAATGAATTAGTCACAGATATATTCCTGATAGGACTGAGAATCTTCCCCAAAATCTGGTTTTGAAAATACACAGATTGATAAAATAATCAGATGTATATATCAGTTAAGCAATATTTCTTGAGTCGCAAAATTTTAACCTCGGCAATCACCTATTACCTATACATAAACCCCCATCATAACCATGTAACAACTATTCACAACATCAAATAACTTTATGAAACATTAAGTCTTTTTGTATATCCCCTTCACTCACTTCTTCAGGCTCCTTTTTATGTTGGTTGTGTGGTAGTAGTGGTAGTAGTTGTAGGACTGTAATGGTCCTTAATAAGATATATTTTCGGCACAATAGTACTAGGACACGGCCACACATTAACATCCTACTACAGAAGAACGAAATCTAATGGCCATAGCTTCAAGCTGCGACTTCTCCTCGAGTAATCAGTTTCTGCTATCAGGTAAATCACCCATATCATTTCATCATGTCCACTATCACCTTGTCGTGTCCGGGTTATCAATCTCGCATGACGTTCCGACATCACGCACAGGATACCCATCTTCCCCAGTTCAGTGCGAAATCCTGATACTATTGTGTCATGCATAATTGCGATGCACATAGAACCCACTGTAACTCGAATACGGGCAACACAGAATATAGTTCTACGATTACAGTCTACTTTATGGATTATATGGTCAGACGAGAGAGCTTCCAGGTGGCGATATGCCAACGCAGCTGGAGAAGAAGAATATAATATTCAGTCGAACCATCCAGAACAACTCCAGAGAGCGAACTAGGCTTGTTCGAGGGCATGATGGCAGTAATATTCTTGCTTATGGCATTATATTCTGCGGCGGACATGGTTCATTGGAATTTATTGGGGCAGGTGGGTGGCGTTCAAACGAAGTCGTATGCTTCTAAGTGAGCATACATCGTGTAATATTCTTGGCATATAATAACGAAAGAAGATCCCGACGTGTCTTGGCCTGTCCTGTGAGGGTGATGACAGTATATCCAGAGGCTGGTCGGTACGCTATGCTCTGTTAATATATCGTAATTGTCAGGTTAATCAGATTAGTTCCGATACCAAGACTGAACTGGATGCCTGGAGACGAGCAAATTCAACGTGACGAGGTAAAGCAGGCTTGGTCTGCGACAGTGATAGTTAGTCCCTAGCACCATTAATGTCAAGGTATCAAAACTCTCTCGGATGTACTTCCTGTGTCCAGTGATAACATCTTTAACAGCCCGATGTCGGCGGTCAGTATGTGCACTTTACCAAAAATACGAAAGTACCTGGTCCTTCCTCTGGTCCTCCATGACCTAGTAGGCGACCTCCTCGCTCGGTCTCTTGGACGCTATTGCCATTGACTATCATTTAAGATCCTGGATTCTTCCGTTATGGCAACCTAGACAGCGCTTTGTAACACAATTTAGGCCGGTGTCAGCTTCTGAGCGATTGAGTTGGATACAGTACCCTCCTTGAGTGAGCGGCTTTCCGACAGTTAGTGATTACAAGTCTTAAAATGCCACTTGATTAAAAAGCTCAATTGAATGATAACTGGTCTTGACGCTCATTCTTAACCACAAGTGCTTCTCGAGTTCAGTGGAGGTGCAGTCGTATACCACTGCACGGTCCGCGCATCCCTGAAAGATGTTGGCCAGTCAATGTGCCCAGCTTGTCGTACAGTACCGATCAAAGAAGAGAAGGAGAGACCCTGAGAGGCGCCATCGAAAACAAAAGGGATCACCTGATCCGACTAAGCGAGCCTATCACCGCGGACTCCCCTCTCTATCGCTACTACTGTACTCCCCTCTAGTATTTCTCGATTTTACTTCCTCGTTTATAGTCTGTGGCGGGGCCGAAGATTTACCCGGTACTGCGTAGTCCACGATAGCAGCTGAACGCTTCTAACGAAGGTGTTATAGAGACTATGCATGATCGGGGAAATATTCGCTAAGCACTAGGAACACCAGGCTTACTGCCTCATGGATTCTGCTGAATGGGTCCACGAGTCCCCACTGCTTGAACACATTGTCCCAGCGTATAGTCACCCTGAGCTCATCATGATCAGGCCATAGCATCATACCACGATGCCTCTAGTAAACATAAGACAAGGGCCCTGCCTACTTGCTCAATCCTGAGATGCGATAAATTCGAAAAACAGCGTGCCAAACGACCCCTCGCTGAGCTGGTCTCCAGGACTCAATAATTCATTCGGCTCGGACACGGCTCGGAAACGGCTCGGAAGTCAAAGTGTTGATGCAGCGGGCACTCCCAGTTCCTGCAGGACCATGCACTGCATGGCTACTTGGAGGCATTAACTTCCACAACCATCTCATAATGGGCATACTGGCTTGGCAGTAAATGAAAGCATTTCTGGCGAGTCGGACGCTGAGATGAGAAAAGCTTCGAGACACATTTCTTAGCTGAGACACTTTCTTTTCTCACGGCTGAATCAAAATGGAAGAATCCTCATCCGGAGGGTTTCCACCGGCGTGCCTTCCAAGGTTACCGGCTTATCTATCGTGACTCAACATGATACTACAGGATCCTGCAGTATGTCTAGTGCGAGATTGATAGGGTCACTACCCCCACTGCGGTCCTTCATCATGTTTGAAGTCAAGAGGTCGCATTGGAAATGTCATAGAAAGCTCCCATGAGGAGGTTATTGCCCAATGATCAGCGTTGAGTCTCATCTACTCGACATGAGCTGTATGCAGGCCGCCGACGGAGCCGGCTTCACCTGCCTGATTAGGCTTATCTCCGGCAACGGATCATTACTGACCGATGCGCTGCTGACGATCGCTGTCCTGCGCCTCCATGAAGGCATACCCGTCTTTTCGTTCCCGCCGGCAGTGGTTTATTCCCCGTATTCTCCCCCTCCAAGCGATGACCCTGGGCCGTGTCCGGGTCCCCGCTGGCCCCTGTGCCAGTTATCCTCAAAAATAGATGCCATTTCAAAGGGTCGCTTCGCTATCGAAGGGACGATGCTGACGACGCGTCGGGTCTGGATGCGGAAGGTGGATTGTGGATCTGCGGCCTTCCCGAAGGAACGCCGTCTAGGGTTAAATTCTAATCCGACTTCAATCTATCCGGACGTTCGAGGTCCTCATCCTGCCCGGCCTGCAGAACTGCCAAGCAAACTTATGCAGCTCTAATAAACTGTCTGCAGCAGTCGCCAGCTAGTTTATCCCATTTAGATCGACCTTATTTACGACTCCGTCGGGTGAGACCGCTGTTCTTTTCAGGAGGATATTCCCTCCTTCTGACGAGAGATGTGTGTAGGCTTCACCTGGAGACCCGAAGACCATGCTGCAAAAAACCGACTAGGGAGACTATGGAGTGGGATAGATCTACTGCGATAGACTTGGGACAGAGATGGAATCATCCTGCCAATGAGACCATGCCGACGGGGCATGTGAAGAAAAGATGGTCGACTCTGCTCACAGTGGGCCGGACCGAGTGGAATCTTCCCATAGTAGAGCCGGCCGATCTCCCAGTGTCCTTCAACGGATCAATTTTGCTGAGTACTATTCGGAGAGGTCATTCGGCCCGCGGGGGTTTTGCTATACTGGCCCTCCGCCAGCCAGTGAAAGGCAATGCATTATTATTCGAGTCGGCTGGCCCCCGATCGTCGTGATCAGCACTTCCCAGCGAATTAGCCTCGCGTTGGTTTATCTTCCGCGCTCTCTCTCGTCGAATCCGGTTTCCTCACGCTGGCTTGGCATCTCCATCGCGGCTTGGCACGACCACCTGAAGTCTATGCGCCTTCCATATCCGGCACACTGGTTACTATTCACAGCATCCTTCCATCATTCCGATTCTCTGCAGAAACAAAGGTTATGATAATCTGGAACGATAGTCGCCATCGATTTATCCACTCACCCACAATGCCCAGACTGTGGAGATTGTGGGTGGAATAATCCTATTGTGGGAGAGTTAGATCACAGCCATTCACCGCGGCCGCTCTGGCTCTGGCGGGATGGCCTTCTGCCACTGGTCTGGCCAGCTCATCCGGCACTATGTTTCTCTACATGATATCACTTTGCTTTCAGAGCCTATCACCGGCCAGATAATCCGCTCTCTGTCAGCTCCATCCTTCGGAGTATATTGGCCTTGACGACCTCAATGGAACCTACCGGAGACACCTTGAGGACCATGGGCAAAGCTCGCCATCGGTTGCAACACTGATGCCAAGTGATCGTCCTTGTTTGCAGGATGATCATCCCTCGGTGCACTACAGGTACCTGTATCGGATCGGCTGCACGAGGATTTCAGTCGCGTAGGGACAAGGATGCCGAATAAACTATTATCCATCAGGGCGTGATGATTGATTGTACCAGAGAGGAGTAGGCATCGCTATCTCACCTCAGAAATAGCTATATAAACCCCTCGGACATACCCTTCCAGATAGCTCTTCAGTCTACCACTCGCATCGCAAGCATCCTCACTGTTTCAAGCATCTCTGCGACTCTTCTCCCGGATTCATTATGCAAATCAAGAACGTCCTGAACCTGGCCGTCGTCGGCAATGCCCTCCTAGCCACCGCCCACCCGGGTCACCATGAGGAGCGTGAGGCCCTTCAGCAGCGCTCCTTCAAGCGCACCTTGGCCCATGGTCTGCAGAAGTGTGAGGCCAGTCTGGAGGCCAGTGGCCTCCACGCCCGCGCTGAGGCCCGTCGCCGCGCCGTTGTCGACATGCACCGCCGTCAGCTGCAGGCCCGTGGCGACACCGCTGAGGTGCTGAACAAGTCGCACCTGTCCACCCGGCCCATCTCCTCCAGCACCCCCGAGACCGAGGTCTTCAACGACGACAAGAAGATCTGCCTCCTCGGTCCCAGCGCTGAGGGTGAGACCGGACCCTACTGGATCCCCGGTGAGCACATCCGCGGCGACATCCGCGAGAATGAGCCGGGTATTCCTGTCACCGTCGAGCAGCAGTTCATCGACGCCGAGACCTGCCAACCCCTCAGCGGCATCTACACCGAGATCTGGGGCTGCAACGCCACCGGTGTCTACTCCGGCCTGGTGGCCGATGGTAACGGCAACTCCAACGACCTGGCCAACTACAACCGCACCTTCCTCCGTGGTGTGCAGCAGACTGATGAGGACGGAGTGGTGACCTTCAACACCCTGTTCCCCGGTCACTACGCTGACCGCACCACCCACTACCACAACATTGTCCACTGGGGCGCCACTCTGCTGCCCAACAACACCCTGGCGGGTGGCTCCATCCCCCACATTGGCCAGATCTTCTGGGACCAGGATATGATCAGCAAGGTCGAGTCCACCTACCCTTACAACACCAACTCGATCCCCATCACCCCCAACGCGGAGGACCGCGTGGTCACCGTGGAGACCGAGAATGCCGACACCGACCCCTTCCTCAACTATGTCTACCTGGGTGACTCCCTCGAGGACGGTCTGTTCGCCTACCTCACTGTTGCCGTCAACACCTCGGCCATCCACTACCCCTACTGGACCAACGTGTACACTTCCACTGGCGGCGAGTCTGTCTGCGGTACCTGCGACGGTGACCCGGATGCTGTTGACGGTGGTCTCCCCACCCCCTCGGCTTCTGCCTCTGCTTCTGCTTAGAGGCGGAACCTCGATGAAGATGTGAGCAAAGAACCAAAAAATTGCTGGATGTTAGGTGGATACTTTGTATGTTTAGACTACTTAGTACTAGATGAGGTAGCTCACGAATATGAACGAGATGATTGGACACAGCCATCACTTCGGAAACTGACCGATTCGTAAGCACTAATGACTAAGCGGGTGAGTTCCGGGCGGTCGAGCCTCATCGGGAACGCGAGACCGATAGGTAATCCCGTAGGATTTCCGACTATCGCGGGCTTTGCTGGATTCCCGTTGACATCCGTCTCTTGTGGAAGAACAGGATCCTTCACCCCTCTCAAAACAAGGAATGAATCTCTTCCTGGCGTCCGGAATCCTTGCGGTGCTCTGCAACTGTCCAACAGGTCCAATCCTTCGGGGGCATCCTACCTCAGGGGGTTACTTACTACTACTACCTACTACCAGGAAAGCCAGCAAGAGACGCACTTTCTCCGGTGAGTGAGTGCAGTACTATTTGCTTTTCCGGTGAGTTGGTCTTAATGTAGGGATACGATGGTGTCATTGGCTACTACAGGGCAGATACTGAACTTATATGCACATTCTTGATGTGATCGTCTGCTGAGCATGACTGCTGTAATGGTCGGTGTGGAAGTGCCGTGTGGATTAAACTCTATATGCGCAGTATCAGTGCAGCTCTGCTCAGTTACTACTAGGCACGAAAAGAGTCAGGGAAAAATTGTATCATTATTTTCGCTTCATTTGATTCAATCAAGATGCACTACCATCGATGTTCTATTGAATGCACAACTACAACGATTTTGATATTAATACCATGACTACCATCATGGTTGTGGTAGAGATACGCCTTGCAGGAAACGTTGCGCCGAGACCGATGCGCGTACATATTCCCGAGGAGATCTGATCGCCGCGGCAGCTAAGCAGGGATTCGGTCGATCAATCAGGCCAGAACCCGGCGTCTACCAACCAACTGCTCTTGGGATTTGGATGAGCTACTATACGAGAAAATCGTACGGGATCTGGTGATGGTTATGGTGATGGTGAATATGGCCCATCAAATGGCCTCGGTCGGACACGGGTGCCAAATGGTATCAGCTAACCTATCTGTCGTGCATCTATTTATTTATCTACCTGTCACAGATAAGTTTAGAATTGGCCCACCCAGTGGATCCGTTCATCTCATTTCTCTTTGTCAGTTCTGGCTTCATCCTGACATGACTCACATTCCCGAGTCATTCCCGAGCGGAAATGAAATCCATTTCCCCTCACGCACTTCTCCTCATAAAGCTTCCCTCCCAAAAGTCAATTCCTGAGTTTTTCTTTTCTTTTTCCTTCTTTTCTTCTTCATCCCCATATATCCTATAAAACCTTCAACAGGGTTGACACACGATGATCGTCAAACTCACCCAACCATACAGCTTCCTGGATGATTACAGCGAGGGTGCTCATCCACGCCTACTGCAGTCCCTCCTCCTCACCAACGCCACACAACAAACCGGCTACGGCACAGATGAATACACACACGAAGCTCGTCAATTAATTTACTCTCAAATACAAGCCACCGACGATGAGGTCGCCATCCACTTTGTCCCCAGCGGAACTGCCGCGAATCTCATTTCCATTGCCAGCTGCCTGCGGCCCTATGAAGCCGTTCTCGCCGTAGAAACCGGGCACATTCTGGACAAGGAAGCCGGAGCCATCGAAGCCACCGGCCACAAAGTCATCCCCGTCCCCGGGGTACGGGGAAAAATGACCCCCGAGAATCTAGAGCGGGTGTTGGATCGCAATACCTTCTTCCCGCACATGGCCAAGCCGCGGCTGGTGTACATCTCCAATGCGACGGAGGTGGGCACGATCTACACGCGGAGTGAGCTGCGGCGGCTGTCGGAAACGTGTCGACGGCGGGATTTACTGCTGCATGTGGACGGAGCGCGATTGGGGGTGGCGCTGAGCGCCGAGTTGAATGATCTCACCCTGCGCGATATGGTCGATTACACGGATATCTTCTGGATTGGCGGCACAAAGATGGGCGCCTTGCTGGGCGAGGCGGTCGTGGTGCGCAGGAGTCTCGCTGAGGGGTTTGAATTTAATATCAAGCAGCGCGGTGCCTTGCTGGGCAAGTCCCGCGTTATGGGGGTGCAGTTTGCCGAGTTGTTTCGGGATGGGTTGTATTTTGAGCTGGCCAGACATGCGAATGCCATGGCACGGCGCATTTCGGCGCAGTTCGAACGCATGGGATGGGAGCTGGCGGCTGAGACGGAAACCAACCAGGTGTTTGTCGTGGTACCGGATGCTATGCTGCATCGGCTGGCGGAGCGCATCCGATTCTACGAGTGGGATAAGCGTGAAACTGGCACGGTGATTCGCATTGTGACAGCCTGGGCTACGGATGAAATGGCGGTGGATAAACTTTGCCAATGGCTGGAAGCCATCCATCAGGCATGATTGGATTTTCTTTTTATCTATCCTTAATGTCATGATAATAATACCCGAGCTATCTAATTGGGGGAAAGAGAGAAAGAGACAGACACAGACAGAAGTTTAATATGATGAATAATGAGATCTTCATGAGTCAATCGGAAGATTAATCGAACCATAACTAATTTTAAAAATAAGGATGAAAAATGGCCGGGCCAGACTGTTGGGGAAATTACTTGATGGAATCCACTTCCTGCAATTTCCGTGACAAAAGAATATCGCATTTCCCCTCATTATTCCCGAGACCGCTTACTTTATTCCCGACGGCCGGGAATATATCCTCATACCCCTCACGTGCCCCTCACGCCGTCCGTCCCCCACTCAATTCTGTCCAATTCCAACCACTTTATTCCCGCGTCGGCTTTGAGGTGTGCAACGATGCGCCTGTCCATCTCCTGCGACAGCTGTCGGTAAGCTCCCTCACTTCCATCGCATTCCATCCCATCTCATCCAATTACAATCATCAATTGCTCATCTAATAGACAATCCAAGGTCAAGTGCATCCACGATGGCCATCCTCCCTGCCGTCGCTGCCACCGCCTCCGTCGCGATAACTGCGTCCTGACCGATCCGCGCTCTCCCGGTGTGCGCACACCCCGAACCCCTCGCAGAGCCAGCATTAGAAGAACCGGCTCAGGTTCAGCGTCAGGGATAGGAACAGGGACAAGAACAGCAACAGACACAGGAAATACCACCGCGACCACTCCCATAGCCAGCTCGCCCGCTCCTTCGCCCACCCCCTCTCATTCTGCCAATCCCATCGCTGCCATCGCCCCGGCCACTCTCATCGCAGCATGCGACATCTACCGCAAGAAATTCCCCGTCGTCAACTTCCTTCATTATCCCTCGCTGATCGCCGATCTCTCCCATCATGCCTCCGCCGTCGAACCCGTTTTTCTCTCAGCTCTACTCTCTCTATGCGCCCGCTTCATGCCCGATGCCGCCCTGGCTGCTCCTGAAACCTACGCGGAGTATGCGCGCTCTCAGCTGGCCCATCGCGCCTTCGAAGCCCCTTCCCTCTATCTTGCACAATCGCTCGTCATGATCTCGCTCTACGAATGGGGTTCGGGTCGGCCTTATCGCGCATGGATGTACAGCGGTACTATTCCACTCAATTTCCCCCTTCAGTCCGACCATCACTAACCCAATGCGCTAATCTCAGGCATGGCCACCTACATGATCCAATCCCTCCTCAAGACCGCCGATGATACCATGGAACAACAACCCCTCCTTGACCTGCCCGCCCATCGCATAACCTACGAACAGCTGGTCCGCACCTACTGGTGCTGCTTTGCACAGGACTGCGAGCTCAGCTCCGGCGCCCGCCAACACTTCGCCCTCTCCTTCCGCCAGATCTCCGTGCCCCTCCCCATCAGCGATTCCGACTTTACCTTTGGGAAAGCCACCCCACGCTTAATGCCGGCGGACATGAATCGCTCATCCTCTCTGGCACTGAATTTATCTATTGATCGGGGTTTGACTATCGTCACACGGGGGTTCGACATATTCGTTCGCATACTCCGGTTCGCCAATGAGAGCCGTCGGGGTCGGGCGCAAGGGTCGGCAGGGTTGTCACTCCGCGCGTGGGAGATGCTCAAGGCCGAGCTGGACGAGTGGAGGGGGCTTCAGGATGCGACGGTGCGGTATCCCGAGACCAATGCGCAGGCGCATGTGGCCTTGGGATCGGGGGAGTTGTTCGCCTATATCAACCTGGTGTATTTCATGAGGTGTGTTTATTTAGCCGTCAGACTGCTCGATGAGGTAATTACTGACCGCGGTAGTATTCTATTCCTCTACCGCGACCGCTTCCTCTCCACCCCTAAACCATCCATCGACCATCACGACCCTGCCGACGACGAGGCCATTGACCACCTCTTCGCCACGGCACAGCACATCAGCGCTATACTCGCAGCCCTTGAAGCCTGCGCCACTCCTGTCATCACTCCATATGCGGGGTTCAGCGTCTTCGTCGCCGCCCATATCAACATGTACGGGACTGTCTGTCCGGGCCGGTACCCGGGGGGTCTGGCGCGCGCGCAGGAAGAGAAGAAGATGAATCTGGAGTATCTGGAGCGACTGTGTCGGTTCTGGGATGTGGGAACAAGCTGGGTACGCGCACTCACACCCCCACTATAATTCTTGTTGAAGACTAATGGATGGCAGTGGCGAACTCTCCAAGAAGCAAACCGGTTCTATGAAACAGCCCGAACCACCGCCCAAGGTCCAACGGGCGTTTCTCGTCCAGAGCATCTCACCCTGGCTGGTACCATTGATGAATACGGCGATATTCGCGTGTCGCGACCCGAAACAGCGTCTCCCGCGCGACGACGCCCAGGGGTATCTTCTGAGGGAGTAGGAGTGCGACGGATGTCGGTCGCCGAGTTGACGGCGCCAGGTGGTGGTGGAAGCAGCGGTGGTAGTGGTGAGTGGGCGGATGTCGAGGCGGAGATGTGGCAGTGGCCGTTTCTCGATGAGAATTGGTCGTTGGGATTCGACACGGGGTTTGAGTCGGCGTGGCCGGGATTGAGCTGATGGGAGCTGGGTCGGCTTTGTATGAGTAATGAATGGATGAGTTAATGGCCACTTGTATAATTAATATTATCGATCGTAATCAGATATGGTCTGGTTCCATGGCCATTACAGCGCCTGAATAGTAAGTGATAAGGTTATGTTCGAGATTGTCCTTCCGGTGATAAATTGCTCCTATATTCCCTCCATCTAGACATAGGGCTCTGGTAGTTTAACGTCTGAGCGCGGGTCATACTCGGGGCGGTACAAAATCCAGAGGGGTTGTGCTGAGAATATCGACTAGCAATGACACCGACTGGAGAAACCTCCGTTCGATCAAGAGATTGTTGCATTCGAGATAGTCCGGCGAGGAGTCAATTGATTTGTACTGGCGCTTTCACACATCCAATGCTCCAAAATGTTCAGTTTGGAACACTTGGGATGCGGTACACTGAGCGCAAGCACTGCGACCTCGGGTCGGCATACTAGTAAGTAGTAGATAGAGCACAGGCCTCTTGGTGTACCTCAGCCGAGTCAGTATCATGTTTATTAGTGGTTCGGTCGGCACACGCGGCGTCGGTTGCCCCGTTGTGTTGGCGTAGTAGTATTTTATCTGTTCTCGGAAGTAGGGTAAGCTGCATAGTGGTACTTTAGTAGTATATGTCTCAGATGTTGGTGGAAACAAACCACCGACGACACATCACTGTAATTAAAGAAAGCACAGCACGGGTCCCAGCAGGTGGTCCCGAACTGAAATCCCCGAAAACTGCAGTTCAGTAGAATACTACTGCTAATAATATATATTCACTCCCCTGCAGGTTAAGTCCGAGTGGGCGCGTACGTGGCTCAAATGGGATTCTGGAATACGGCATCATGCCCGTCGGCCATAACTACTGGTTGCGTCTACCGTTGGGAGCGGGGAATGTTCAATCGGCAGTTCACTAAGTATTTAGTTTCTTAAGTTCTGCCCCATTGGAGAGATGAAAGGTTGTGACGGTAAAGGAGAAAATTGCGTGGAATCTAGAAAACGCGGTCGAAAAACACTAGCATTGGTTTAAGGTTAAGACGGCCTTAATTATTGCCAGAACGCGTCGATCTTTGCGCACACAGATTGAGCAAGTGGAGATGAGACGGACAACCACGTAAGATGGTGCGTGAATGCATCATCACACGTCTTTTTAGTCGAATTGACAAGGGCATTAAGCCATAAAGAGATGGGGCCGAGAAATGACTGCCACAAGTAGCGTGGCGCAGATATCGACTTGGTAGAAAATGGGTTTCACCACTGCTATTCTTGTTCTTGAGATGGCCTGTTCGGCGTGGCTGAATTCCGAGGGTGGACACCCAAGGCGCTCACCAGTTCGACGATCGGCCGTTGCAATTGCCCAGCCTCTGTTGGGGAGCACAGCGAAGCTTTTAGCGGGGAACGCGCTTCGGTTGGAACCAGATTTGGTTGTCCTTGGGCTAAATTCTTTTCCTCACGAGGGATACAGTGGAGTCAGGGTGGGAAAAGGGGGGGTGGGTGAGGGTTCATGTTGTGGATATTTGTGATTCTCTGTTCACAATTGATGCGAAAGGAGGTGATTCCAGCTGAGGTTGAAAAGGATATCCTCATCCTCGACTGGAATCGAGCATAATTTCAAGCCAGTGCCGTTGCAATGCAGTCAAGAATTAATGACAAGAAACGAACAAGCACCGGGTGGACCAAAGCCGCGTGGCCGCTGAGTGGCCGACGGCCCACTCCGGATCCGCGCAGCCAATCACTGACGGAATTCGCTATAAAAATAAACTGGGAAAGCCTCAGCCCTAGTTGAGGCACGTTATGGAGTACGACGACTGCCAGCAAGATTGGCCTGGCAGAGATTTCGGCTCTCTCGCCCATCATCTCGCTCGACATTCATATTTGAGGGCCTGTCGGTAGTTCTGTTCCGATGGGCCCTACAATCCCTTCTTTACCCTGATCTCCCTCTTCCTCCTCTTCCTCTTCGTCTTTCCATCATCCTATCTACTTCTACCCGAACTTGGCTGCTGCCTATATCCGACCCCTCCTCTAATCCATCCATCATGCAACTCCGCTATCTGCTGGCGCTCAGCGCCCTATCATCCACCGTTTTCGCGCACGCAGAACCCGCGGCAGGAGTCTTTTCGCTGTCACCGCAAACCGAGGCGCCGGTCGCTGAACCAACATCCATCATGGATAACTACCTCAAGCCCAAGCGGTATAACCGTTCCTTGAATTTCCAAAAGAGGGCGACTACCACCGATGATACCACCACCACCACAGATGCAGCCACCACCACTGCAGACTCCACTACATCCGACTCGACCAGCACTACCGAAGCCACCACCACCACCACCTCCGACACCTCCACGACCAGTGCTACAACCACTGCCACCACTGCCACGAGCACCACCTCCAGCTCGAGTTCCACCACATCATCCTCTTCTTCCCAATCCACCACCAGCGCCACCTCTACCACTCAAAGTACCACAACAACCTCAACCACCACTAGCACCACCACCTCTGCCACGAGCACCATCTCCGCCGCGCAAAAGGAGTACAACCACCGCGGAGAGATCGCCGCCATCGTGACCTTCAGTATCCTCATCTTCATCTTCGTCGCCCTCACCTTCTTCCTCTGCTTCCGCGAGAAGTCCAAGGTCAACCGTCTGGCCAAGAAGGCCGACGCCGGCGCCGATTACTCCATGGTGCCGCTGGCTGAAGGCCGGCCTCAGAGTAAGGCCAAATTTGACCGCGCCTCCATGATGTTCGCCTCCAACTCGCAGCTCAACCTCGATCAGATGTCTCGGAGGCCTACCTCCATGGCGGCTAGTGAGACTCTGAGTGTGCCCATGAACCGGACGGCGCCGGGGACGCCGTCGGATGAGCATCGGGCGAATATGGTTTGATTAGGAAGTATAGATGGGGGGTTGTGTATGAGTTCTGTCCAGATACCCGGGATAATGTTCGACATGATTGCAGCATGACATTACCGAAAGAGTCGCCATCGTTTGAAGGAGGATGGGTTTTCTTAGTATCTCTGTCTTTTCTTTTCTTTTTTTGTGTATATTGGATGTTTTGTTCTTCAGCGATTTGAGCCTTCCGTATGATCGTTTGTGGAGCATTGTGATATCAGATGCATATGCATAGCGTTGTGGAGATAACATCCATTGCATTGCCCGTCAGTAATGTGTAAGCCTGCATTACCTAGTAGGCACGGCCCATGACTTTAGCTTAGCATAGAGCTGCTGTTCGAATTATGTATGCCGTCTCAGGGTATAAGATGGGACAAGATGCGGCACAACTTGAGGGTATTATCTTGATTCATCACCCGACCACACATTTACCCTTCAACACGTCCCGGACGTTGTCGATCTAAACAAACTTGTGCATTTAATGAAGATAGACTAAACCCCGATGACACTATTGTACGACAGTGAAACCATCATTCCCACCCATAACGCAATCGGCGATATCTCCAGATCCCAGCACCCCCCTTAACGCCGAAAGCCGATCTATACACCAGCACCCATCAAAACATAAATATCGATTATCTGCCACATACCCACATCAACTGAATCACTGTACATCATTAACAATACACAGAGAATACTACAGTATATCTACAATGCCCCACCCACGCATCCACTCCACCGGCTCCCTCGACGCCTTCAACCCCATCCTCGTCACCCCCGTCATCGGCACCGAATTCCCCAAAGACAGCTGCAACATCGTCGACGACATTCTCAATGCCCCGAATGCCGAACAACGTATTCGTGACCTCGCCGTCCTCGGTACACACCCCATCCCTAACTACTACTACCCCCTCCCTCAAACCATAATACTCACAAATCCCAACAGTCGCAGAACGCGGCGTCGTCTTCTTCCGCGCCCAGCACAACCTCACCAACGACCTCCAAAAACACCTCATCCTGGAAATGGGCCGCCTAACCACCCGCCCCGAATCTCACGGTCTCCACATCCACCCCGTCACCAACGACGCGCGCGAATTCGGCGACCCGGATCCTCAAATCAGCACGATCAACTCCGAGGGCCGCAAGAAACTCTACCAGGGCTCGGACTATACCCGTATGGCGGCCGTCTGGCATAGTGATATTGCGTTTGAGAAGGCGCCGGCGGATTTCTCGAGTCTGAGGTTGACTCAGTTGCCTGTCACGGGGGGCGATACCTTGTGGGCTTCTGGGTATGAGGTGTATGATCGCATTAGTAAACCCTATCGCGGGTTTCTGGAGGGGTTGAGTGCCACGCATGTCGGGGCGGGGTTTAAGAGAATGGGCGTGAAGGTGTATACTGGGGAGAGAGGGGCGCCGGTCAATGTCGGGGATGAGTTGGAGGCGGTGCATCCGGTATGCATCTTTGTTTGATTCTGATTGTGATGAAAGGGGGTGGGGTTGGCTGATGGTTACTACTTAGGTTGTCAGGACGAATCCGATTACGGGGTGGAAGTCGATCTTTCCGATTGGTATGTTCATGTTGCAGTGGGTATGTGTGAAGTTGTGTGCTGATGAGATTAGGGGCCTTTCCGAGCAAGATTAACGGATTGAATCGTCGAGAGAGTGCAAATATGCTGCAGTACTTTCATGATCTGATCACCTACGGTCATGATCTACAGGTGCGGTTCAAGTGGAATGACCCGAATGATATCGGTATGTTACCCAACTACTTTCATGCAAGTGGTTTCTGCTGACAAAATAGCCATCTGGGATAATCGCAGCGTGTTCCATACGGCCACCGGTGACCACGAAGGATTCGGGCCCAGAAGTGGCAATCGCGCTGTCGGCGTGGGCGAGGTGCCATACTTTGATCCAGAGAGTAAGTCGAGGAGGGAGGATCTGGGGATTGAGGATACGTTGTCTCCGGCTCATTTGTAGTTATGTTGCTGACGGTAGTTTGATGTCAAATTGGGTATCTGTTTGGTCTATTCCGGAGTAAACCAGTTCAGTCCGTCGGACATATCCATGCTTAATAGGTCGTTTGACCATATCTCCGGGAATATGTCGCTGAATGTATGCCAGAATTCAGGTGTATCTGCTGCAGCAGACCCCTGTCCATATGTATCGTGTCCGGTCAATCCTCCCATAGGGGGTAATGGATACTGAAAGTCAAACCACCCAGCCGATAGCTGAGAATCCCCAGTAGTTAGTTCTGTCTGTGCGCTGACGCTCTCGGAATGTGGTGTGGGAATAGCATCCTCTTGTGTTTGTGATTCACTTGGCATGGAATCGGCCTTTGCTGCATCATTCACGTATTCCATCACGCGGTTGATGATCATCTCCAGGCCGTCTCGATACTTCTTCAGACTAGAATTTCTCTCGGCCATGACGAACAGCGCAGAAGAACAGGCTCGCAGATCATTCGACACGGCTACTGTCCACAGCTGGGGGGCTCGGAAGAGGCAAAGACTATCTCGTCAGGCTGATTCTATTGCAACACCAGGAAGTGGAGGAACTCACCAAATAGTCAATCCAGCCATATACAACGAGTTGACTAAGAGAAAAGAATATCCCGACGAATCTCGCTGCCGCAGTCGTTTGAAGCACTGACACATCTGCCCCGAGGCATACAGACATTTCTCAATGAGGGGATCCCTGCGCGGTAAGATTCCTATGAACCGCTGAATGAGCATCCGAATGGCGTTGTTCCAATGCATATGAACAAAATCATCCTCGTCTGGTGCCATTGGTGGCAGCGATCTTTCGAATTCCTCCAACGCAGCCATCAGATATGTTGTCTCCGGGACCAGCGCTGCGGTGCTCTTATCTGTCCGGTAAATCCGGGTATGGATCTGTGACATTATGCGCTGCAACCGAGTCAAGGCGATGAACCTCCGAAGACTCCTTCCTCGCGCCGGCTCAAGCGGAGCCACTGAATTCCGTAGTGCCTCTTCAATCAGCTGGTCACTGGTACACGAATCATCCAGATCAGCCGGCGCATGGACATCGATTTCGTCTTCCGGAACACTGAACGGCCGTCCCAATGACCAGGCCACGTATCGCTCAACCAGGTAGACGGACCAGAACAACCGCCGGCGCACCTGCCCTTCGTACGGTCGCATTCTTCGATACTGTGATTCCCGGTGCAATCCTAGATCGATACAGATGCGCATGGCTAGACCGATAAGATACCACACTCGCGTGGCAGAAGATGTTCGCATGTGATAGAGGACCAGTAACATGAGGGCTTCGAGATTCGTGTAGGATTGCGATTCGCCTAGTGAAGGTTCCAGCTGTAGTGCCGTCGCTACAAAGGCGCTTGGCGGCGTGGAGTCGTAGGTCTCGGTCATTTGTAGGATAGCTGCACCGATGGCATATACCATGAATAATTTGAACCGTGCAGCCTCGCTCGTCACATCCGACTGAGGCTTCTGAACGGTCGCATGCAGCTGCATCAGCTCTGAGCGATCCAGGAACGGGAGACGCGTATGCATGTCCTTGAAGTATGCATTGAGAAGTCGTATCCCAACAGCATCGCTTGGTAATGTGGTGCTGGCTGCGGTTCTCTCGCAAGGCAGAGCTTGAAGGTGGCTGCCATTGATGGGGATGGACCTAAGCCAGACGGCGTTCTGCACCAGACGGCCCAGATCCTCTGCAATGGACATGCCCGATGAGGGACCCAGATATGCCAGATTCTCGCTCCCCTCATGGCTCATTGCCATCATCGAGACCACACCAGCTCGGGAGTCACGTTGTTGCGGTTTTGTGCCCGTCGAAATCTGTTCCTGTGGCGCATCCGAATCCGGAGGAATTTGTTCCAGTGCAGCAGCCAGCTGTGCTTCAAGCACTTCAATGCGATGCACCAATGCCCCCTTGGACATGGCATGGTGCCAGGATGGAACGGACTCGGATCGCAGACAGGGCTGCTTGGCGGATTCGCAGCCGGTACAAGTCGGATAGCCGACGCATCGCTGCTTGCGCCGGTGGCAGCGTTTACATGACTTGGGGATGCGTTTGCGAATCCTTCCTTCAGCGCTCATGACGGGAGGTGAAGGTTGCAGCGAAGAAAATGGGAACAGGAAGCAGGGGACGATCAGCCATCCCTGATGTTCCCCGCATCTTGGATGAATTGAATCCTCTGCCGAGGCGCCAATTAGTACTTAGTTACCGGGCTGGGCGTGGCGGATATGAGGCGATGGTGCCGCCAACGCACGCCATCGCATTGGTGACTGTTTTACCGGCCAACCAACTTGAAGTATTTTGATACGGTCGGAAAGGCAGCCGAAAGGCGGTCCAACATTATATTCGAGGTGAGGCCGAATATATCCGCGATGACAGATCAGTCTGTAGTAGCAAATTCATCAGCTCCATCACCACAATTCTGGGATTAGTCTATTTGCAAGAGCAAAGTCAAGTGGACGATACTAGGTTTAACAATTATCACCGGTCAAAAATAGCTATACTCTTTTTCCGTTTAGCGGAATACAGGCAGTTGCAGGCAACACATGAACCAGTCGTAGAGTCCGGCTATATTTGCTCTCAACATGAATGCAAAGCTGCGGCCAATATCCCAATCAAGGCAAGATGGCCGAGTGGTCTAAGGCGCTGCACTCAAGTGAATTCGCTTGTCCAGCTCAGCTGGATGTATTGCAGTCTCGAAAGAGGCGTGGGTTCGAGTCCCACTCTTGTCATATCTTTTTTCTTTTTCCTTTTCCCCCCGCTCGTGATACCTCGGGAGGATATAATAGCATTGTTTTTATGACACATGGAAAGAAGACCACAACAATGCCTTTCTGACATTGTCATGCATATGTCTTACCCGTCTCACTATCAGACACCTTTTTTTTTTTTTTTTTTTTCCATTATGGTGATGTGCAAAATTCGAATACATCTCAACCGCACACTCTCCATCCGATGGCAGTGTTTTCTCGCCTCTCTCGCAGAATGTATTCAATCTCACCTTGCCCACGTCACAACTTTGGCTGACAAGGAAAATATACCCCGATCTGTCGGTCCATCCCATCATGCCAGCCTTATCGGGATGGTTGTATGACAGTCCAACTGTCCCGGTTCCCACCATAGCCTCAATGACTGGATGATGCACTGCCGGCTAACTCTCCCAATCCAATATCGATCACAGCCTTTAATAGGCTGAAAAGTACCTCGCTGTTCTCCGCAAGCGTTCGATCCTCAATCCAGTTCAACGTTCAATCCAAGGACTGGATAACTGACCAGCTTGGAGATCCGTGGGGAAGTGGGCCGCCCGACCCAGACTTGCCGTCTCACTCAGCTAACAGCTTAGCTCTAGACTACTACCGTATATTAGCTGCTGCTCCAGTTCCCCGCCTTCATCACCATCGGCTTATTCCTCCCCTCCACAATACTCGCACCCACTGTGGCCAAATAATGTCGACCGCTAAGTTCAGAGTCACCGAACATATCATCCCCGCATGCTATGTCCGGGAGTATGCGGGCAGTACCGTGGACCAGGAGGATGTCCTGCATCTCCACATCAAGCAATACACGCCTCGCGATCTACCCGATCCCGTCCCAGCCGATGCTGTCACTATCATTGCAGCCCACGCGGTGGGCTTTCCCAAGGTAAATACTCCCCTTTCAATAACAATCGATGGAAGTGGAATGACCAGGCATAGGAGCTGTACGAGCCGTTATGGGACGGGCTTCTCGTACGATCCGCTCAATCCAACTTCCACATCCGCGGTATCTGGATAGCAGATGTCGCCAACATGGGCATGAGTGGGGTTCTCAACGAAGATAAACTCAGCATGGACTGTGAGTGATTGCAGACCTACTACTACTTCCTAGCCTCGAAAATCTCTTGCTAAAAATGTTTTCTAGGCTCATGGATGGACCATCCCCGCGATTTGCTTCTAATGATCAATCATTTCCGCGATCAGATGCCGCGACCGCTAGTAGGAGTGGGCCACAGCTTCGGAGGTACCATCATGTGCGTGTCCACTCGCTCCCATCGCCGGATTATTACTGACCTTTCCTTCAGTACAAATTTGGCACTGATGCACCCCCGTCTACTAACCTCGGTTATTCTCTTCGATCCGGTAATTCAACGACTACCACCCAAGATGGGCTTTGGTGCGGACCCGCCCGGTCCTGTCAACTTCGCCCTGTGGCGTGACGACGTCTGGCCAAACCGGGCGGCAGCAGCAGCAGCTTACAAGAAAGTCTTTAAGAAGTGGGACCCTCGGTGTCTCGAATTAATGGTACAGTATGGGTTCCGGGATCTGCCCACGGCCCTGCATCCCGACTTGGGCGACAATGTAGACGCTGCCAACCCGCCGGTCACGCTGACCACGACCAAGTATCATGATGTGCTGGGTCAGATTAGGGAAAGGTTCCATGCTCGAACGTCTGATGGCCAGGCACAGTTGGATCGCTCAACCCATGCGGATGTGGACCCTTCTGTTGCTGTCCTTCCGGTGTACCGCCCCGAACCGCCCAGCACATTCAACAAACTGCCATCGCTGCGACCGTCAACACTCTTCTTGCTCGGAGAAGCGAGTTACTTGAACCTCGATGATCTTCGAGAAGGAATCAAGAGCTGTGGTCAAGGGGTTGGGGGAAGCGGGGGAAGAGACAAGGTCAAGGAGATCATTCTACCCAAGCAAGGCCACTTCTTCGCCTTTGAAGCGGTCGGAGAGACGGCCAGCCATTGTGCCAGCTGGTTAGATAAGGTTATGCGCGAATACCGAGTCGCTGAGCGGGAGTGGAAGGAAAAGAGACAAAAAATGGCCAAACGGGACCATTTGGTGCTGAGTGAGGAGTGGCGCAGGGTGATCAAGCCTCCCAGTTCATTCCGCGCAGCCAAGTCACGGAAAACCAAACTATGAGGTCTTGGTAGCTGCCTTCCTCTTATACCTGTGCTTTGATCTACAATTATAATACCACTATTTTATTGCTCCAGCTAAAATGTGCAGTGAGAGTCGGAATGTCAGGCCTGACATTCCATGTCATATCCCACCCTCAGGATCCATTCTTTTCTCCAGTATATCAAGTAATATTTACTCCTAAAAAGGAGGGCGTTGAAAGTTACTCAACAGGCTCAAGGCACAAGCATAGTTAGAAGAGGCGTCATCTAATCACCCCACACCGAGTGTGCACTAGGAGTCAGTCGCATTGTAACAAAGGCGATGGGAAGAATACCGAGCGAAGACTGCGCCGCGGATCAATGACGATGACAAAACTATATAAAGTTAACAAAGCTTAGTATTTTAGACTTTCCAGCCAGAAGTAAAAGCATGGGAGCAGATGTGTCATATCGGTTGCAATACCCACGGTGTGGGCAAATGCCCCCGTGGGAATGTAACATTGTGGGGACTGGGGAGATAGTAGTTGCAACGTCATGGGCTGCTTACTCAGAACATGAAGGCATCATAGAAGTTGCCTCCACACGCAGTCTTGCTTGCTCTGAGTAATAGATACAGTAACTACTCGTGCGTGCACGATGTGAGGGATGAACAAGTCTCCCCAAGATGCCGATCAATGCCATAAGTGATGTATGTTTCCTAGTATACTGTAAGTTGATACAATATTCAAAATTCGCCTAATATACTAATTCTAGGCGAATCGCTTACAGGATTTCTAGATATTGTTTGTATTGGTTACAAATAATGCCACAAAGTGAATGACTGTGAATAATCTGAATGATGTAAAGTCGGTTCAACAGTAACTCTAACTGCCCAACCTTCGTCATTGCTTGATCTGAGCCTGGTATAAATACATACTGGCATCCCACAAAATAAAACCAGATCTTCCTTGACACATCATCTTATTGCCTTTGCCCTAATTCATAGTATTGTCTGCACCTCTCCAGAGGGGCATAACAACCATGCAAATCGTAACTGTCATCGCACTTCTTGCGGCCAAGTATGCTCCCTGACTGTCGCATCTTCATGGAACCGTGTACTGAGGTAATCTATAGCCTTGCCGTCGTACAGGGTTGTAAGTGTTGGTCTGGGGATAGTGTGGATTTGAAAGCGAGCCAAGATTGTTGCTCCAGCAAATGTTGGAACGGTGATGATGGCAGTGTGAGCCTTTCATGATTATATCCCATGTACAAGACGGGTTTGGTTATATTGACGAAATGATAGTGTGATTCCAAATGCCTTGGGGATGATGTGTGGGATTATGCGGTATGTTGTGCGGCGGAAGATGAATGTAGTGATTGCGATTACGGTTGTCATCGCGAGGACTTGTAGGAGTACTATATATGGATAGTTAGTCCGGAATCTTTCGCTGTTAGTAAAAGATCAAATGCTATGGAGTCGACTATCGAGGTCATTCTCTCTGACAGGTTCTGTCAATACGATCTATATTCGTTGCATACTATTTTTTTCTCATTCATATACAGATAAGTAGTAGGTAGAGTAGAAAGTGCAGAATATCGTCATCATTAATTGCCCCTCCATACTGAATCGGAGTAGCAAACTTGCTTGAATTAAGCAGTACATCCTGCTCGTCCAACAACCCTACACCGGATCGCCAAGATCAAGTCGAACAACGGGGGTTTTTTTTCATCCTCTTCAACGCGTTATGATCAAAACTACTTGTGTAATTCTTATCATACATCAAACGTCACATATCCTCTAAAAATCAGAGCATCCTCCCGCCACCAACTAAAGTACCTCCCTCGGCAAGAACAACGGCATCGAATCTTCCCACATCGAGTTGGTCATCAACTTCTTATTTCCCCCATCCGCATCCATAATCATAACCTGCCCATACGGCTGGAACGTATCACCATACAGCGCACACTCAAACCGGAACCCATACATGCCGGTAGACCACATAATCCGTCCATCCTGCGACCAGACCGCATGCGCATCATTAGCACCGCTGCTCGTCAACACGCGGAGATCTGTCCCATCCGGCCGGATCGTGCACACATCGTAATTGTACGTGCTGGTTTTGCGTGTGAATAGGATGAGCTCTCCATCGGGAGAGAACTGGGGCAGATTGTCCCATTCTGTGGTTAGGACGGTTGTCTTTCGCGTCTCGAGGTCCAGCACCCGCAGCCCGATCTCGCTGGCGTTGCCGTAGGTTGCAGTGTCGGCTCCCCAAACCCGATACACCACTTTCTTGCCATCCGGCGAGAAACTCGGGAACCCGCTGTTCAGGGCTCCATCCTCGGTGATGGAGTAGCTGCTGTTCACGAGAACCTCCGAGTAGCTCCCGTTGGCGGTGGCCCGCACGATCCATCCGCCTGAGGCTTCTCTCGTCTCGAACCAGAATCCGACGCCGAAGACGAGCCACTCGCCGCAGGGTGACCAGCTGGGCTGGTAAGCGCTCAGTCCTGTGGTTTCGTCATCGCTGACAAAGTCCGCCGTGCTGGGGTCGTAGACGAGTTGCAAGTCGCCTCCGGTTGTGTTCAACGTCACGATGGACGAATTGCCCAGCTGCTTCTGTGTGATGGCGACGCGCTCCTGGTGCGAGACCTGAGGGAAGACGTCCGTGAAGCGGTAGTCCCAGTCACTGTCCCAGCTGTAGAGCTGCTTGTACCCCGAGCGGATGCTCCAGGTGCTCTTTTCGTAGACTACTTGCTTGCCGTCGGGAGACCACGCCGGGGACCTGAGGGTCGCCGAGGTCGTGTTGACGTAGAGTCCCGCGGTCGTGTAGAAGCCCTCGCTGGTGCCGCCTTTGAGGGTGTAGGCGATGGTGCCGTTCTTGTCCAGGTACTGAGGGAATTGCTTGACACCGGAGCCGGCGACTTCCACGCGCACATCGGTGCCTGTCTCGAAGTCTACGGACATGATCGTCGAGTTGGCTGTGGTAATGGTTTCTGGACGATGGGCGTTGTAGGTGTCTTCCCGGGTCATTTCGTAGTAGACGATGCGTTTACCGTCTGCTGACCATTTCGGAGATCCAAGAGAGTAGTATGGCTTGGAGATGATCTGACGGAAGTCAGAGCCATTGGGACGGATGGCGTAGAGAGAGAGTTCTTGCGTCGTCTCCCAGCCCGTGCGGCCGAGGAAGGTCGGTACGCCGTGTCCGTCCCATTGGGTGTTGCGGTCCGAAGAGAAGGCGATCCATTCGCCATCAGGAGACCAGGCAGGACGGAGATAGCTCTCCATGAGGGAGGAGTTGGCGGCAGTGGTGGGTGTATTTGTGAGGTTCCACTGCGCGCCGGTCTGAAGATCAAGGATCCAGATGTTTGCCTTCATGTTGTTGGCGGTGGAGACGTAGGCTGCCAGGCGGCCGTTGGGAGAGATAACAACGGAGTCTTCCACTGCAGGCGTGGCAACCAATTCCTGGAGATCGGAGCCGTTGGTCCGTACGCGGTAGATGTCAGAGTTACCGTCACCATTGCGCTCGCTGGTGAAGGTGATCCATTCTACATCCGGGGAGAAGGAGGCATGGTACTCGTAGACGGGGTTGGAGAGGAGTGGGCGTTCATTACTGCCATCTGTGTTGGCAATGTAGAGCTCGGATGTGCCAGGAGCAATGCGGTTCATCATGAACACGCCTTTCTGCCCGACAGAAGGGGTGCTAGAGGAGGTAGGAACAGTTGAGGGGCTGCTCTTGGAGGCAATCAACGGTCGGGACATGTGAGCGTGTGCTTTCACCATGTTATCAATGCCCATGTTCGCAGTGTGTGCGAAGGGACAGCCTCCAAGGGCCGGGATGGCCGCCAGGCCTAGAAGGGAGATGAGGGAGCAGCGCATAGTTGCGGAGGACTGCCCGGATATCCTGAGTCTTGAACTGAACTTGACTGAGCGACGCCTGAGCAGAGCACTGACGAGCGAGAAGACGGTGGTATTTAAGCACCTCGACCTGGCAACAAACCGCAGTTTCCCCGCGGCTGATGCAGAATTTGCTGAACGGTGCTAAGCGTGGAGCCCTTTCTGGAAACACCTCTTGCGCGGGCCTTTGCTACAGGGACGGGGGAGTGATACCGGCTAAATCATGTACCCGGTGGATATTGAGATAGTCATGCTAGTGGGACAGATGGAATCCATGCACAATACTTCTGCTCCATAACATAGCGAGTCCTGTGCAGACTGGGACAAATGCAGCCAGATACTTTCTGCCTGGTAGTCTCCCTGGTAGCAGACTGCTTGGGTTTAATCGGAGCATATAGTATATTAGATCAGCTGACACAGTGCTTTGCTCACTTCTGCTTAAATCACAGCATACAGTTTCGTTGGGCATAATGTGGATTGGTATAGAATATAGACGGCCGGATGTTGGCGGACACTCGAAGTATCAAATAAGTGCTGTACATCCACCTACTAAGAGTCCACTGATTTGACGCATGAATCATGACGCAGCCGAAGACTTCTCTCCGATGTCCGTTGTCCGACTACGGTCTGCAGCAGATAAGATGAAATAGCATTGTATTTGCATCTATTGGCGCGGAAGCTCAGGGCTGAGACCCACTGCCCAGATGACGGGGCGCTCGGACAAACGACCCCTGTTTTCGTGACTGTTCATAGTATAGGAGCAGCTTTGAAGAATTTATTGGTTGGTCATGCAGACATCCGGGGTCCTGCGACGGGGGGATTGGAGACATTCTCATCGAGACATATGGTCGAATATTCATGTTTATCCCCTTCCGTTATGCCTTCCTCGAGCAAAAACCTCATAACCAGACTATGGGGAATCCGACAGACACGATGTGAGCGGTACAGACGTTCTTGGCGCTCAGAACCCTGGAGGGATAAGATCTGCAGTCCCCGTCGGAGCAGATCAACTTTCCTGTCTCCGATGTCCGACATCTCCACTGTGAGACCCAGTTCGACCTCCTTGCTCCGGTGTCATTCGATGGCGATGAAAATTTGTCCTACTAGATACCAGGCCATGACGATCACAACCAAGCGAGGAGTCCACTCTTGCTCTTGGAAGATGCCATCGGTTGTGAATTTCCGCTGCAGGCACATGTCCGGTACCGAGAGTAATCTAATCAGATAAACCAGCATCTGATAACCGGGTGTGCTTTTGTGAGAAATAGCGCCGCATTATGAAATTTATCAAGGAATGGGCTATAGTAGCACCAGCACATTACCATAGAAGAAAAAGATTTGCAATCGCAAGGTGTACAGATCTGACACATACCTCTGGACGAGATTGGATGGATACTTATACAGCTGGACAACACATTTCCGTCTAGTGCTAATTGACTGGCACCTGGTAGAAGGGAATAGGGGTGCCAGAATCTGCAGGGGTTTTGAAATAGCCGGGTAACCAAAGTGGCATTAGGCTCTCTAGCTCTATTCAGTAGCACAAAACTATACGTGGGGAACTTTTGCATCCAACCATGCTTTATCGGTCCGGATATTCTAAGCACTTCGCCTTCCCATGGCCTTCACCTCGCTATGCGTCATAGAGTTGGTCACTACCTCTATCGACGTTCGTTTCACGATAGCCATGCTCAACTGTGGCCACAGCTTGGAATCGCTGTCTCTAGAATTGATCGGACGGTCTTCCACATCGAACCTGGTATCGAAAAGAGTATCTCCCCACACTGGTCGTGCGCTCTTCTTGGCGGTCAATGTGTGCAATGGAAACGAGCGGGATCTCGATCGGGAATATTCCTTGTTCCAGAATCCAGGACGAAGGAGGGGTCTAACGGAGGGTGCAGCAGCAGCGATGACTCCAATGGATGATTCCAGGCTATGGGGTTGTTAGCATTGTGCATGCGTTTTTGGCAAGGAACTGACTCACAAAGCACACATGTAGAGATTTATGTAGTCCCCTGGTAGTATATTAGAAGTGTTATGGCTAGAGCTGAGTCGAAGTATGTTCACGTACACGTAGGATCCGATGACTCGGTCAAAGTGGAAACGTACTGTGTTCGCGCAAGTGCAAAACCCGCGCTCCTGTTATATCATCGTTAGCATACCACTAACCTAAGCATAGAATAGACTCACGCAAACCCCAGGGCCATGAGTCCACAAATGGCTGCCTTCACTTTGATCGGGATCTTAACCTTCCATAGAAATACGATCGGTAGGATGGATAGCACAATGTCTGTTCCAGCGGCAATTGCTACGCTGGTGTCTTAGCAGGCGATCCCAAGAAATGTCAGAGGTTATTCTTACCCCCTTGCGCAATGGCTGCCCCATTAATTGCTGACTTTGGCCAGCAGGTCCCATCCACTCTTTTGTCCCATGTTCGAGCCACCGGATCACACTGAGGGAGGACGATGGCGGCATCCAGGAGGCTCGTGACCGTATTGAAGGCAATGAAGCACCAAAAGAATATCTTCCACACCTTGGTTGTAAGACTATACGCAGAGTCAGCTTTTGTGCCATCAAGTTACCGTTAGGCAAAGACATACAACAGCCTCATCAAGAGAAGACTGATGGAGATCTTCAGGAAGATGGTCGAGAACAGTAGCGGAAAGAGGCACATCCGCAAGAGCTTGACGCAGTACACAGCACGGTCGACATCGAGGGTGTCGTAATGACGCCCTAGACCATACGGAACTGCAGCGAGTATCAAGGCCATGGCGACCAGAGTGGTCAACTGAGTCATGGGGTATCAGTAAGAAACGTCGAACAGTCCTGCAAGCGCAGCCCTTACCGTTGCGAGGAGGTTGAACCAGTCATCCCAGGACAGTGTCCTCATGACGAACTTTCGCACGTACAACCGCAGCAGAGTCAGGACGACGGCAATGACCGTGGTCACAATAGTCGGGATAACGATGACTGATGCCTGGGAGGCATTGTCGTCAACCGCCCGTATCCAGAGCAGCATGACGCATCTGACCGAGCAGCACCGCTGAGGAGAAGAAGAAACAGAGCAGCGCAGTCATTCGTATTCTGTGGAGGCACCAACGAGTACCCGGGGTAGGCTCCAGCGAAGGACTTTGTACGCCGGGACAGACTGGAATAAAGAAAATCTCTGACCCTGGCAGACGTGCGTAAGGCCATCAGGGGATAGCCAGCTAAGCCAACCTAATCGGTCTGGCTATTCCCGGAAGGGCAAGGGATCGTGGATCACAGTCCATCCAGACCGAGGTCGAATGGAAGTTATGCGCATGAACCTGGTCCGTGGGTGCAGCCGGACTCGCCCGAGATCTCTTGATGCCTTGTTTAGGGTGGATTAGAGGTGTGCCAATAGCGATGGAGGAGGGCGGGAAGCATTCCAGCTGGCACAGTCTTTCATCTATTGATGCTCCACGGTGGGATCCACTCACACGACCTGTCGTGTGCTGTCTTGCTCATGACTTGATGTGAAATTCTGGGAGCAGTTGAGATGGAAAACGGGAAGGTCTCAGTTTGCGATGCCCTGTTGCCTGGATGGATTGTAGCACATAGATGTTAATCCCAATCGGTAGAGGGGATTCCATGAAAGGAAGAGGACGGAGGGTTGAGCATCGAGACTGAGATATGTGGGGGAGCTGAACTGGATTGAACTGGAGTCAAATTGAACTGAACACGGGAAGAGATGCAGGCACGGGCCCGGAGATATCGCGGGGAAACCGGCCGACACAATGGATTCACAATCTGCCAGGCACGAGAGGACTGACTGTCTATGTCTCCTACTACTTTCGATCAACGGCTGTCAGACTCTAATTCCAATTGGCTATTGGCAATTCTCCAATCAATTGCATCGTCGTAAAAATCACGCATCTTCGAATCCGCCGGCAAGGGCTGGCTGATCGGGGATGACCGCGACACGTCGATTTCCCCTCAATCTAACCAGGCCGCTAATTGCTTAGTCTGCTCTTGGTGAGAATTGGCTTGAATCCTTGGGCATGGGATCACGCCACTCACAATCCCTTCAGATGGAACATCCCTGCCAGATTCGCTTCCTGGACGCTTTGTTCGTGGGGATCCAAATTATTAATGGCCGTCATCTCAGGGGCAGCGCGGCTCAATTCCCTGTCGCCGCCGCATTGTGAACCATCTATTTCTAATCCGCCCTTGAATGCCCCCCTGACTCTCCCATTACCCCAGTCATCCAAGGTTCCTATCTATCCCGGCCAGGACTGAATCTAAATGAGGACCTAGAATTGGAAGGAGCCATACTTAGAACGAGACAGACAAGAAATAAAGTGGGGAGTGCGAGCCGAGGGTCAATTGAGAGCACTAGTTCTCATCCCCGCCCGAACCAAACTTGCTGCCCATCATGGGCCCACCCCGACCGTTTACCGTCACCATCATCGGTGGAGGCATCGGTGGCCTCGTTCTCGCTGTCGGGCTGCTACGACGTCAGGTTCCTGTCCAGATCTATGAGGCTGCCGCTGCCTTTGCGGAAATTGGGCTGGGGTTGTCCATCGGTCCAGCAGCTCACCGGGCGATGCCCCTCATCGACCCGGAGATTCGAGCCATCTACGACGCTCTCGTCACAACGCACGCAGACAGCCCGGGCTATGAGCGATACAAACAGACCTGGTTTGAACTCGTCTGGGCCACCGGCGACCACGAGGGCGAAACGTTGATGGACTTGAAGGCCTTGCCTTCGGGACAGACGACGCTGCGACGTGCCGACTTCCTTGCCGCCCTGGTAGCTCTGGTCCCTCCGGAAATTGTTCACTTTGGCAAACGGCTGAACCAATTGGCGGAAACGGCAGACGGGGTCCGCCTACAGTTCGAAGATGGCACAACTGCCATGGCAGATGTGGTGGTAGGATGCGATGGGATCAAGTCTAAGGTCAAGGAATCAATGCTGCCCGAGGAGTCCGCTGTGAAACAACCTCGCTATAGTGGCATGTATGGCTACCGGGCCGTCTTCGATATGGACGAGATGGTGGCGGCGGTTGGCGACCAACGCGCCCGAGTATCCACCATGTATCTCGGCAAAGGCGCCTATGCCATCTCGTACCCCATCATGCGCGCCAAAAAGGTAAACTTCGGCCTCTATATCCTGAGTGAAAGCTGGGATCATGACGCGTGGGTTCGACCCGCCAGTAGAGAAGACATGCGACGAGATGCTCAGGGTATGGGAAGATACGTGCAGGCTCTTGTTGAGGTACGTCGGATGTATGTTTTTCTCAGACCGAGCGTATGCTGACTACCATCAGCGCATGCCCGACCCTTCTCAATGGGCCATCTTCGAGCATCCCCATTTATCTACGTACACTAAATCTCGCGTGGCCATACTGGGTGACGCGGCTCATGCCTCCACGCCACACCAAGGGGCAGGTGCCGGTCAGGCCATCGAGGATGCTCACGTCCTGGCAGAGTTACTGAGCGACCCGCGAGTCAATAGCGTAGATGATGTCGTGAATGCCTTCAAAGCATACGATCAAGTCCGTCGACCGCGAAGTCAGCATGTGGTCACGACGAGTAAGGAAAATGCCTATCTACTCTGCTTGTGCCTGGACGGTGTCGGGGATAAGGAGGATAAGCTACGGGAGACATTCCAGCAACGACTGCGGTGGCTCTGGGACCTGGATGTACAGGAGCAGGCCGAACAAGCACGGAGGAAGATGTTTAGTGAGTGTAAACTGTAATGAGTCTAGATACCCAACGCGAATTAGCCAGTACTACGATTGTCCATTTTACTTTTCTTTCTGTTTTTCTGGCTCATATTATGTAGAATTTACTTGTCCTTATCCTCAGACCAAGATTGAGAGGCTGTTCGATCTGCCTTGGTCTGAGATTCGAATATCAGAAAAGGGAAAAGAATGGGATGATGCACAATACTATATAGGAGAGGTTTGGCATTGGTCAGCGCGTCCATCGTAGTGCAGGGAATAAACATTATTGAATTCATGAAGCACCAGATGATAAACACGACACATTACTAGTATTCAAATACAACCATTTATCTTCCGAAGAAGCCTACCCCTTTCTGAACAATCGCCGAATAGCATCCACCAGCTCCGTCCGCCCGCGATACATGCGGTCCGGGGATGGAGAATTACCAGACTCTTTAGCAATAACTCCTCCCGGCAAGAAACTCCGGGTCATCTCTACAAAAGGACCGACCGACGCTTCAGGTAGAAATCGACCGAAAAATGCGGGCAAATCTGCTTTTTCGATAGGTCGGAGTTCGACTGCATGGCCGGCCACGTCCTGAAATGCTTCCTGCACGTCCTTCGCCGTGTACTCGCGTGGACCGTGAACCTCCACGACATACGGGTTTTTGGGGTTATCCATGGCCATTATATAGGTGGCGCATGCCTTTCCGATATCGGCGACGGAGACCTTGCAGCGTGAATGGTTCAGCCACTAATCCTATAGTTATTCAATTCATAGCGTCAATAGGAATCTCTCACCATTGGAATCTCATAGTCCAGGGGAGTGATGACCGAGAACAGGTGTGGTTGTTTGGCCTGGACAGTCTCCATGGCCGGAGCCCAGTTCTCCATAAAGTAGGCGCATCGCATGAAGACGACCTCGGGTACCACATCCTTAAGAATCTCTTCCGCAATGTGGTTCGTCATGATTTCTCCCTATGCGAATTAATTAAAACCCGTACCTATAATCGCGTAACTGAGGGTTAGAGGCAGGACGCACTGTTCCCTCTGGCTGTTCGGCGCCCATGCTGGAGAGGAGCACCAGGCGTTTGACCGTCCCAGCCTTCTGGATCGCTATGCGGGTATTTTCCGAGGCCTGGCGGGCCCACTGCATCATATCGGAGCCATCATAACGCGGCGGTGTGATGGCAAAGACGGTGTCAGCGTTCCCAAGGTCCAGGCTGGCTGCATTACTGAGATCACCTGCGACCGCGTGGAAGCTACCATGCGAAACGAACTCAGCGGGGGCTTTGGCGACGTCACGGTAGATGGCGCGCACGTGGACTGGGGCAGTCAACTGGTCTGCTTCCAGGAGAGCCCGGATGGTCTCCTGGGCGGATTTGGGTGATGCGGGGAGAACGGCGACGAGCATTCTGTCGGGACTAGCTACATGCTCTATAGCAGCCGGGCTGTATGGGGTAGTGGTGCGTTGTTCGATGCTTCGTGAGATCGTCGGTGTCAGACGAGGTGGAGAAGAGTTGGGGGCGGCGAAGGGATGTTCCTTGGTTGCCCCCAAACTCTGTTGTTCCGATTAGTTTAGAGCCATCAATTAGTTATCAACCGTTTACAACGACGTCGTGGCTGGACATGATGGAGTGTTCACATCTTGACACATACAGCGAATATCAGGGGTGCCACGCCATGGAGGCTATTTTAGTGTCAGAAATGGACAATTTACAGACAAAGAAACACCCGACCGACTATTTTAGCTGTGATGATCGCGTCTCTACTAGTTGCTGCCCATTGGTGGGCTCGCCTCGTAGTAATAAGTATCATCCATCTCGTTGAGCGATGATGGCTGAGTGGGTCGCTAAATGCCTGCCTTAAGCAGAAGGTATGCAGTAGGCTCAGCCTCGCGTCCATAGTTTCGGTGATAGAGTATTATACTTAGAGAGTAGAAAACGCATGCTCTGACGTTCATTTAGTCTGTCCTTCTGACCCTTGCCAATCGTTGGGGCTCTGTGGACGATTCTCGCCTTCTCGCCTGGCGCCCGCCTACTCCTATAAGAAAGCTCCGGTTGTATTGCTTGGCCGATTATCTTCTTCAAGACAAGGTAACAACATTACTATATCCGAGGCAACATCATCACATCATGGAGACACCATGGACTCGGCTGGGTGCTTTTGGTACCGTGGCCGGGGTGCTGCTAGCCTTCATCACTCGCTCGGGTGAAATAGAGAAACGACTGTTGAGGTTGTTGAGCCTCTTCACTCTTGCCAACATTACCCTCATTTCGTGGGCGCCAGCCTGGTTGGGCACCACCTCAAGCACATCTGAAATCGTCCTTCGAGTACTCTGGCTAGATGTAGCGCTGCTCACGGGCCTGTTTGGGAATATCGTCGTGTGCCGGCTCTTCTTCCACCGACTGCGCAACATGCCGGGCCCGATCGCAGCCCGTGTCTCGCGTCACTATGCTGCCTACCATACCATCAAGGATGCACAGATGCACTATACTGTTCAGCGTTTGCACCAGCAGTATGGCGATGTCGTCCGCATTGGTATCGTAAACCCCCCTTCAACCTTGCCTCAAGCTATCTCCACTGACGGGCGCAACAGGGCCCCGAGAGGTTTCCGTCTGCCGCGCCTCGGCCATCCGCGCCATCTATGGACCCCCAAGCCGATGCATCAAGGGACCCTGGTACGACCAGGTCACGAATGAGAACGACAAGAAGCCGCTGTTTACTATTCGGGACCTCAGAGTGCACAGTAAGCGACGCCGGCAGTGGGATCAAGCAGCTAAAGGTGAGAATTGAAACAGACTTCTTCCGATCGTGCCTGCCCATCGGACCATTAACAGATGTGAATGGCGCCAGGTATCAACCACTATCACAATGCCCTACAGAAACAGAGCAGGATCCTGATAGAGAAGATCCGCGAGCACCAAGGGCGGCCCATGGACGTGACTAACTGGATCAACTGTTATACCTTCGATGTCATGGGACACATCGTCCTGGGTGCGGAACTGGGGATGCTGAAGACCGGGAAGAAGATCCCCGAACTGCAGGTCATCGACGAGGGCCAGCGATACATCGCGGTGGCCGGGACTATGCCATGGTTTCCACCACTGATGCTGGGGATTCCCGGTCTGTCCGCAATTCTCAACCCGTTCCGGCACCACTGTCATAAATTGTTCGATGCGAAGCGAGCGGTATATTTTTCAATGCACTTCTGTATATATTGTTGGTGACTTGTTTTGCTGATTGATCTTTAGGCCATGACGAAGGGGAGCGAGCCCAAAGACATCATTAGCTGGCTGATTCAAGCCCAGGACAATGGTGATCCTGGCGCGCCACCCACGGATCAAGCAATCAAGGACGATGCCTGGTTCATCATCGCGGCTGGCAGGTAAGGTTGGCCCTGAATATTTCTCGCGCTTGGCAGGGACCAGACAAATAGAAGAACCAGGCTGACGAACCATGATCGGATCTTGTAACTAGCGACACGACGGCATCTGCGCTGATCAATGCGGTCTACTACCTCGCCACACATCCGGGCGCGCAGGCCCAGCTCCAGCGAGAGATCGATGAGAGATTGCCCGAGGGAATAGAGGGCTTGTCGTACGAAAATGTGAAGGATCTCCCGTATTTAACTGCGGTGATCAACGAGACACTGCGGTTGAAGCCATCGGTGCTGGATGGTCTGGTACGCGTCACCCCGCCGCAGGGACTGAAGGTGGACGAGGATCTCCACCTGCCGGGCGATGTGGTGGTGTCAGTGCCGACTTTTGCCATTCAGCGCGATGGGCGCTATTGGGAGGATGCCGACCAATTTCGACCTGAACGATGGGCGTCGATCGAGAACCCGGCCAATATGCCATTCATTCCGTTTTCACGAGGTGAGTCTGTCCACCCAGACACTCCCTGGTTTGCCCGACTAAGATGTGTCTCCGCATAGGCTCGTATGACTGCGTGGGCAAGAGTATTGCGTGGATGGAGATGCGGATGGCTTTGGCAATGCTGGTGGGAGAATACCACATCCAGCTGTCCGATGAGGAGCAGCGGGCCTTTGATGGCAAAGAACTGGATAACTTCGCCATGTCTGTGCCGGCCTTGTGGGCCACCTTCCGACCCCGTCGGTCCCCATCTTAACCATCAGTCAGTAGCTGTCTCGGTTGAAAATCGTGTAATGTAATCAGTCGGTCTTTTGTAAGCACCTGAAGAGACTTTTGTTTATATGCCGGAACAATTCCGCTGTGGTGGGGCACCCGAGATGACGTGCCAGACTTGCATCTCGATGCAACTATCCCCGATCGTGCAGTAGATAGATATCTCCGACTTACCCCTCCTTCCCCTCGGTCGCATTCACCACCATCGCTTTGTCTAACATTCTTTCGACTTGTATCTCACTTAGGACGTCTAACCTCATTCCCGCACTATGACTCTCAAGCTGTACGGCTTCGTTCACTCCACCTGCACCCGTCGTGTGCGCACCGCCCTAGCCGAGAAAGGGCTGGACGTGGAAATCGTCCCCGTCGACCTGGCCCAGGGCGAGCAGAAGACCTCCTCTTATCTGAACGATCTTCAGCCGTTTGGCAAGGTGCCCGTGCTGCAGGATACTGAGACTGGCATCCAGATCTATGGTTGGTGTTACGAGAAATCAATTCCAGACATACCCTAACAACACTCCTTCTATGAACAGAAAGTCGCGCCATCGCTCAATACATTGCTACCAAGTACCGCGGCCAGGGCACTGACTTGGCTCCTCCTGAGTCGGATCTGAAGGCCTTTGCCTATTATCAGCAGGTACTTCTACCTTTCCCTAAAAAAAGCTACACAATCTCCGTACCGAAACTAATGGGATAGGCTCTCTCCATCGAGCAATCCTACTTCGACCCCCTCGTTTCCCAAATCGCCTACGAAAAGGTCTTCAAAGCCCGCAAGGGTCACGGCCAGACCGACGAAGCCCGCGTGCAATCCCTCTTCTCCCAACTGGAGCTCACCCTTGAAGGTTACGAGCGGGTCTTGTCGAAGCAGCCCTACCTAGCCGGGCAGCAGCTTACACTGGCGGATTTGGCTCATTTGCCGTACGGAGTCTTCATTGAGCAATTTGGATTCACGGATGTGGTGAGCAAGTTCCCGCATGTGCAGAAGTGGTGGGAGGGATTGAAGGCTAGGGAGAGTTGGAAGAAGGTCACGGCGTAATGTGGGTACATATTAAAATACGAACTTAAGCAGTAGATAATAGCTGGGTCCATGAATGAAATCTACTACGAATTTCAGACTTCCGTCGAATCCCGGGACTCCCGATGACCCTGTAGATAGTCCGGGGGTTATGCATGTCCACGTGTCCATCAATACCACGAATTACCACGGCACTGAGTCAGGGACTTATACTACGTTTCGGCCAGTCCACGGATAGTATCACATTGTGCAGACTGATTGAGGGTCAACGTGTGAGCGAAGAAATGCTAGAAAGGGGGAACTGAGCAGTTCGTATCGTAACATTCTTAGTATGAGCGTTGTGTTGATTCAACCTACTCAGGTAAGCGTGCATGCCGTGGAGTTTTAGGTTTCGCCTACGGAATGAGCTTCAACCTCCTACAAGAACCATAACATGATTATCCGTTTTGCCAATCCCCTATAATGGGAGCATTCCTCAACCAAGGCCGAGAATGTATACTCCAGTTGCAGAGCAACGACAACAGGCTCGAATACTCAACACTTCTTGGGAAATAAACAAACATCACAAGACAGACGATCATCCACACCAATTCCACGGCGCAGTCGACGCCCTCTCATGCAGTACTGGGATAACAAATACAGTCATAATTTGGCGGAATAATAGGTGCATTTGGCGTGTATAATGCTCTCTTCTAAATACACTAACCAAGTTGTCATATAACATTTCAAAAGCGTCGTGACTAAAGTACAAGATGGCATAAACTAAAGCACTCAGTGTCCCCACAGCCTTGTACACGGCCAGATCATCCCCAAAGACCAGCTCAAGAGAAGCTTTCTTAAACCTCGTACTCGCGCAGCAACCAAGCAGACTCAGGCCGGCTCGAGCAAGCATCGTCCGAGGCACAGGTGGCGGTGTCATAATCAGCATATTCGTAGAAGATGTTCGTCTTGTCTTCAATGTCCGAGTCGTCCAAGTTGACGTCCATGTACTGGATAGGATACCCATAGTATCCCGTCAGACCAGCATCGCTGTCGGCCTGCTGCAACGCATTGTCGACAAAGTAACCGCAAGCGTAGTGGTCGCTGTGGTCGCCATCACCAAAGTCGTTGACATAGTCACCCGTCTTGACCTCGTCGGGGTCAAAGTCATCAATCAGGGCGGCAATGGTCTCAAGCAATTCGTCTCTCGTGTACTCGATGCCCGACCCATCAATGGTCCGGATCACGTCAATGTCGCCGTTCCACAGTTTCTGCAAGCTGTCGTTCTGGTCGGGGCCGAAGCCGGTTCCATCCATGTTGCCATCCGGCAGGTGCATAAACGCCAGGGAGATGTCATCGTCGTCTTGCAGCGTGTAGAGGGTAATGGACTTGTCTCCGACAAAGATCACGTCTTCGTCCCAATTGTTGCTCGCCACGGCCATGCGCGCATAAGCAGCCCGCGAGCCCTCCTCGCGCGCATTCCAGTAGTCGGATCCCAGTCCTGCATCTCCCGCAGTCAGGAACACAGTACGAATGGGCTCGCCGGAAAGAATGTCTCGGATCAAGTCCGGACTGAGGAAGAGGAGATCGTCATCCTCGTGTGCGACGAAGTTGATGGTCTTTGCAGACGAGAGGGTGAATGACCCGAGGGCAGCTAGCGTGCTCCAGAGACCGTAAGTCTTCATCGTGAGGGTCGTTGAATTATGTAAAGAATGACTGGTTATGTGTACAGGTAGAGTGGAAATCTATCTTCTCATCCTGTTTGTGGGAACAGCACAGGGAGCCTGGTTTATATCACCGACTTCTACCTACATCAAACACATACAAACAGATCAAGGAACTGGAGTACTTTTGGGCTTACATTCCTCGCGAGAAATCAGTACTATGTTCGCATCCCTTGCTTTGGCAATCTTGGTGACGCCAGACTTTCAATCATGGCTTTTGCAAAGCCTGGTGACCTCAGAGGCTCTGCTCTGCCTGACGACGTTGTCAGCCACTCATGTCTAGATATACTGTTCAGGGCTGTGATCTGCGCATCAAGCCATTGAGTTCAGTAGTGCGGGATAAACGATGGAAGATCCTGGTCGCTATTAAGTATATTCGCATTCCATACCGCGAGTCGGCTGTGCTCGATCGTAGACACGCTGCGGATCCGCGCGTGAAGATGATTACTATGAAAACGCGAAGCTTAGCTCCTGTACCAAGGCCCGCTGTCGTTGAAGAATCTACACCAAGGACCATAGCATGAGCTATATCTCTGCGCGTCATATGCGATATAGCACAGGGACGTATTACTGAACGATCGGTGGCAGGGGATCGCCGGTCCCTCTCCAGCATCAACCCCTTCCATAATCTTATTCCTTTTGTTGTAGTAATTTTGCAGCGGTAACTAGATAAGCAATGATCGGCCTTTACCACGGGTCTCGTGCCTTAGAATCATGTGTCTGCCATCAGGCGTAAGATTCACCAGGTCCTGAAGGAAGTATGCGTGCTGATCTGTTAGAGGGAGGGGAATGGGGCAGGAATCTATACAGTAGATGATCAGCAGCCTGGAACATGGTCATTGCTGAAAATCTAGATGCTCTATAGAACTCGCCTGCAGGACACCAGACTTCAGCATAGAGCGGACAAAAGATTCTCAGTCAACGCAAGTGGCGGAAGATGTACGCTGCTCGATTTTGTGGCCCATATTTCCCATGTACGGTATTAAGAGCGACCAATCCCTGAAGACCCAATGTATGCTCGGAAGGGGTAGACCCAGGCCTCCAAAATATCTTCCCATGCTTGTAGGTGGATGTAGCACTCGTCATCACCGTGAAATTTCGAAGCAATATGTGGCCCAGCATTATAGGTAGGAGGACCGGATATCGGTGCCGTGAACCCTTGATTGAGTGACCGAGCTCAAGTATTGTTGCTGCGTTGGGGCACAGAAGTGGAAGGTAATTATCTTGGTGAATGAGTAGTCCCGGCCAGCGTATGTCGGTATCGGATTTGAGAAAAGATGTGCTGGAGCCAGCACTTTCTAAAGGGGTCAATCATCCAGTCTTAGAAGGTAGTGACCTGCATGGATCAATACCAAGCACAGGCTACTACTATAAGCCGTTATCGGTTCATAGGGTCGGTTTGTAGCAGATGGTATGGTCCACCTCAAGACGAAAGTACATAGTGTAAGCATCTCCAGCATCCAAATACTTGTTGTAGAATCTGCAGGCGTATAATCTCTCTTCAGCATAGAAGCTCTATCGAGACATATAAGTATACCCATGATGAAGGGACTTCGGTCACATTGGGAAGGTACACAACCATGAACTTTACGGCTTTAACAGTATATAATCTGTTACATTTACTAACATGATGTAAAAGTGGTATACTATTTTATATTTATCGTAAGGCAATGCCAGTTTACGTGATTTTGTTTGTCACCAATCAATGTCGTTAAGCCTCTTCAACTATATATATATCCCGAGACTAGTATCAACAAATCGAAGATGATATTTCGAACAACGAAGAGTGTCATAAGTAGTAGTGATTATGCGACTGGTACGCAGGTACTACATACAGTATGCTCTCCAGATGCGTTATTTTAAGTACTACTTATCTCAGAGCATAGTCTACTTTCCACTCAATGACTCTTTTACTTGAGAGGAGAGCTGTTGATGTGTTTCCTATTTAGGTTCTTTGTGACTAACTTTACGAACCCGATGATGTCATATCATAATAGCAGCTCGAAGCATCACGTGATGTTACGGGGTCAGCTCATGTGCCTGTAAATGAATCCCAGCAGCTTCAAGATAGCTGTAGACAAGGTCCTTCTAGAGAACCCAGTCTCTGATCAAATATTACTGATATTTATAAATCTTGAATCGAAAGCATTGACCTGCTATTATGCAAGGCAAAGTCTGTATGCTCCCTGCCTCGCCTACGTAACCATCTACATATTCGAGTTATCCTCCTCTTGAGGGCAAACAGAGTGATAGATTAGCGTAGATAATGACTAAACCTAAATATAAACCCCACTAGACTCCAGAATATTACCCAATTGCTGCAAGTGATAAGAAGTCTGTGCCAAAGAATTCACGCAGCTGCCTAGACCGTCAAGGACACCTTCTGCCCCCAATACTGACACTCCGTAAGCGATGCCTGGTGAATTATCCTCTCGAATATCCAAAGACCCACGTCCCGACGACTAATGTAATAGCCCACCGCGGGTTTCTCGTCGGTGCCGGTCTTAATCTTCGACAACCCATCGCCATCGCCATTGACCAACAAGGAGGGCCGCACCATCAGATACCCGTCGATGGCGCGTTCCTCCTCTGGCTTCTGCATCTCGGCCTCGACCAGCTTCTCCATCACCTTCTTGTCCTCGTGTGGCACCTTGAGCAACCAATGGTACAGGGGCAGCATCAGAAGTGGCACGTCGCGCGTGTCGCTGAGGCCGGTGGTGCTGATGATCACGATCCGGGGCTTCTGCGGACACGATCGAGCGGCGGACAGGATGGTCCGGACGCCATCTTGGCAGATGGTCGGGTTGTCTAGGGTGGCTTTGATGCCATACTCGAAGCGTGGCTTACCGCCGAGGCCCGAGACGATCAGGTCGACGGGGCGGCCATCGAGATAGAGGGTCTTCTGAACGGCCTCGTGATCGTAGATGTCACCTTCCGTGACCGTTAGGTATTTCGCAATGGCGGATTCGGGGACATTGAGCTGCTGGAGCAGGTTGTGGAGCTTGGAGGGCGTGCGAGCCACTGTTATTGATCAGAGTCAGTCAGTTTTGGGTCTGGCTTGGAAAGGAACGGAAAAACGTACGGGCGGAGCAGTGATACCCGGCTTGCAGGGCCAGTGCCAGGCACGCGTTGGCACATCCCCCGGTCGCCCCAAAAAAGGCTACTGTCGGCTGTTGTTGCATTTTTGGTTTATGGAAAGGGAGAGAATGACCGAAGTACTAATTTGCTTGATATTGCGACGATGATTATTGAAAAATAAAACCATCGTCCCTTCCGTCTTTATGTACATTCTTCGATCCGCGCTGCCCTCCGTTAAGTCTCCGTGCGACCGCGGAGACTTGTGGCTGAGCCGCCGTCTTACATCCTCGTGCTGCCAACACGAGCTGGCAGCCATGAAGGAGCATCATCATGACTCGGAGGCGCTCCGCTGCTGCTCGTGTGATCTTCACCGCATAAGTAGACTACAACCACGGTTCGTCAAGCCTTTAGTGCCACCGCTCACCAACGACTCAGAAGCTATGCTTCCCTGACCCCTAGATCCCTGAGATATGCTTCCGGCGACGGAGATCGTCCCAGGAACTCCCTGAGCATGTCCAACTCATCTCTACTACCACCGTTGGCGAGAACTATTCGTCGATAGCGAAGTCCAGCTTCCGCACTCATGGGATCGTCACGAAAGTTGGAGGTCCAAATGTCCGCTGCCAAGGTCCGGGTGCTAGTCGAGGTAAGAACAAGAAACATACGCCCATTGACGGCTGCACTTACTAGAGGTACGAGAAGTAGTTGGCCTCTTGGCCCCACATGTAATGCTGGGTCGTGGCATATCCATGGCCCCAGTTCACTTCCTTAGGGCCTCGGAGGAGGGTCATATTCTGTAGTATCGAGTTGTATCGCTCGGATATGCCATTGCCTTCCGAGATTTCTCGGCCGTGCTCGCCATGTACATCCATATCGAATGCACTGAAGGCGACTTGTCTCAGGGTCAAGATACCCTGATTGACTTGCTTCACGGCAGCAAGTCTTTTGACTAGGGCCTCGGGGATCTCTCTGGGTGGCCGGTTGGCATCCATCACAGTGCTCTTATACCCGGGAAGGTAGGTATAATGGCAACTGAGCTGTTGCAAACACTCGGGTACCCAGCACCAGTATTCCAGTAGCTGACTGGGTGCCTCGACGAAGTCTCGCACAGTTCGATGGCCGGAGAATAAAGCGTACTTGGCTCTCCCCAGGAGATCATGCATTCCTATTGTCCACATTAGCAGGGAGAAAACTGCAACGGAAATCTATGCAACCTACCGTGTCCTAGCTCATGGAACAGGCTAATGACCTCCCTGTGCTGCAAAAGCGCGGGTCGGTCGGCTGTAGCTGGCGAGACATTGCACACAAGAGCCGTGGCTACAGGGGATTGAGTCCCATCTTTCTTCTGAAACCCCTACATTTTTTCTTTAGCAAAACTTCCAGCCTTTCCAACTTAGGGCACTTACGGGGTGAATGTTGAAGTTGGCCGCATGGTTGTATTTTCCTTGGCGAGGGTAGATATCCGTATAGAGATAGCCTAGAAAGGAGCTTGAAGACTCCTGCTTGTCACGTACTGCGAATACCCTGACATCAGGGTGCCACACATGTCGATCAGTCTTCTCTGTAACTTCCGTAATGGATAACCCGAACAGCCTTTCGAATGTGCCCAGCATCCGCTGAATAGTATGTTCAGCGGGGAAATACTCGGAGATCAGATCGTGGCTGACGGAATACTGTTCTTGCAGCATGCGGCGGTGATAGTAGTCGAAATCCCAGTGATGAAGTGAAGATCCTATTCCTGCGAACGCCTGTAAGGCTTGCAACTCACTAATCGCAAGTGGCTGCAGTTTATGCCCAAGGTCCTCCAGGAGGTCTGTGACAGCGCCAGGGGACTTAACCAGCTGGTGCCGTAGTTGTTGTGCTGCGAAAGACGGGAATCCCAGTAGTCGAGCGGCTTCGTGTCGCAGCCTGATAGTCTCCTGGAAGACTTTGACATTTTGAGGGTAAATTGTCTGACTACTCAGAAAGACATCACGCCGGGTTTGAGCCACGCTGCACTTGCCTAGAATAGTGCTGACTGTTGGCCGATCCAGGCGGATGCGGGTCCCAGAAGGACCCCGTTCGAGGTTCTTCAACAGGCCATCGTCGAGACCCTCCAATTCATCTGTACTTATCCACAGACTCCCTGGATCAGTGGCAATATTGTCCATAAATTGGACTCGCAATTCAAGCAATCGCTTTGTGATGTGCTGAAACCGATCGCGATCTGCCCCAGTCAGACGAAGGCCATTATCGACAAACATGCGATGAAATCTCGACAGGAGACCCATGAGCTCGCCATCCTGAATATCCTCATTGACGTTGCCATGCACAGCGTCGACCAGAGCAAAGAGGCGCTCATCTTGGAACAGAGCCAGGTAAGCCTGATTGACCAGGTTCACTGCCTCTGACGATGCTTTGCGCAGGTCGGGCGACGGCGCGACTGATTGGAATAGGGCAATGTATTGAACCTCATACTTGAACTCATTGTCTATATCGCCCAGTGGACGCACTAAGGTATCAATGGTGGCATCCCCGATTGCAACTGTGTTGAGTAGCTGATCGACCTCCAGCTGAACCCTGTGGATAACATGATTGGCATGGTCTAGAATTGCGGTGGGTGTAACGTCAAAGGTGGGTAGTGGGGCACATTCCTCGATGGTCATGATGTAGGACACTGCGACGTGGGTTCATAAACTCCTTACTCCTTGGGTTGACGTGGCTGTTACACGACACATATAGCATGGCATGAAGCTCCAAGTTCAAGAGGAGCCAAGCGTCAAAGAGAGCTTCAAGGTAGCACATGATCGAATCCTTTACTGCATCCTTAACGGTCATCTGAGCTGAGCATGGCGAGTTACAAGCCATTGCTAAGGCAGACATGGATAGCTGCATGAGCACCTATACTAAATCAAGGGTTAGTGCAAAGCTAGCTGGTAACCGTCTCAGGGGAAGCTCCACATCTTCTTATCGGGCAAATAGAATAATCAGACAGGCAAGCTAGCTAGTTATCCGTTGTGCGCCACGGTATCGAAACCTTGGCGTTTAGTAAGAGGCAGAAAGGACAAGAAGATATCGATCTGAGGCACACGGGTTCTATCGACGTGACACGCTCCCTTGCATTGTGGGAGTTCCCTCACACCAGGCCTCATGCAGTCCTACATGCCATCTTGGCAGCTGCTTACGCGGAGACTGGAACCATATATAATCATCTCGACGACGAGCAAGCGCTGTAAGGGACCTACGTTTTCATGTCATCCGCGGAGGGGTGGTGGGAGCATGATGTTGATCCCATCAAGGGGTGTTATCAGCAGCATACAACTGACAACCCTGACTTGCTTTCTCTTCACCTCCGTGACTCGACCATTGCCTACAAGAGGGACATGGATGACTAGAATCGGCCTTCGCTCTTCTGAAATACTTTTGTCGCCGGCTAACATGGAGATTAAAAGCGGAAGGTCACCCAATATGCCACAGAAAGTAAAACCTCTGGCGCTTCCAGAACTCTCGTCGATGGATGCATGCTGGACGCGGAAATACATCCGCTCAAGCGCTTTCTACTAATGCCAGGATAGCTGTATTCTCTCACCGGGATTAGGCCATTCACTTCTCTTCTTGCACTGTGGCGGCCATATTATCGCCAAGCAGTGCGATAGTCAGGGCAAAAGTTAAAGACGGGCTTAGAAATCACGCACCATCCCCACTTGGTGTGCTACTTGGGATCTGATTACGCCGAAATGAATCCGATCGACAGGGAATGTGGATCCGATAACCAGATGACAAACGTTTAGTCAGGCACTATGGATTCCTAACGAATTCTTCAGCATCAATGATGTGACGGAAGGGAAATCGCGGTTGCGCAAATTTTGACGGCCGGGACGATTGAAGCGGGAAGACCCGTTCAGTCCGAGCCCAACGATCAAACCTGACCCGTTCAGGGTCCTCATGGGCATTTCGGAAACCGTTGCCACTAAAGCAACAGCGTCGCATGATTATCATTAACCCAAGTGCCAGTCCCACGAACACGGATCAGCACCGGCTCAACTCTGACGCCTCTCCCTGCGTGGTGTCCTTGCAGATATCAGTCAGGGAGTCTGTGGCCAGCCAGGATTTGCCGCTAGGAGGTGCCTAGTGTTTGGCGATGTCTCAGGCCGATGCCTGACCCGGCATGCCGATATCTTGCGGTGGATCCTGTCCGATCACGGCACGGTAAGTTTAAATGGGCCCAGGATCACGAGCAATATACAGACGGTCCAACGAGGTCACCGGTACCATCGGGAAGTGGATATCATCCTGCTGACGGAGGATTATGAAGCAACTGGATTTGGGCCATTGCAGAACGGAATGCAGCGTCATGAGAGGTATAAAAGCCCAGTGCGCAAGGTCCTGAAGATATCGTCAACCTCCAGACATTCCGGCGCAACCATGGCCACCAAGATGCTTCGAAGCTTGACCGTTTTCGGTGCGCTGTCAACGGCCCTTGCAGCGCCTTCCACCCGTCTCTGTGGTCCTCAGTATGACTACATTGTTGTTGGTGGAGGTACCAGCGGTCTAGTGGTTGCCAACCGCCTCTCGGAGAACCCCAACGTGTCGGTCCTGATCATTGAAGCCGGCGGTTCTGTCCTCAACAACTCCAACGTCACAGATGTCAATGGCTACGGACTAGCCTTTGGTACTGACATCGACTGGCAGTATGAGACAATCAACCAGTCCTATGCCGGCGACGCACCTCAGGTGCTACGTGCCGGAAAGGCGCTTTCGGGCACGAGTGCCATCAACGGTATGTCATGCGTACATGTCTGGATGGAACAAGCACTAACCCCCTAATAGGAATGGCATATACTCGGGCCGAAGATGTCCAGGTCGACGCATGGCAGACCATCGGTAACGAGGGATGGACCTGGGACAGCCTGTTCCCTTACTACCGGAAGAGTGAGAACCTGACTGCTCCCACCGCCAGTCAGCGTGCCAGAGGAGCCACCTACGACCCCAGTGCCAATGGGGAGGAGGGTCCGCTGTCCGTGGCTTGGCCCGACATTCCCGCCAACAACCTCACGAACACTCTCAATGCTACCTTCCAGGGGCTCGGCGTCCCATGGACCGAGGATGTCAACGGGGGCAAGATGCGTGGCTTCAACGTCTACCCTTCCACCATCGATTACACCGCATATGTGCGTGAAGATGCCGCCCGTGCATACTATTGGCCCATTGCGTCCCGGCCCAACCTGCACCTGATGCTTGATACTTTCGTCAACCGTCTTGTCTGGAAGAATGGAGGATCCCAGGGCAACGCCACCGCTGCTGGTGTCGAGATTACCTCTTCCAATGGCACTATTAGTGTCATCGGAGCCAGCCAAGAAGTCATTATTTCTGCCGGTTCGTTGAAGTCGCCCGGTATCCTGGAACTCTCCGGTATCGGTAACCGGGATATCCTGGAGCGGTACAACATTTCCGTCCGTGTCGATCTCCCCACCGTCGGTGAGAACCTTCAGGATCAGACCAACGCGGGGCTGGGTGCTTCCACTACCCCTGGTCTCACAGGCACCAAGACGGTGGTGTACCCCAACGTCTATGATGTGTTTGGCAACGACACCCTGGCGGTCGCACAGTCCGTCCGCCGTCAGCTCAAGCAATGGGCCAATGAAACCGCCCAGGTGAGCAGTGGCACAATGAAGGCCGAGGATCTGGAAGCTCTCTTCCAGCTGCAGTATGACCTGATCTTCAAGGACAAGATCACGATCGCCGAGATCTTGTACTACCCTGGTAGCACCAGCAGCATCAGCGCCCAGTACTGGGCTCTGATGCCCTTTGCCCGCGGCCATGTCCACATTGCCTCTGCCGATCCGACTGCCAAGCCGGTCATCAACCCCAACTACTACAAGTTCGACTGGGATCTTACCAGTCAAATTGCGGTGGCTAAGTACGTCCGCAAGACGTTCCAGTCAGCTCCCTTGGCCAACATTATTGCCGAGGAGACCAACCCTGGCTTTGAGGCCGTGGCTGCCAACGGCTCGGAGGAGGACTGGAAGGCGTGGCTGCTGACTCAATGTAAGTTTAATACCACTCGCTCCAAGTAATCATGCATGCTAATGACGATTCCCAGATCGTTCGAACTTCCACCCGGTCGGCACTGCTGCCATGATGCCCCAGGACAAGGGCGGTGTGGTCAACGATCGCTTGACGGTGTACGGCACCAGCAATGTGCGCGTGGTGGATGCATCCGTCCTCCCCTTCCAGGTGTGCGGCCACCTGGTGAGCACCCTGTACGCGGTGGCCGAGCGGGCCTCTGACCTGATCAAGGCCGACTCTGCTCTCTTTTAAGCAGATGTGCCAGTAGTCATTCTGTGAATGGTCGCGTTTGTATAGAATAGCAGGAACATAGATCATAGACAGATATTATATCATCATTACCACTTCCACACTATATACATAATCTAATCTTTCGTACCATGTTCATGAAGCCGCATGCATTAGCCCATTACTATACAGGAGAGCGGACCGTCCATACACAGCCATCTTCAGCATTATTCACATAACAACAGCCCCCTCTCTAATAAACGGAGGAAGTCGTGTTCAGAGTGACATTGCGGATCGTGCACCCCTCGGTCTTGTACTGCTGCGCATACGTTCCGTCGAAAATGCTCGTCAACCAGTTCCACGCCCTGGCGTTGCCATTCACCTGCTCTGCCGAGTGGCCACCGATGGTGTTCCGCTCATACAAGATGTTCAATCCCAGACCACAGTAGCGCTTGATCACGCGATCCGTATCCTGGATGGGACTGATCTCATCGTGAATAGCCTTGTACGCGAGCACCGGCATCTGCGGGAACCCATGGTAGCCCATGTATCCGTCCTGGTTCAGCGCCTTCTGCACCACCTCCGCCTGGAACGTGGCCGATCCGTTGACAAAGTAATCGAAGATGTTCTGGAAGGCGTAGAAGACCTCCGCCTCGGACAGGGTCAGGTCCTTGGCGGCTAGGAATCCTGTGCGGTTGTAGGGTCCCGTCGTCTTGAGCTGGCTGAGGATGAACTCGTAGGTCTCGGGGTGCTGGCTCGACAGACCCAGGGCGGCGGCGGGGATGAGTCCCGCACTGATGGTCGAGGTCACCGTGTCCATGACGCTGGTAACATTGGGAGTGAGACCACCCACGGCCAGACCGGCAATGTTCAACTCGGGAGCGTATTGCATCTGCAGTTCAGCAGCCCATTCGCTGGCCAAGGCACCGCCAGAGTAACCCCACAGAGCGTACTGGGCGTCCTCGTTCAGGCCGAATCCGGAGGCGAGCACGCTGCGGACCGAGTCGAGGGTGGCATGGCCGGACTGCACACCGGCGGTGAAAGAGGCATTGGGGCCCTCGTAATCGGGGACGTTAACGAACCAGCCGCGCTGCAGGGCGAGGATAATATCGGAGGGCGGGCTGGTGTACATGGCGTAGCTGGGACTGGCATTGACGTCGAACGAATCGTAGGCGATCTGGTGGGAGAGCAGGACACTCTGGTTGACGGCGGCGGAGGCGGCCACGGGGGGCACCAGCAGGGTGGTCACAGCCCAGGAGGGCTTGTACTGACTGTCTGTAGTGCGGTAGAGGATGTTGTAGGCCGCCGACGCATTGCCCACTACCACGGTCAAGTTGCCGGGCGCGGGCCGCACGCGCAGGATGGCACCGGGATCAGCCTCCTCGAAGCCCTCGGGCGCACTGTACCAGGGATCCTGGCTGGGCGGGATGGGCGTGGAGCCGGGCGTGGGCAGCGCCGTTGCGCCATGGAACAGGCTCGCGGCCAGAAGCAGCACCGAGGGGATATACATGGCGGGAGGGAGGATAAAGGGGGTGCGAGGCGAGAGGGATGGAAAGAGGGAAGGTTTGGGAAAAATGGGCAGACCAGCTCGGTATTAATAATTTCTACTATAACCAAGCTCTGCTTCCTCACTGTTCTGCCAGGATCCGGATGGAAGGATCCGTGGCTTCGATGGAGAGGGCGAACCCGCCAGTAGGAAACGAGCGGATGAAAGTCAAACCCCGGGCTTGATTCATGCAACGGCATCCTCCCTGCACCTCTCCTCCAGTGACCGTTGGGCATCACGCCCGAGCGGGGATGGACTATGCCGGCTTCAGCTAAGCATCCGGGGCGGGTCTCGCGTGCGATGACGGCACTGGTGGAGCCCGCAGAACAAAGCTGACCCAGAAGTCGCGGATCACTCGGATGTGCTGGTTGCTGGTGCCTGGTGATGAGTTCCACCAAATGAACGAGTTTGATGGCCATCAATTGGGGGAGAACAGCCGTAGCAGATCGAAGAGAGTGAAGTTTATTCCGGGGAAGCTTTCTGTCTAGGGCTTGGCTTAGGAGAGGAGTGACGAAGCTGCTGCAGGAACTAGTCGAGTCAAGCTAGCGAGGGAGGCATGAGGGGAACCTGCAGCGTTCACATGCTGTCCATGATTGCAACGCAGAATCTCAGGATAATGTCTAATAGAAGGTGAGAATTTGACATTAGACTCAGAAAATGAGGTGAGCGATGTCCACATGATATCTCGTGGTGTAACCCAGGGTAGGACAAGAGCCGAGTGGTCGAGGGAAGCTTCACAAACAGAACCTTCAAGCGGGTTGTTATAGCATGACAAAAATCTCCGACTTCACTCGCATGTTTAGCATTATGCCCCACGGAGAGAGTGCAGTACTACCCACTGACCGGGGATCGGCGCGATGGGCTCAGCTGGCGTAGCGACCGATCGAGTCTTACACTCATTGCCGATGGCCGGACAGATCGACCAGAGGATAGTCAGCATGCCGTATGAAGCAGGTCGTTCTCGCCGACAATAATAAGAAAAATTCATCGACACCTGCGATGCAATAAACAGATGTAATATATGCATGGGTTGAGTTGCATTGACTGATCATTGTACTTACAGTCAAGAGCTAATGGATCAGCCTCCCGGATTGCCTGTTTGGGCTCTCGACGTGGCGCTCTTCCCCCACGACCCTAATCTACTTTGACTCTGACTTCTTATTTCCCCGCTCGAGATGGTTGCATTGCTAGTGTGTTCAACTTTTCTCATCACATGTATCTGACAGAGAACCTCGGCAGCCCGAGTCTCTTCCACCTGATCGATAGTTGTCATGGACTGACTGGTACAGATTCTCACCCATTAGAGACACATCTCACCTCCGCCCTACTGCAGCGAGAAATGTTGATTGTCCGGCTACCATTGCTTTTTCTGAGGATGCAGCCCAGCCCATAAGATGGAAACTCTCTAACTGATTACGATGATCCAGACCAAGGCTGAGGGCTCAGGCAACCTGCCTCTCGTTCAGTAGGCCGAGAGTTGCACAAAAATAGCAAAATAGTACGCATCGCGTCATAGTCTCTCCCACCGAGTCAGTTTAGAGTTCCTGTTACTGCATCTTCAACTCATCGGTCTTTGATCGTAAGCCATACATGGATTAGTACATCTCCCACCGCCGATCGTCATCCATCTGCCCCGTCTACCATGGCAGCTCCTTTCCATCATACTGGTTTAAACCAGGGTTATTCTCCCACCCAGGAACATGAATATTTAAAAATCTTCCATTGACTTCCACCCCCCTATCACGGATCATCTCCAAAACGCGCTCGACTCCAGTTCCGACCGGAAGATCGGCATGAGCATTGGCTTCGTCTGTCTTCAACCACTAACGTTGAGATCAGAAATATGTCGGGATTGGCTTGAGGTCTAAATTGGCACTCACCCCCGGACTCACGCAGAATACGGTGAACCCCTCGATCTCAAGCTCTTGGGAGTATAGCACCGTCATCATATTCAAGGCGGCCTTGGTGATTTTATAGGAGGGGGCAGGCAGCTCCCGGTAAACGGACTGCTTTGCAATGGAGCCGACGCTGCTGGAACTGGAGGATGCGAGTCAGGCTTCAACACGGTCGGTTTCGGGTCAAGAGGCATTACATGTTGACGATCTTCTTCATAGAGCCCTTTCGCAATACCGGCAAAAAGTTCTGGGTGATGATATGTGGACCGGTCACGTTGACCCGGAAAGTGTCTTCCAGGTCCGCCCTGGTGGACGTTAGCTTCCATCAGCAGTTTTAAGTCATCCATGGATTGAAACGAACATGTCCTTAATCTGGCCCCAACCCACGATGCCGGCATTGTTAATGAGCACATCAAGTCCCTTGTCGCCCATGATGCTCTCCACGGTCTGGGCGGCCTTCTGGATGGACTCGGGGACCGTAACATCCAAGGGAACAAGCACGACCCGGCCGGGATGCCGGTCTGCTAGGTCCTGCAGGGAGGCATTGACCGATCGGGAGGTGGCAATGATGGTACTGACTTCTGAGGGGGACTTTTCTGATAATTGGCGGACCAATTCGAAGCCGATTCCACGAGTGCTGCCGGTAACTAGGTAGGATGCCATTGTGCGTATTGTGGACACAGCTCTATTCGCTCAATGCAAACGAAATCGGATAAATGAGAGCACGACAATATATATAGCTCCCAGTATTTAACCTGCCGTCCCTCCAAAATATTTATCTTCATATCCTTTGCCTCTCTCCATGCTTGTCTCCGTTTCCTCCGTGTGCCATACCTCCCGCGCTTGTGCCACTGGTCGGAGTTAAATGACCTGACTCGTTAAATCCGGGACATAAGGTTTGCAATATTGCACAGGTCCGCAATCCCCGAGCAGGAGCTGATCTTGCCAGGATAGCAGAAATGTACCGTGGGACTTTTACATCGGACCCATAGGCATCATGATTGCAAGCATATCCTCTTATACCTCTCCTCTGCCTTCATCGTGCTTACCTTTCCACCCGGGTCTTCCCGTCGCTTTCGCGCGGGATCGGGCGCTTCGTGGACTTCCCTTTTGGGGGAAGCCGCTCGCGGAATCATACCGGGCGCCAACGCTAGCCCTGTTTTGGGTTAGCGTATTTGATCCTATACCGATACCAGTTATTTTCAAAGCCAGCGAACAGGAAAAGAAGGATAATATCCCATCTCGTCGACAATCACCAATTTGATAAATACTAGGACATACTAGCCCAGTACTCTGACATTAATAATATGCTCAACGATGAGCAGGCCCCAAGTTAGGTTCCCCACATTCTGGACGATGGATAAAGGTGCCTTTTCGGAGTGGAGACCCAACAACTCATAGACACGCCATATAAGAGTGCACCATGGCAACACATCTCGGGAGTTGCAAAAACCTATCAGTCCAGTTCCAGATCTACAGATTTAGAAGTCATGAGTAGCCGATATGCAGCAGTGCATCAATCGCCTGAGGGCGCTGGCGACGCGCGTCCAACTGCCCTACAAATCATCCAGGATGAACAGCTTCAGGGCCAGTGGTCTGACAAAGTCATCCTCATCACCGGCTGCTCCTCAGGCTTAGGGGTTCATACCGCACGAGCACTATACACCACCGGTGCCACACTTTACCTGACGGCCCGTGACCTCGACAGGGCGAAAACAGCGCTCGGTGATATGATCGATAGCCCGCGCGTGCACCTCTTGTCTCTGGATCTTGATTCTCTGACGTCCGTACGTGCCTGCGCCGAGGAGTTCCTAGCAAATTCACCCCATCTGAATATCTTAATCGCCAACGCCGGCGTCATGGGCTGCCCGGAAGGGCGGACGGAAGATGGCTTCGAGACGCAGTTTGGTACCAACCATCTGGCGCATTTTCTTCTCACCCACCTCCTGCGTCCTGTGATGTTGGCATCTTCTTCACCGCGATTTCGCTCTCGGGTAGTGTTACTCTCCTCCGGTTCGCATCGCTTTGGCCAGGTCAACTTTGATAATCTCACCTGGGAGGGCGAGTTCGACACCTGGTTGGCTTACGCACAGAGCAAAACAGCCAACATCTGGACTGCTAATGAGCTGGAGCGGCGGTACAGTGCGCACGGCCTGCACGCGGTCAGTTTGCATCCTGGGACCATTGCCACGGACTTGCTGAGGCATGTTCCGGCTGACCAACTGGCGATCTGGACGGCGGACAAGGAATTGGAAAAGTATTGGAAGACCCCTGAGCAAGGAGCCGCCACCACCGTCTGGGCCGCAGTGAGCCCAGAGATGGAAGGAAAGGGTGGGGTGTATCTGGAAAATTGCGCTGTTTCCACAGCGTGGGTGCCTGCGGCTGGTCCCTGGGGTCCGGGATACGCTCAATGGGCGTATAGTCCGGAGAGTGAAGCGAGGCTCTGGGATGTATCATTAGAGTTGTTGGGGTTGCAGGACTAGCAATAGCTTAAGCTGCTAAAACTCAATACTCCACCTTTCCATACTTAGGTGATTTCTATTGCAGCAGAGGCAGGTTAATGCGATACGAATATGAGGCATCTAATCTAGCATTGCAGAGACACACAAGAACAGTGTAGGGCCCTAAATGAAGCGCTGAGGACTGAATATCTTCAATGGTACTACTCTATTGACCCCTCAAATCTGTCCATCCCAATACTACCGATTAAACTCTGCAATAACGCTCGGCGGTGCCTGATACGGTCCCAGACTTGTCCATTCCATATCCAATCCAAAGCCCTGGGGTCCTCCTACACGCAGTCCTCGCTCATCTCCGGTCCACAGCGGATGTGCCGCCATGCCGATGACATTCACGCGCAAGCCATACCGCAGCTCCTGCGACCCGATTGCCTCACCATCTTGGCCGAGGACCGAGATGAGGTCGGGTACTGTGCAAATAACCTGCGGAGATGCGGGATTTGCGGGGTCGATGTACGCAGCGTACAGAAACTCATTTTGAAATGGGATAATCAAGTGACGCGTCTCTGTCGAGACATGGTTTTCCATATTCTGTCTCTCTTCCCCCGCTAACGGGGCAATTGTGCACTGGCCAACCGTGTATCCCCGACTGACATCTCGCTTCACGTCAATGATCTTGCCACTGTACAGCAGCTTGCCGGGCGTAGTTTCGAACTATAGGCACGTTAGTTTGCTGCATATGGCACAATTGGCAGTACCTACAATGGCTTTGATGATGTCTGTTTTGGACCGGCGGGCGCGGTGAATAGCCCGACCCAGATACCAGGCTTGGGACACTGTGTTCGGGACGCAGTATTTCTTAACAATGTCAAAGGTCAAAGGTACGGCGGCGACAGCTGTGGAGATACCGAGATTCACACACTGGCACCGAAGCAGTTCCTCGACGCGGCGGTTGGATTCAGCTTTCTCCAAGGGAATCAGCGGAAGAAAGTGAAATTTTCAAGGGAGATTCATACCAACACCACTCCAACATTACCTTTAGAATCCGCAACCACACACGGAGTGATGGGATGTCCATAAACATAAGGTGTCCCTAGATCAAGAACTTAGCATCAGGTCCAGCAGGCCCCTATGGGTAATGGCTACTTACCGTGCTCCATGGTGGGATAGGCGCGGCCCATGAGATCACCGTCGAGAACCGGGATATCGTAGTAGGCGCTGGTGGGAAAGGTGGACATCCCGTTCCCTCCGCCAATCTCGTCGGCAATGATCCCATCGAAATGCGTATATCCAGAGAGACGCACGGCATGGTCGATGGCAGTCGTGAGCTCGATCTTGGCCGGAATTCGCTCCCCGGACACACTGGGGGCACCATACCACGATCCAAACACGCAAACACCCGAGTCGTTCATGCGGTCTGGGGGTACCACCCTCATGCGACCTTTTGCCTCTGAGCTTTGCAGCCAATCTAGACATTGCAAGTACTGCAGATAAGACGGTCCCCCTCCACCTGTGCCCAATACACCGGTCCCGGTTGCGATGAATTCCAAGTCGACGGCGGAAAGGTACCAAACGTGGTCCGCCACTTCAGGAACATAAGTGTCAAGATTGAGGGATGCAGTGTGTTTGGTAGTGATCAAGGATGGAGGAGTGCCGTTCGCCACCATCTCCACGGTGGAAGGTTCTGTAAGGGGCGAATCATTGACATTGATTGACATCCAAGATACCACATGGTCTTCTGCAGATTCACTACCTGGAGCGGGGGCTGCAAGCCTGCCAACAGCTTTGACAATAAGACGGACCGCCTTGTTCGTGACGTACTGCAGAGGGATCTTGTCCACCTCCACGACGCTCACATCGTCCTTGTCAGCGCCGCGTGCGATGGCGGCCTGCACCGCTTGCTGCTTTGCTGCTTCAACTACGGCTCCCTCATCGCGACCTTCCAGGATCTCAATAACATCCACCTCACCAGATACTTTGGCAATGGCAGCCCCAACTGCGTTGGCTGAGTCATAGTGTGGAGGGAGAATGCACTCGGTGACGCCCTCCAGTGCATCCATGTAGACGATGGAGCCGCCCCCGACCAGCAAGAGGGTCACGGGCTGGTCAGACACCTTCATCTCATCAATAGCCCGCTCGAGGATTTTCTTTATGCCCGCGCGTGCTTTGTCAATAATGGTAGCCGGGAGGTGCGCTACCCGAGAGGGCTCTCCCAGCCCAGCCTTGCCAGACGCGACAACAATATCTGTTGAGGTCATGGTATGGCCGCCGAAGACTAGAGCTTCCTGTGTCAGTCGGTATCCGACCGAGTCCGGTCCAACACTAACGGCATCTTGGGCATGATCAATGTGGATGCGACTCCCTCCACCCAGGCCCACTGAAAGCACTTCGGGGATAGGAAAGGCCGTACGTACTCCACCGACTTCGACAAAGTTGGGCGCCTTGCGAGGGAATCCAGATGGCAAGAGAGCGCAAACATCGGTAGTCGTTCCTCCGACATCCATGACCAGTATTTGGGTGTCTGTGTTGCCGCGGATGCTGCTGTTGTTGCTCCGTTGGTCCAGACCGGCCAGATAAGCTGCCCCTGTCAGACTGTTCGTCGGCCCACTGGCAAAGGTCTGAATAGGGCGCTCGGCGGCCATCGCAGCGCTAGTCAGGGTGCCATCATTCTGAGTAAGATACAATGGACACTTCAGCTGTAGATCCTTCATGGCCTGACAAAAAGCTCGAATAGTCTTCTTCGCCAGGTCCAGGATGGAGGCGTTGAGGATTGTGGCATTCTCACGTTCCAATAGGCCAACGCTGCCAATGTCGGCAGAACACACCACTGACAAGTTGGGGTTCTGCTGTAACATCAGTCCCTTGCAGGCTGCCTCATTTGTGCCCCGGTGATCGAGGGGAGAGAACACCCCAACGAGCGCGACGGTCGTAATCCCAGCCTTCTCGATCTCAGACACGGCATTCTCTATCTGTTGAGGGCAGATGGGCGAGATTTCCCGACCATCGATTTCGAGGCCTTGAAAATACTGATTAACAACATCTGTTCATGGCAACGGGATGTAGTCTACATACCACCATCTAGATAGAAAACCGGGCCTCCGATAATGTCACGCAGCCGTGGTGGGAAGTCAGAGAATGGCGGGACCTATGTTACCATCAGCAACCAATTATGCATGGAGAGATCGGAGGTTGCTAGGGGTATGGGAATACCGCTCTAGTGTAAGGACCACACAGACGAATGACAGCGACCCTACTGAGTCGACGGGGGTCGGCCTCAACGACGGCGTTGACGAAGTGGGTAGTGCCGATGGCCACGCTGCGCACCTCCTGGGCGGGAATCTGCGCCTTGGCGAGGACATCAACGATTGCCGTGCAGATGCCAGACGTTACATCAGCAGTGGTTGGGGTTTTGCTGGAAGCGCACACCCCCCTCCGTTGATCTCGATGCAAGTCCTGTTCTGGGAGGGCTGCAGGTGCCGCGTTAAGAATGGCAGCATCGGTATTGGTGCCACCCACATCCACACCGATTCGATAAAACGCCATCTTGATATGGGCCGCTGATAGTTGATAGGGGAACCAGATAGGCTTTCTGGCCGGGACTGAACCGGCATTTTGTACCTGTACCACAGGCGTCCTCATCGTCTGTAGTCAGGATCCAGGCTAAGCCGAACCCCGCTTCTGCTCATGTCGCTCATCCTTGGCTGGCGCCGGCCGAGATAACGCCTTATCATCCAACTCAGCAGGTATAACTGCTTGAACCAAGGATGAGGTTGAGGCTTGATGTTTTCATCGCATGTGGATTGACCCAACGGACTCGCCATGACGCTCCTCCAGTCGCTCGAGGTGCCTCAGGAAGGAGAGACCATCCCCGACCGATGGATTAATAGTGACATTGAACCCATCCAGGCGGATCGTCGCCGCTGGGGCTTTTGGACCTTTAACAACTACTGTTCGGGAGCATGGCCCTATGCTGCGTTGTGCAGGTCTCGCTAACAGGGGTATTGTTCGCAGGGGTCCTCATAAGCTCCAACATCTCTGGCTACATGACCGGCAGCTCACTCATCGCCCTGGGACTGTCTTGGTGGCAGGCTATCGTCGCCATTGTGATCGGAAACATTCTGGCGACCATTTTTATCGTCCTCAACTCGCTGCCTGGGGCGTTTTATCATAGTAGGGATTTGGCAAACCTGTCGTCGCGTGTTGGACTGACATGATGTTCAGTTGGATTTCCTGTGGTGAATCGATATGTCTGGGGCATGTATGGCAGCCAGTTTGTCATCTGGAACCGCATCTTTCTCTCTCTCAGTAAGTCCCCATCGATGAAAGTCTGCAACTCTCCCACTGACAGATGCAGTTTGGTGTAAGTCACATCAGTACCAGTTCACGCGTGCCAACATGGATTGACCGCCAACTTCACGACAGATGCCTTCCAGGCTTGGATTGGAGGCGAGTGTGTCTATGTCTGTCTGCAAGCCATTTGGCCCTCGCTGGAGAAGCGCATCCCCAACCACATGCCCGCCGACACCGGTATGACGACCGCCGAATTTGTGGGGTACATCATCTTCATGGTCCTCTCGCTTCCCGTCATCTATGTGCGACCGCATAAGCTGCAGAAAATGTTCTACATCTCTGCCGCCATTGTCATTGTTTTCGAATTCGTGCTCCTAATTTGGTCTCTGGCCACCATGGGTCCCGACGGCTTCGGTGACACACTAGCTTCCGGGTCGCATGTCTCTGGGTGGATGATCGCGTATGGGATTATCAGCACGATCGGCAGCATCTGCGCCGGAATCCTGAACCAGAACGATTACGCGCGGTTTGCACGACGACCCCGAGATGCCATCTATGGTCAAATCTTTAGTGCAGCACTGTACGCCATCATCTGCGGCATCATCGGCATTCTCGTCACGGCCGCCACGCAGGAGCGCTATGGAGAAGCCTACTGGAATCTTCCCAAGCTCCTGGGTGCAGTCATTGAGACTGGTGGTCCGCGATCGCGCGCGGCGGGCTTCTTCGGAGGTATCGCGCTGATCATCTCGCAGATGGGGGTAAATGTGCCGGGCAACGCTTTGTCTGGAGGTGAGTATCTTATTTGCACACAGGCCTTGTTGGGAAAATGATTGACGAAGCTAGGGTTCGATCTGGCGGCGACCTTCCCCAGGTACATCAACATCCGTCGGGGCGCGTACCTGACGGCATTAGTCTCCATTGCAGCCAATCCCTGGAGATTGGTCAACACGGCCACGGTCTTCATCACGGTCCTCAGTAGCTACTCGGTGTTCATGGCGCCGATGATCGGGATGATGATCGCCTCGTACCTGTGCGTCCACCAGCGCAAGATCAAGGTCCCAGATCTCTTTGTAGGAGATGCACGGAGCATCTACTGGTATACATCCGGGGTGAATTGGCGGGCCATCGTCGCGGTCAGTCCCTCTGCAAGCTTCTTAGGTCCTACTTGACCTTCTCGGTGGACTGACACTCTGGTAGTGGATTTGTGGGACAGTCCCCTCGCTTCCCGGCTTCATAGCCTACGTCAACTCAACCATTCATGTTCCGGCCGGGCTGATGCATCTCTACTACATCTGCTTCCTCAGCGGCGCGTTGATTGCCGGCGCCGTATTTGTGGCACTGCATTATGTCTTTCCCGACCGACGTGTGCGATCGTTCCTCGCGTCGGCGCCTACATCCCAGATGCTGATCGAGGAATACCGGGACCAGCAGATCTCAGTCGAAGCGGTGATTTGTGAAAGGCCTCCGAAACTGTCGGACGATGAGTGAGCAGCCATCGTATAAAAGCGACTTTGATCATTGTGAGGTAGACATGCAGCGAGCCGTTATTACCCCCGTTATCGTTCACATATTGGATGAGTGGACCTTAATAGATGGAGAGAATGATCGCAGTCTGTTAGATTAGAACTTTGATACTGCGAGTGCCAGAGAGTATATGCATCTAGTTGCAACACTCTTGCAGGGAGTTCAATTCAGAGATGCTCCCATTTTTCCTGCCAGGATGACTCGGATATATATATAACAGAGATGACAATTCGCTGGTACTTAGTGACTCGTAGTTGCGGCGGCATTGTAAGAGATACCACTAGTACTCAGTAGTGTATTGTCGTCCACAACAACTCTAACCAGGAGCACTGCCCTATTTACTTCATGAGGCCATAGCATTGAGTTCTTTGAATGTGGAAAGAAGGGTTGTGCTTGCCGGGGAACAAACCGAGTCCGATCCCCGTCTCCACTGCGGCTGGAAATATTTTCACCCCGATGCAGCAATGGTCCAACCCCCTGAAGATGCAGGGTCTGGTCCAGACCCTCAGATGTGGGTTTCAGATGATAATATTCCGTATCAACAGCAGCTTGTAAATCGCCTAGCTATCTTAATAAAATTACCTTGTGTGCCAGTCGACCAATCCGGAACCGTAGCTTCACCGGAAATCCTTACCGCGCTCGGTTTAACGCCGAGGATGACGCGTTCGGAAATCGATCGACAGGCGAAAATTGAAGCTGTCGAAAACCTCTTCAGGACCGCGGGGGAACACCCTGAACCTCTTTGAACCTGCTCCCGAGATCTCTGGATACTCCAGATTCAAGACACCCAGAACAATGACGGAGGAAGGTATCAAAACCAGCAGTGAGGGCGAACGCCCTGGCCAGTCCCCGCCAGGGATCGTGCTGGTGCCTCGACCCAGTTCCCATCCTCAGGACCCGCTCGTAAGCATCTGGCCCCCAGGACATCCTTGGCCCCGGAGTTGAATTGCTGCTGATACATTGAAGAACTGGTCGCATCGTCGGAAACAAATCATCCTGGCCACTCTCTGCCTGGCCTCATTCTCGGGGGCTATCGCTCCCCTATCGGGCCAGCTGAATCTGGCCCAGCAGGCCAAGATCTATGGCAAAACTCGCGTCCAAGAGTCCTATGCTGTATGCTGACCAACTTGTATCACCATCCTGCTCCAGTATATGTCCTGACAAGCTATGTAGAACTCCGCTGCATTGGCGGGCATGGCCTTCGGGCCCTTTTTCTTCGCTCCCGTCGCCCACCGGCTGGGTCGCAGCTCCGTTATTTTCTGGTGCATTCTCTGCGCCCTCATCTGTCAGATCTGGGGAGCCGTCATGACTCATTCGGATGATTACATTCCCTACATCATCTCGCGACTATTTGCCGGCTTTTTCGGCGCCGTGCCCACCGTCCTGGGCCCGCGTGTCATCACCGACCTGCTGTTCCTGCATCAGCGCGGTCGCGCCTTCATGGCCCTGCATATGGCCTTCTTGTTTGGCACCATCGCCGGCCCGACCTTCTCGGCCTTCATCTCGGCCAATGCTTTCTTCCCCGTCGAGTTCTGGTGGACCGTCGGCCTGTTGGGAGCCACGGCCATCCTCATCTTCCTCTTCCTCGAGGAGACGGGCTTTGACCGCGAGAACCTTGACCGGAATCCTGCCATCCCGACTAACTGGCTGGCCAACCGCTGCGCTACCTTCTTTTTCGGCCAACGTGTGGTGCAGCCCACCACCTGGTCGGTGACCGTGAGTGGCCATCCGCCCCAATGTTTGCTATGGATTCTGTTATGCTGACCCGTGTTCCAAGATGAAAATTGCCGTGGCGCCCGTACTGATCGGAATCTGTCCGGTCACGGTCATCATGGGTACCTTCACTCTCATTTCCTTCGGCTTCTACGTCGGCATGAACGCTCTGGTGCCCGTGTGGCTGCAGCGGACTCCAGAGGAGGGAGGTTACGGCTTCTCCCTGAAGCAAAATGCCGCCTTCACCTTCTGTCACTGGATCGGCATCCTCGTCGTCCAAATTGTGGGCCACTACTACAACGATCGATTGCCCCTGGCATTGGCCCGGCGCTTCAACCACGGTGCCTGGAAGCCCGAGTACCGCCTACAGGTGCTTTGGATTCCCAGTCTGATTCTCAACCCCATCGGACTGGGCCTGTTCGGCGCTACTCTGCAGTACCACCTGCATTACATGGTGCTCGCGTTGGCGGTGTTCATCGTGACGATTGGATCGCTGGCTAGTGTGCCGGTGACCGTCAACTACGTCGTGGAATGCTTCACGCGCTACCCGGCTGAAGCGGGTATTGTGATCGGCGCCTACCGCATCGTCTACGGTCTGACCATCAGCTTCTACATTGACCCGTGGGTGGCGGCTGTCGACGTCGGCTGGGTGTATGGCATGATGGCCTTCTTTGCTATCTTCTCGTTCCTGTTCGTCATGCTTCTGATGTGGAAGGGACATGCCATCCGCGAATGGCAGCTGGCAAGTGTGGCCAGCAGTGAGGAAGGCGTGCAGGTCGAGGATGGCAGCAGTGAGAAGGGCGTGGTAGAACACGATGGAGAGAAGTTGAAGGTTTGATACCCCTAGAAGTGGCTGTATATGAGTTACTAGCACATGTGCTAAAGTCTAATCTAATGTATGTATCTAATTCACCGATGTATAATTTCGGGCATATAATATCGTCTATAACTTCATCTCTTCGTCAGTCCCAACGGGGTACTCTTAGTATACAGTGCATGAGAAGCAACATGCTCACGCATACAGCACCGTTCCATTTTCCTTCCTTACAAAGTCCAAGAACACATCCAGCTCCGGACTCGAGGCTCCATCAACTAGAAACACAGCCGGCTTTCCAAAGGGCGCCGACACCTTGGCCGTCTGTCCAGCACGGTAGGTCTGGCCCGTCCACACATGGGTATACGTGCGGTTGGCACTGTGACCAGGGAAGTACACCTCCACGGACTTGTGGCCCTCATCGAGCACCGGTGCCACGTACAGATCCCGTCCCAGGAAGAAGCTCTCGTAGCTGATCTGTCGGGCGCGGAGATCCTCCGGATGGTACAGCACCGGCATCCGCAGCAACGGCCATCCACGCCGCTGGCTCTCCGTGTTGAGGATGCGGCGACGGTAGGGACCCAGACTGCGGAACAGCCGGGCGTTGTAGGCAAAGTACGCATACGTGGTGGAGTTGCTGTAGAACTGGGCGTTCACGCTGGGCACGTTGCCCTCGTGCGACCGGAACACGGCGCTCGAGACGGCACCCAATTCACCCCAGCGACCTAACAGCTCAGCCGATCGTGGGATGGCTCCAGAGGAGTTACTGGTGGTGGGAGGCTCGAAGACGGTCGTGTAGCCGCCAATGTCGCTGTGACTGTGGGCATAGCCGGAGATGCCCATTTGGCCTTGGATTGTCACCACCGACTTGATGCCGTCATTGCGGGTCCAGAGAGTAGCTTGGTCGCCGACCCAGAATAGGTTCATGTGCCGGTTGGCGCCCATGGAGGCAGAGCGGTGGAAGGTGACCATCTCATGGAAAAGAGGCATCTCGGCGGCCACGGAGCGCTGGTAGGCCGCCCAATCCCGCGGATACTGGTTGTGGTAGAAGAAGGCGCTGGTGGAGATGTTGGCCAGCGAGGTATCGGGAGTGATGGGGGTGTATTCGCCAAAGTCCCACATGCAGCCGGAGATGTTGGCGCTCCACACCTGCGTGCGAAGGACGTCGGCGAACCAGGCGCGAGTGTCTTCGTTGGTGAGGTCCAGGATGCCGGCATCGATGCCCTTGCCGCTGGAGATGATTGCCGTAGAGTTAGTGGTGGTGTTCTGCACCATGTAGCGGTGCTGGCTGGCTTCAAGGAAAAGATTACGGCGGTAGCCATCTGACTTGCTGCTGACGTTGGCCAGGAAGGGGTTCACATAGGCGAGGGTGCGAACGCCGTGCTGTTCGCGCAGCGTCTGCACAAACTCAGCCCATGTGGGATACAGCGAAGTGTCGGACTCCCAGTTCCACCACAAACGTGAGATGTTCATGTTGCCATAGGGGGCTGACTGCAGATGCGTGCCCGACCTTTGGTCCATTAGTGATGATGAACGCAGGTAGGAAGGTGGCCACTCACCAGTCTTGCAACCACACACCGGCGACCGGACAGTCGTGCTCAAAACCCTGCTTCACAATCCGGTTGACCTTCTCTTGTCCTCCCTGGATGCCCAGCAGTGCGCCGTGGTCCACCCATTCCGGAAGGGTCGGCATGCGACCAGTGTACTCGGTGAGCATGGTGATAGCGTCCAGCATGGTATCAGCCTGCATCAGATGGCCATGCACTGAGAGACTATCGTAGCGCACCGTGACAGCATCCGAGCGCTGGAAGTCGAAGACGGCATAGGCCGTGTCATTCTCATCGAGATAGAAGACCCGACCGTCGGAGCTGACGTACTGAGGGATGGCCGTATAAGTAGTGTACTGATCACCGCCGCTGAAGAAGCCCTGCGAGTCCTCGATAGCCGTGTATGGCTGGTCACCACGTCCGACACCCTGCTCGCGGGAGAAGATGGGAATGGATCGGTTCTTCATAGAAGCGAAGGACGCCTGCGCGCCGAGACCGTAAAAGTCCTCCAGCGCGTGCGACGCGAAGGTGAGATAGAGACGGTCGACGGGCACGCTGGCATTTGCTTCTGAGTCAACAGAGGCTTCAAAGGCAACGCGATCCGAGAATCTTCTTGGGACCCAAAAGTTCATGCCATATGCAATGTCCTCCCCACCGCAATCCAGAAGATAACCGCGAACAGCTACCTGGTTCTTCACACTGTCGCTACGAGGGATACCCGCCAGCTGGGTGATGTTCTGGCCTCGGCATCGTGCCTGGTTCACGTTGGTGATGTTGAAGTTGCCGCTATCCTCGACAAACTGGTCCTTTCCGGCGCTGGCACTGAGGAAGGGCTGGCCGGGGATGGTTGAGAAGATGGTCTGGTTGTCTTGGTGGATGGAGATCTGATGTTGGCTTGCTTGGTAGGACAGCTCCAGTCCACTGCCCAGGGGCCAGGTTGACCGGGCCTGCCCCAAGCAGGGAAAAACCGCCAGCGTCGCCAGGGCTCCCAAATAAGTTGACGGCATCTTGGGCGAGAGTTTTGAAATCCTGTCACACTGCTGTTATCCCGGGTTTCAGTCCCGATTTATAGCTGGGCTTCCCCACCGCGTCCGGATCGATAGATGCCCACATTACTCCTGCGAGCCTCCACAGTTGGATTGATGGGGACTGGACATGAATCGGTTGCTCGTAAAAGACTCCCACCTGGGATAGACAAAGGTTGATGTTGGTGCCAGGCTCGGCTCAGTTGCCCTGTGGACGGGGAAGTAAATGACTGTGGAGGGGCAGAAGAAAACCCTACGAGCGGACTTTTCCCGACTCTGGGGCAGGCAGTGGACCCTTCGGCAAAGCTGGCCGAAATGCGTGAAGGACATTCGATCGTGTTTAGTCACAAATGGAGGCATCGGAAGCTACGAGAATTAGCATGCCGATTCCTACCCGAAAGAGTCGAGTGCCCACTGTCTGGGGAATCCGGAGAGTCCCCAGACGCCAATGACGCTCGTTCAACGGTGACCCTCTTCCCCACAAAGTCTGCTGGGAAAGTCGATCAACTCGGCTAATGAAGTCATCTTTCCGAGATTTCAAGCAGAACTTGTTGGTCTCTCTTCTGCCGAGCATGTTGGTTCTGTACCATCTGTCATGGATTCCTTGGAATTCGCCAATCACTGTATAGCTCCATAGTGCCCTGATCAGGCCATCTCGAGGTTGTGGTACCGTGCGGCCAGTCTGATAAAAAACATGCTTGTCCAACAGTTGGCTAACTACAGTAGTCGCTGTTTGGTCACCAATAGTCTCCACAACTGGAAATCCCGATTGCACACACCTGGACGGTTGTCTACATGGTGGGGTTCTTTTTTGCAGTAATAACCTGCAGGAACTGCTTACACTTCTCAAAACTTTATGAGTGCGCGTTGCTGGCTGCAGAGATAATGTGCATATGAAGCCTGGGGTTTCCAGTGTTGGTTCCGACCGTCTAGGGTCATCGAGCTCGCGATGTTGCAATTTCTCGAAGTCAGTCTATATCCGGGAAACCCACCCATCTGTTAGACTATGTCTTGTATTCCCATCGTGATCTATGTTGATCAGCTGATTGACCTCGTGTCCTGTCAGCCCATAGTTATCCTTCTTGGTGTCTCTACTGTATAGTGGCCGCTCCTGCCTCCCTGGCTGTACTGATAATTGCTAACAATAAAGGCCTTTTGTGCCTATTTACCTGTGGACGATTCTACCTGTGTTTGCTCTGCACGCTGGTATGATGATTGGAGTTAGTCAGATCAACACTGGTACGGCATTACCAGTTGTCGACATGAGCCCTTGGTCTTGTCCGAAAAATTCCATGGTAAGGCGGCCGTGCTGCATAGCTCAGATCAGTGCTAAAAATAAAATATGCTTACCTGTGAACAACCTGAGAGTATTTTTAGAAGTCAGTGGTGGAAGGCTTGAGGGAATTAAGATTTACTTCGCCCATCCCCGACCGCGGGGGAACGGCGGAAGGTGATGTTATTATAGGGTCCCTTCCATGACCCCCAACATAATCAGGAGATCAGGCACACCGTCATCATGAGATAGCATGTTTGCATGGCCTTCAGTAGACCCTGCAGCGGCTGTACCCTGCGACCGTGTCTTGAGCTGGGCATTGATTCTACTCTGTACGAGTGCCCCCTCGTATAGAGCCCGTCGGCCTTGATGTCCATGATGTCAGTGTCTAGGGGTATTCCGAGGATAACCCCAGCATCAGTCGTAGCCCGGAACAGGAAACAGGAATAAGCGCTCCTCCCTTCTCAGCTCCGGTGGCGAGGAGACGCAGCGGCAGATACGAGGGCCACTTGGCAGACTGATTGGCGGAACCACTAAATGCCTCTTGCGGAGAGTTCAGCCGCTTCCAGTAGAACCATCGAAATAGTACTCATCGTAAACCGTTGTCAGAGCCTCGATGACCTGCTGCAGACCAATGTCTGAATATCCACTTCTCCGCTTGCGAACGTTGGAGAGAACTAGCTTAGGGAAATAGATACACTCCTTGCCAGGAAACCTCGCCCATGCTCTTTATACTCTCATGCGATTATGCCCCGACGGCTATTCCAAAAGCAGAATCAAGTACTATATGGTTAACCTACAACATGTTTCCATGATATGATGCGAAGGATGACATTTACGCGAAAGTTACCAAGTCCAACCGTACAACTGTCACCAATGGATCACTTCGGGGCGATGCGAGACCTTTCGGCTCCAGCCGATGGTTGTGCCCGTCATCTTTTTGTCTCATTGAACCGCATCCTCACTATGCCTTGAGGGACATACGGCTTGTCTCCAGCCAGACCCAGGGCACCTGAGTGGCCAGGTATCAAAGGAAAATCTTCTCTACTCTTCTTGAACGTTGACATGAGTGGAACAGTCTGATTTCCACCAGTGCCAGCGTCATGATTCTGTCAACATTGATCCCGAATAGGTCACAGTAGGTAGAAGAGAGGTCGCCTGATAAACAGCTTCCACGGTTTCAGTCAGCCGACTGAATGGCATTGCTCGTATAGAGCGAAAGTGGTACGCGGGATTGCCGTAGGCTATGGAAATCGCTCAACTCTCTATACAGTTGAAGTCCGGACTTGCTCCCTCTTCTGTCTATAAAGTCCCTGTTTAACCCCCTATCGACTGATCCCCAGAAGCAAGACACACACCTACTACTGCTACACAATTGGATCTCCACTAAAATATCTCTTTTCAATATGAAGTTCGCTTTGCTACCCGCACTTCTTTCAACCTCCGTCCTCGGCCTGAATATCGGCCGCGCCCAGGCCACAGCTCAAGTAACCTTTATTGGTGCAGCCGGTGCCCAATTTACCCAGGACTTTCCCACCGATGGGTCTAATGTCAAGATAAGTAAGTGGCCTATTTGAGGATTACTGTATATCTCGGCTAATATCACTAGCCAACCCCCTGAGTATCTCGCATATATCGTGCAGCACCCAGGGCGCCGTCTGTACTTTTGACGGCATTGACCACAGCGTTACTACCGTGACTGGCGTGGGCCAGGTTGACGTAGGCCCTCCGCAGACCCAGACTCAGGGATCTTGTCGGTTTGGATCCGGATCGACTTCTCCCAGCAATCCCGGTCAAACTCACCCCACCGGAGGTCAAGTGCTCATCACATTCGTCGGTGCTGCCAATGCTCAGTTCCAGCAGCAGTTCCCCACCAATGGCGCTAGCACCAAAATCAGTACGTATCAGATAAACTTTGTTATATGGCCAAGCTAATCGAGGGAAACAGGTAATCCCCTGAGCATCTCCCACATCACGTCCAATACGGGTGGCATCCACTGCACCTTTAACGGCATTGACAACAGCGTTACCACCATCAATGGTGCCCAGACGGTCGACGTTGGCCCTCCGCAGACCCAGGTCTCTGGCACATGCCGTGCTACTTAAGGCCATTGCGAGCAATTATCTTCATGCCTTGTCAGAGTCTGCTGTGAATATGGAGCGTTGTGTTTTATCACAGCATGCCTACATAATTTTTGGCTTAATAATACTGTCTTGTTGGATTTTACTTGTAGGTCTAAGGGTATGTGGTTTGTTTTTAGCACTATTTGAATTTCCGGCACGTATGGTCTGCTTTGTGTTCTTGGGGACTTCAAAATCACGTTTACTTGCTGAACAATGTAGCGCACCTGTACAATGCCTATACAAATTAATAATCTGCAGCACAACTGGCATACAAACATTATAGATGAAAGTAGTAGTCCATGTTACCGACGTGATTGTTTGGAATACAAGATCCGCTTTGTCTTACTGGATCATACCGTTTTAAGACCTGTACTTCATCTGCCTTATGGAGTACTCCCTACGCTGCACCATTACTTGATATATGATTCCGGAGGATCAATCAAAAGAATGACTCAAATTCAACAGGGGCCCCGCAAAGTAGTACTAGAAATCAAAACTATCTACATCTTCGTTCTCCACTGCCTCGTCGATTGAAATCAAGCGCTGACCTGATCACATCATCACATCCCTGCATACCAATCAACCCGCTTTGTATTGAGACACTCAACACCGTCAGTCACAGTGACAGGCCTCGTGTGCAAATTTACTCGTAGGTGATGGTCACCTCAGAGTCGCTGTCGATGGTAACGTCAGTGACAACCTGGCCATTCTCCTCAATCTCGATGATGGTCGCATCGGTAAGTCCAACACTCTCACCACCCGCCGCCTTGGCAACAGCACCAGTGAAGGTGACGGTGCCAAAGTCCACCAGGTTGACGAGCGAACCATTTTCCTCGAAGTCTAAGATCGCGTTAGCGTTTGGTAATGTTGAATGAGGAATGTATGTTTCATATTACCTTCCACAATCCACTCAGCGTTCTGTCCACCGAGGCTGGAGCTGGACGACAGCTCCTTGGACACCTTCTGGCCGGTGCTCTTGTTCTCAATAATGGCAATACCGGTAGTCGAGGTGTAGGACTCCACAATGGCAACAATCTCATCGCCTGCCGAGATGTCGATGCCGCTGAAGTCGTAGGCGTAATCCGGGTACCACTCATACCAGGCATCGAACGAGGCCTCTCCGTCGGTCACGGTGAAGTCAACACCGGTCTGAAGAATGGCGTTTCCATAGGTATCACCGTCGATACCAACCCAGGCAGATGCAGCCTGACTGCCTCCAGAGTTGCCGGTGGGCTCAGGGACAGTGAAGGTGCCGGTCACCGCAGTGTAGGTCGCTGCAGCAGAGGGAGGCTCCACCAGCACGGCACCGGACCAGTTGGAGCTGTACTCAACGTTGGTCTGGTTCTTGGTTGATGCAGGTCTAGCAACTGCCTGGAGGGGTCGGGATCCCTTGCTGCTGCCGCGGGCCTTGAGGCGGGCCTCGAGGCCACGCTGGGGAGCTGCGACGGCAACGCTTGCGAAAATGGCAGTAGCAATTGCAGCAGTGAACTTCTTCTTGAAGAATTGGTTGGTAGTGAAGCTGGGTGAAGAGGTGACTGTGTGTTGGAACTATGGACTTTGAAGTCTTGAAGAAGATTGCAGTGGGATGGAGACGAAATGATAAGAACAGCAGATCCAACCCAATACTTATAGGATGACTTTTTGTTGAGTATCTATCAAGTCGACACTCTTCACGGATGGCATCATTCTTCCTCATACCATCCCAGAGACAACGCCATTAACACTTTGTGAGGATGTCACAGCAAAGTGCCTGCTGAGAATGGCGACATCTCGACCACCCATGTTAAGATGCATCGGAGTCCGATGGTGGACTAACACCACCCTGGTGAAATCCGGAGTGTCGAGAGCATCCGCCGTAAGTAATGTGTGTAAAAAGATCCAAAAAGAAGCACGTCTTACTTGATGCAAATTGCAAGTTAATCCAAGTTAATAACAGCCATCGCACAACGGAGACTTTAAACCGGTCCATCGCTTTTAAACATTCGGCTACATAACGTGAGGGTACTTGTAAGTTAATAGTATCTAAATTGCGGGTTCACACTGATATTGGCCGTACGGTACGTAAAAGAGAGTTTCGGCCTACCGATGAACAAGCTATGCCCAGGGCTTCGTCCCATCCAGGCACCACTGCTAAGAGTGCCAAGGGATTTGTTAGGACAGCCATGTAAGCGCAGTTAATTAATTTGCTCGGCATCCAGACAGGCAATATCAGCAAGACAGCCCATCAACTCCGCGCAGGGGCCTGAAGATCGAGGTCATGCTTAGTTTGCGTGATTTTGGCTCGGATTACCTGATTTCCCTGCAGAATGCTTGGGCTAACTGCCACCGGAGGCATTCCTTCCTTCCTTAGATACCAGATTGATGATTTTAGTAACTGATATGTGATAATTTATTTTCTTGGCGAGACTTAACGAGGTTGGTCTGCGTTGTTTACCATACTCATCAGTTCCGTGCGGTTTGCTGCTTTTCGAATGTGGTGAATGACACAATGGGAAGGCCGGGTTGCGTCATGTACCCTAATATCCGAACCATGTGTCCATCCAGGACTGTCATTTTTAGCTGTTTGCTTCTGTCGTTTCCGTTCCAGTCGTGGTGAACTTAAGTGGACGAGATACTACTGGAACTCCTACCCCATGGACTGGCTTGGCCAGCCCTAGGCACCACTAGGGATGTATCTTGGTTGATCAGGCGCAAATCCAATAGAACAGTTCGTTTTCGAAGGAATCTGAATTATTCAGCTTCTGGTATATATTACCAGGGGATCACGGGTATCGTTGCGGGACGGTGTACCACTGCTAGAATCGATTCTCAGAGTGCAACGAAAGACATATTTTCGATGCCTCACGCACCGGATCGCAGGTTTCAGGCTAAAAACTCTATCTACCGACCAGAACATTTGACAAAACACAAAAGAAGGGTACTTGGTACTCCTGCAGCCCTAGAATATGAATATCTAAATGATCAGAAATTGGTAGGCGTAGTATACTCAAGAATATCCTGCAATGGACCACTCAACGATGCCCCCCAGTTATGGTGGTTATTCACCTTCCGCCAGTGTTGTTGTTATCTGGGACAGAAATCTCGGCACCGACTGGACCCACGCCCGGAGACAATCCTACCACTCAGATATCGTTACGAGAGGAGGGGTTCCGCCTGGGTGGGGAAACTGTCTTGTTCGCGTCGTTCAAATGCTCTCTCTCTCTTTAATTGATTAACTGGCTTTTCGAACCCCGCCGCTAGAGTGTGCCGCCAGTTCCGGTTCGGACACCGCGGCCAGGGGTTGGAACTCCAATGCTCCAAAGTCAATGATCTTCACGCTTAGCCTACTGCCACCAGAATGTCGGTCCAAGATGAAGATAGTAATGCGCCTCTTCTTGGAGGAGATCCTGCGTTGGAGTATGGAGGTATCGCGGGAACCTCGTCTAGCAAAGTCCATAATTCCTCGTTTCGGCAGAACTTGGGGACGGCCGAGGCGTTCAGCATCATCATTAGCATCGTAATCGGAAGCGGAATTTTCACCTCCCCTGGCGCCATAGACACCAATGTTCCCTCCCCTGGGGCAGCCCTGGTCGTCTGGTTCGTCGGGGGTATCTTGGCATGGACAGGGGCTGCAACTATGGCTGAGCTCGGGACGGCGATTCCGGGAGAAGGTCCGTACAGATCGCGTTTTCAAGACTCCCTAATGGCTCACTCTTTTCACCGCAGGAGGTGTTCAACCGTACCTTCAGTACATCTATGGTGAGGTGTTTGGCTTCCTTGCCGCCTGGACATGGGTCATCGCGGTGGTGCCGGCATCGCTAGCAATCTTGAGCATCGTGTTCGTGGAAAGCATCTACTCGGCGACTGGGGTGACCGATCAACCCAATACCATGACACATAAAATTCTATCCGCTCTTTTATTGCTCCTCATCAGCATGGCAAACTCGGTCAGCACCCAGTTCAGTACGCGGCTGAATAGATTCTTTGTCACCACCAAGTTTGCCGCCATCTTGGTTACTGTAGTTGCTGGACTGGGCGTCGTCGTCTATCACCTTGCTAGTTGGGATAGAGTGAGTCCATCGGCACCCCAGGACTGGCTAGCCAGAGACTGGTTTGCTGCGCGCAACGCAATTGGTTTAGATGGCAGGGAGATAGAATGGCAGAATTTACACGGGTGGGAGACTCTTGGTCATTACTCCGCCGCGCTCTATGGCGCACTATGGGCGTATTCAGGATGGGACAAGGTATGATACAGCCCTTTCACTACCAAATTAGTTGTTGGAGTATCCTCACCTTGACGGACGCTCCTTTCCCAGGCAATCTATATCAGCGTCGAACTCTCTGCTCCGGCTCGTCAGCTGCCTCTAGCCATCAACAACGCCATTCCCATTGTCATCCTAAGTTTTATCGCAGTGAATGTTGCGTACTACATTCTTTTACCCTGGAATGTAGTGTCAACAACTGATAGTGTGGCAGTTGTATGGTTCTCTCCTGGGTGTCACTGATAGGAAAAGTGAGCCAGTTTCACCGGCTGACATTCATCGCAGACATCGTTCAACCACCTCCTTGGACCTGCATTTGGTGCCACCGTGGCGGGTCTCATCTGTCTAGTGGTAGCAGGATCCTTGCTGGGAAGTTCGTTCGTTGCCGGTCGCATGGTGGTGGCCGCAGCCAATTCGAACTGGTTGCCCTCATTTCTGGGCCGCGTGGGCTCGGTCTCAAGGCAGTCAGCCTCGACAGCAGATGCGCCCATCAATGCGATTCTCTTCTCCACGGGCTGTTCCATCGTATACATCTTCTTCGGGAACTTTCGTGCCCTGGTGACTTTCAATGGTCTGGCGGAGTATACGTTTTTCTTCTTGACCATGGTTGGCGCCATCGTCCTGCGGGTTCGTGAACCACAGCTCCCCCGCCCGTATAAGCCGATGATCTGTATACCCCTTATATTCGCTCTAGTCAGTGGGTGTGTGGTCACTCGTGGCGCTGTTTTTGCTCCCGTGCAGGCGATGGTGCTCATTGGATTGTGGCTGATGGGCCTGGGGTTCTACAGCGCGAGGAGGCGATGGGTAGGCAAGAGAGAGGCGGAGAGAGGCTGAAAATGCCTTTCCCGCATTGAGGCCAGAATTGGTCATGATGAAGTAGTGGTGGGTTGAGTTCCGTCGAGCGATTAGCCTGGCTTGCCTGAAAATGCACCGGAGTTCGGCAGCGAATAGCCGACGCACTGGCAAGGACATCTTGAATACCCTGAGCACCTTCCGTTGCACAGAAGTCGCGACTTCTCTGATCAACAAGAGTAGAGGAACTCGATCCCCCGACAATCACATCACATTAGTCTTTTCAGCCTTTTTACAGCAGTGGATCTTGAGAAGGAACACCGTCACAGTTATCACTTTGGTTTCTGAACAAAAGATTGAAGATCTCCCTATACAAATAACATACGAGCGGCGTCATTCAGATTCTATCATCTGTTCACGTCCCGTTCACGAAAATCAGGCATAGTAGGTAAATGGAGCACAAGGAAAATTCCATCGATGGTTTCCCAACCGACCCTGCTATGGATTGGAATGGACCGGGTGATCCAGATAACCCTCGGAACTTCCCACGAGCCAGGCGTTGCATGGGAATTGTCAGTGTGACCCTTCTCGCATTCGTCAGTGCCTTTTCAGGCGCCGTCTATGCACCGGCACAGAATGCAGTGATGGAGTCGATGAACTGCAGCTATGAGGTCGCCATGCTCCCGCTCGCCCTATATAATCTGGGACTGGCATTTGGGCCGATTGTTGGGGCACCCCTTTCGGAAACCTATGGTCGCAAAGCCGTCTACCTTGTGACTACCCCTATTTTCATGGTGTCAATGATAGGTGGTACCTTGTGCAACACTATATCGGGCCTGATCCTGTGTCGTTTTCTGGCCGCTGTCTTTGGGTCATCGAATATCAGCAATGCCTCGGCGACCATTCTGGACTATACGAGTGACAACGAACGTGGCACCGTCCTCGCCATATATTATGCAGTCCCAACTGTTGCGGCGGCGCTGGCCCCTCTTGTTGGAGGGTTTATCTTGATCCGTATCGGAGAGTGGAGGTGGACACAATGGGTACCGGTGATTCTTGCGGCAGCTTTCTATTGCCTGTTGATCTTCACCAAGGAGACCTACAAAGCGGTTATCTTACGACGGCGGGCGATGCAACTGGGCTTGATGGGCACACGCCGTGGGACGACGATTGGGGGTAGTCTCCGACATCTCTTTATCGTTCTATTCCAGCGGCCTATTCATATGCTCCTAACCGAACCGATCGTGACATGCATCAGCCTCTATAACGGGTTTCTCTTTGGTTTGTTGTATGCATTCGTGATTTCCATTCCTTGGGTTTTTCAAAAGTATTATGGGTTTGGTCCGCAGGCCCAGGCGCTTTCATATCTAGGTGTGACTGTGGGCAACATTGCTGCCTGTATACCCCATGCTCTAATAGACAAGTACTTCTTCCTGCCGCGGCTGCAGTCGTGGAAAGAAGTCCACGAGCCAAGCCTCAGAATGCCTCCAGAGGCCCGTCTTGTATCAGCGTTGGGCGGCGGCTTGCTCCTTCCACCGTCATTGCTCATCCTCAGTTGGACTGCCAACTTCCAGGTCCACTGGATTGTACCCATCATATTCCAAGGTTTCTCGATGTTTTCGTGCTTGCTGGTGTATTCGGGGACAAACCTCTTCATGCTGGATACTTACGGACCGCTGTATGGTGCATCCGCCTCAGGGGCAATGATGTTCAGTAGATACATCCTCAGCTGTGCGTTTCCACTGTTCACTCTCCAGATGTTTGATGGCCTTGGTGTTGGCTGGGCAACCACTCTGTTGGCTGCTTTATCGCTTCTGATGGCTCCCATTCCTTGGATCTTCTGGATTTATGGACCGCGGATTAGGAAGGCGAGCAGGTATGAGACTACCATATGAGATACATCATTCGATTCGAAGCATCAACTAGCGACCCAGTCTGTCTTGGCAAAGACGGTCTCTGGAACCGCCAGTCAATCAAATTTGATCTAGTATCATAAGAGAGACCCGAGAATATGAAAACTTTGACTCAGTCCATAAGCGAACTTGGATATAGATAGATATTCATTAAGACACAAAAGCGACATACTCACGGGCCAGTTGGCTGCTTCTATGCGTAGGATGTTAGCCTGATGAAATGTAAAACTACTACTGCATTACTCTACTGGGCCATATAGAGACTGTTATGAGCTCGGTCATCAGCTATTGCGATAATGTATGGATCATACACTTCACGGTACGTCTGAACTTTACTGATCTACCAGGGCACCTATGGCATAAACCCTGTAGGTGTACTATTAGAGAGAACAGGACGTAGAATGGAAGAATGAGAGTCTAATCAGCTAATGCGGTCTTTAGATGGAGCTCACGCAATGGCCAAGTCCGGCATTAGAAGCATGCGCAGCTTGGAAAATACCAGACATAACCCCACATGGTCAGGAAGTCACAATTTATGCTTCTTTTGTCCTTCCACCAGCGCCTGAACGTGTTGCTCGGGCACGCCTGTTGCGACCATATCCAGTCCCGCAAAAACTTCGAGGCAGTTTTGTTGGACATTTATCATTCTCTCTGGTTTACGGATCAAGTCCTTAATGCCTACAACACAAGACCTTGCTGCAAGTGAATCAAATCGCCTATGCACTTCATCAAGTACTTGCTTCAGAAAACCGACCGAGTCGTCTGGCTTCCCCGAAGGAGAAGTCACCACTCCATTGACGAAGCCGCAGGCAACCAGTTCCTCGCAGGAAATCCGCTTGCTCATGATCAAAGCCTCGTTTGCTTTGGACATACCAAGGCGCTGCACAAAAGAACGAGAAGCCGCACCTTCCGCTGCAACACCGAGCGATGAGAATGGTGTGAGGAGGAAGGTATGCGGTGCTGCATAGATGAAGTCTGCTTGCGCGATGAGCGCCGCCGGAAACCCCACGACGGGCCCATTCAGTGCCACGATCAGGATCTTTGGAAAGTTGGCAAGGGTATGAGTGAGGTCCAGGTTGTTAAACAAAGTGCCACTCATGTTGCGCCGCATATCTGTTCCGTAGGGTCCGTTTCGGAAGGCAGAGCCGACATCTGTACCGCTATTTGAACAATTGATAAATTTATTAGCTATGTGGACATAACCAAAGGCCCTGTTAATCTCACGCTGAAAAGTATCGCCCTGTGCCGGTGAGGACCGTAATGGTAACGTCGGGTGTTTTCTCCAGGTGGCGGAAAATTTTACCAAGTTGATAATAATTGTCCTGATCCAGTGCGTTAAGCTTATCAGGACGGTTGAGGGTTACAACGGCGATATGGCCTTGGAGACGGACTATTATGGGACTGTGGCTATCCATACTGCACGTTAGGTCTTTGTGGTTCCTTCCCTTGTGGGAAATACTAAACAGGTCTCAGCGTGATATTTATTTGCAGAAAGCTGCGATCTCGCCACTGGGCCCCCTTGCAGCCTGCGTACGCATGCATGTGCCCGTTTGGGCCACATGCGTGTTGAAAGTCGTCATTCGCGCAAGGCTGATGAAAGAGACTGTTGCCAGGTCACAGCTTCCATAGCTTCCATAATGTACACAAATCGGGATAGCCACGGAAAGCTACACGTTACAGGTTGGACTTGACCCGATGTCCCCTTCGAATATGAGCTTTCCAGTCTTTGTCAATGGTCATTTGGTCGGAAACATGCAATGTACCCCACCTATCGTGGAGGGCCTGCTCCTCTCTATGCCAGCGCCTTGATTCGCAAGCTAACCAACGAGAGATTTCCTCTGCGCATTCATCGACTGCCTCGAACGGAACCTGGTGTGAGAACCCTTGCATGACGACTTCACGCACGCGACCAGCAGCAGCCCCGCCACTTCCCCCAGTAGCAATACCCGTAGTCCGGAGCTTGTCACTTCTTAACTCTGGAAGGCTCATATGGGACTCACTGCCAAAGATGTAAAGAACACTCGGTCGTAAGTATGGTAACCGAGGGAAAAGCTCAGTTATCTCTGGACGATAAAATGGTAACGATGTGAGGGCCTCAGGATCGAGATCTGGGTGCGTGAGGCGGTTTCTAGGATCACCTACGCCTACGTCGGGGGCAGGGAGGTTGTGATAAGGTCGGGCAAAGGAGGCCAGCTCCTGCACTAGCGGAGTGGTGAGTCTCACTGGTGTCGTCTCATTAGGCCGACCATTCTCGTCACTGATTTCGGATTTTGCTAGGACATCGCGCAAGCCGTACTTCACAAATTGTGCGAAGACGCGCCGATCCCAGGCCTGGTAGAAGGGTTTTCGTTTGAGTGATTCAGTCGCTGCAGGTCTGGATGGCCAAGCCTCCCGTCTGTAAACAGAGAACTGTAGGTGTGGTCGCATCACTATATCGGTTGTGTACATTGAAGTGTTGCTGAGCTGAGTAATTGGACGTACTATCGGTGCCTCGAAGAGAACCATAGCATGAAATAGCCTTGGATGCATGAGACTAAGGTGAACTCTGCGAAGTAAGGTATCAGCCTGCTACTTTGGATGGGCGCTGGGGTAGGAAACAAACACGGAAAGACATCCAGCACTATGCCCAATAGCAACGATTGGGCGTGGCATGTCATCTCGTTTGACATTGATCAAATGGAGAAGATCCCGACTATGATCAATATGGCTTGCTGGGGGATCACCATCTGTTAGGCTGCTATCTCTTGAAACTACGGGAGATCGTCTGGTAAGCTCACGGTCAATTCCAAGACGGCCTCCATTGATAATGTTGCTCTCAGCCTGATGTGCCGGATCTGCAGCCCAGATACTACGAATCTTGAGCCCTTCTTTCCCATAGCGCATCAATAATTCCTCACACACTGGCTCATAAAGCTCCTACGTCGCAGTTAGCGACTGAAATGACATCAGGATGTGGCAATGGTGGTCATACCTTTCCAAAGCCGCCGCCAGGGGCGACGATAATTGTTGCATCGCCTGGACGGGGATTGATGTTGGTAAGGGGAATGTACTGTTTTACAGCCAAATAGAGAACACTCTCTTGTGTTATTGTGGTCGCCGCGGGATACTCTCGAACATGTTGACAAGGAACCCTGTGTTCGACTATCTTCCAAGGACTGGATGGAGACATGGCAGCTAGTAAAGGTATAGAAGGGGTGGCAAAGGCTAGATTTCTGAAGGGAAATGAGGGCAGTTACGGCGATTGTGGCAGGTTATTCCCCGCAAAATTCGTCTTCCTGGGGACGCTTAAGTAGACATGAATGAGTGCCATCTATACCAAGCAAGAGAAGAAGGAGTGTATCATACTGCGAGGTATTCCTAGGCATTTCAACAAAAAGAACAAATATATTTGTGTCACGATGCAGTATTGTCGATTTGCGGAAGCTAGGTGTCACCTTGCATAGGATGAGTGAGTTTGTTACACCATGACATCACGGTCCATCCCCTTGCACTTCAAGCAAGGCTAGACTCAAAGACCACGAAGGATCGAAAATGACCTTCACAATCTCCCAGACTTAGGTTTAAGCTTTGCTTTCCTCACTAGTTCCCAGGCAGCCTCCGCGGATGGCTTTACTTTCAGGGCATATTTTACCGAGTCCGGACTGCTTGTCTGCCGCTCGGCATGCCTGGCGGCTACGCTCTGCAAGATAACAGTGGTTCTGAATGCAAAAAATGCATCTCCCCACCAAAGATCTGGTTCGGGGTCCCAGCCTGCAGTCTCGACATACCACTGTAAGCACTGTGCGCGACTAGGCAATCCTGCAACCTTCCCAGAACGAAACATTGCCACGTCCTGGTTCAGGCCATCCCAGAAATAAGGATGCGTGAGGTTGCAAAAATCCGAAAGGGGATGGCCCATAGTCGCCATTTCCCAGTCAAGGACCCCAATTACCCGTGATTCAGTGGGATAGAAGATCAAGTTATCGATCTTGTAGTCACCATGCACTATGGTATGCCGATCCTTGGGCCGAGGCTCATGACGACAGAAAAAGTCGACCATTTCAGTGTAATGCGGTAACTCTCCAACAGGGACCTTGGTCAAAGGATCTTCCACCTTTCCTTGTGCACGGGATAGATATGTAAACGTCGACAGCTGACGGTCATAGTAGCCTCCTTGCTTACCAAATCTCTGTAGCCCGACTGAATGGTAATTGGTGGTATGAATCTTGCCTAACACTCGTACAGCATCTCTCCACCTGATGATCCCAAGTCAGACAGGAATAAAGACCAATGAAGGCATATCAGAAGGGAACTTACAAGGCTATCCTCTCGGTGGGACTCACCCCAGGCATTGTGAAATCGGTGAAGATCCGACCATCCAGAAACTCCATAACGTAGAATGGGGTTCCGAGAACATCATCTTTTTCGTACAAACAGTAGGTCTTTGGGACTGGGACTTCAGTTCCCTGGAATGCAGAGAGCGCTCTATATTCCCGCTCGATTTGATGGACCGTCCTGGAGAGGAGCTTTCCAGGCGGTTTCTTTCGCAGGACATACGCTATTCCACCGGAGTCCGTAATTCTATAGGTTGGATTGGATTGTCCCACTTGAAACTGTCACGTAATGGTAATCAGCTTCCATGCACTGTAGAAATGAGACTAGGTTAGCTCAACTTGTTGCACGTGGAAAGGAGGTCGGATCTGAGGCAATGCCTGAGTAAGGAATTTCTCAAGGGCATGAATGTCGATGGGCTGTCCTGCTTGGTCAGCCATCTTGTGGAATCAGTCCCCAAGTAAGCGCTACAGCAGCCGGATATTTCGACAGCTTGACCATTAGACAGAAGCTTCTAATACAACCTTTATATGCCGGTTGCGGCAGAACTACCGTTCGAATGAGAACAGAAAAGACCAGAAACGCTGACAAAGCGCAAACAACCATGGTTTGCATATGCATCTTATTCACGGCCAAAACGAAATTTCATTTGAGGTTTAGACCTACTTTATGGGGAAGGACCAACATGGACTTGACCACATTGAGATTTTGAACGTTAAACTTTCCGAATCCCTGAAAGAGTGGTCATACAGCGCCAACTATTTACTCCACTTCGGTGAACCTAAGCCGAAAATCAAGGGGTGGGGTGGAGGCAAACAATCCTGAAGGATGTGGAACCTTATCATCTTCAGTCTCAACGTAGAAACGTTCAGTAATCAGCGCTATTTGTCGTTTGATTTGCGCCATCGCCAAGTGCCTTCCAACACAACTGCGCGTTCCGTATCCAAAGGAGAGCATACATGCAGTACTAGGAGCACCTCCCGTGGGTACCTGTGTGGGATTATGTGGATCGGAGCGGTCAATCCACCGTTCAAAGTTGAACTCCTCCGCATCGTCTCCCCATAGTTCACGACTACAGTTGATTGCCTTCGGACAGATACCGATGTGCGTCCCGCGGGGAATCAAGCGGCCTTTGATAGTAGTGTCGCGAATGGCCCTGCGAAGCAGTAGCCCGAAAGAGGGAAAAAGGCGCAGTGACTCCATGACCACCGCATTGAGGACTGGAAGCCGTTCGTACTCGTCCTCGTCAAGCTCCATCCTGCCACGCTTGGCGTTGCGTAACTCTTCGCGCACAGATTGCTGGGCATCTCGGTTGGCCGCGAGACAGTAAATGACAAAGGAGAGCGAACCCCCGGAGCTTTCAAAACTATTTTCTTTCAGTCAACTTGGATCATGTTTTCTCATACCGGAATACCTTACCCTGCAGCAATGATAGTTCTTAGTTGACCTATGTATTCATCGTGATTGAAAGGACCCGACTGTTCTAAATTGGATAGGTAAGTGAGATGGTCTCCTGTTCTTTCATTCTTCGCCAGCTTTCCTTGCATCATATTGACGACGCTTTCAACAAGGAGGATCCTTGCTCTATCCATGTCCTTTGCTTCCGTGGAAGGGACTAATTGATCTAACCAGCCTGGCAATAGGTTGTGTAAGATAAATCGTATCTTCTTCTGACGATTGCTGGCGAACAAGGTTTTGAAGGCCTGCAATATATGTGTGTTCCGGCCTTTGATAGTCTCCAGGTCAATGCCAAGTGCAAGAATGCTTCCAGTGTCCATTGTAGCTCTGAATACAACGTCCGTGACGGGAACAACAGCTGTCCCTCTCCCTTCGCTGCTTCTCTGGCTTTCACCAGACATCTTGAGTAGCGAAGAAATGTAATCATTGAACTGCCTCGATTTTGAGGTCAGGGGAGGGCGAACAGCATTGATGTTCGTTTGATTGAAAACGGGCATGAAGGTCTTCCGGTTTCTATTGTGCACCTCCTGTTCCTGAGTGACAAGGCTATCTCCAAAAAATCGGACCGAGTATCGCCGGAAGGCACGGGACTTCTCAAAGTCGTAAGAGCGAGTTGACAGCACCTCAACTAACCCCTCGTGGTCCGTAGGGACTATATACTCAGAGCCGAACAAGCCAAAGAAATGCATGAGTCCGCCTGGGTAGGCTCTTTCATTGACCCAAGCTGTCACATTTTTCGCTAGCGGTTCATCGAAAACATCGAACACGCGGTCGTAGAGCCAATTTACCGACTGCAGCGGTTAGCATCAGCCGGAGAGAAGATGAGGGAGGCAGTATTGGCTCGGACCTGTGGACCAGGAAGATCATTGAATGTGCTACGTTGTCTTTTCAGTAAAGTCGTCGCACACACTGTCAAAGGGAAGGAGGTCGACCATGAGACAATGACAGCACCGATAAGTAACAACGGATCGCGGGGGAAAATACCCAGGTACCGCATGAGGGCATATAAACAAGTGCACCACGCGTAGTAGATTGCCTTGACGTTAATCTCGTGCTTAGCCATCGCGTCGGTAAATGATCAACTGGCAGACCTGAGCTCTTGAATCACTCAGTTACTTCTAAAAACCACGCTGGGAAGAGGAGTACTTCTTATAGATACAGGGTCATGTTTGGTGCGACAGCAAATCTTATAAAGTTGGCATAGGTTTCACAAGCCTGGCTCACAATATAGCTTTTTTGGCAACATACTGAAATTGGATTAAGTTACCGAACAACAGTTACTCCCATCTAAGTGCTTCATGCCGAAGACACGAACCTGGGCCTGTGCATAGTCTCCCATTGCCTCCGTCAGCAGGTGAAAGGCATTGCGTTGACGTAGAGCAGCGGGCCACCGCATCCGTATAGCACTTAACCGAGTAGACGCAGATTTCCTGTATTCGATTATGCCTAACTGCCCCTTCTCATTACTTGCATCTCCTTACTTCACTCTCCTTGCTTCATTCGCCTAAATGAGTCGACTTCCCACCCATTCCTACTTTGAAGGCTTCCACAATGATGGGTATATACTGGCAAGGTATGATGTAATACTTGTCTATACCTGGCCCGGTGCTTCTATCCGCGCGCTCATTGTGAACATTCGGGTAGAGGTTGAATCAGCATTAAAAGAACCCATCTAAATTGTACAAGTATTGCTCATGAAAAATGTTGTATTTTTTTGGTCGTTATGTTGGAGTATACATGACGGATTTTGAATGTATCTTTCTATCTTTCCAAAGCATAGCTCGGATGATATCGACTCGTTGCATTAGCCCATAATATGTCGAGGGCGATGCACCTAGCCTAAATGGCACTTCTATGCAACGGTTTTCCCATCACCATGGGATAACCTGAAAATTGCACATCCTAAAACCATACAGACTACTCTGACCATGAGCGTTGATACAGTCACCAGTCATCTCCGGTATGATGTAGGTGTCCTAATGTAGAAATCTTAATATGAAATGGAGTGCATGAACACTAAAATCTCGCCTCGGCTCTCGCCCCATATCTGTACGTGTGGAGGCGCTAAGCCTGGCATAAAACCAGGGAAATAGAAACCTAAGGTCCGCTTTAGCTTTGGGGCAGGCCGGCTGGGTCAAAGCCGCGTGAATGGTAGCATTGATGGCTGTTTTGAAAACAAGTATGTCTAGTGGCGAGTCCAACAACTGCAGCGTCAGTCGCGAGAATGACACCCAACTCGGGAAGATCAAGTTGGTGGGGCATGAACCGGTGAGTGTAGTAGCATTCCAACAATAAGCCGCCCAGTGCGTATGCTTTGCTACTTGAACGGTCCCCAGCTATGTGAAGATGTAGTAGGCAGGGCTAGTGGTGGTTGCGACGGGGCAACTGGGACTCTGCTGCGTGGACAGGACTAGTACATATTTGGTGTCGCTTTTATTCGAGGTAGGAGGAGATTTCATTGGCATTTCAACAAGCCTGATAGATCACAGAGGATCGTGTTCCGGACTGGCTTATATTACAGGTTCCGAAATAGTGGGTTACTTGAATTGCTCACTCTCCGCGGTTTCTGTGAAGAGTGGGTCGGTTGGCAAGTGTCGGGATGTCCGACAGGGGCGAAAGGTCCTATCATTCGGGATGAGACTCGGGTCACTGAGATCCAACACCGCGCTTGCAGTCTCGAGCAACGTATAGCGTGAATTAGTTCAAAGATAGAATCGTAGATATGTTAAATTTCGTGGAATACCGCTTCCCCGTGGGGACGGAAGCAAAATCAGGGTACTTCATTGCATTGGGTTGTAAATAAATAAACTAATCTTTGGACTGACCTCTGTTGGCCTCGGAAAGCAAAGACGGCAGTTGAAGGGAGAGCCCGCCCACCTCAACCAGAATACTCTCCACCTACGCTAATTCACGCTACGAACTGCCAAGAATAGAGAGGTAATATTGGAAAGCACTAGCTAGATCGTTCATGTTCATGGTCGAGCTCGCACGGTCTCGGGGGATATTGACGCGAGACACTCTCAGCGTGTCTCGGACGTTCACAGACAAATCCCGTCACTTCCCCCCAACAATTGTGGTATCCCACAGCGGAAAGGGGAGCATCAGCGTCGCTTAGCCTCTAACTCCATTGCCACCGTTGAAGCCGAAAATGCAAGTTCTGCGATGTGGAATCCACGGCTTTCATGAAGTGCTAGGCATTGATGTGGACGAGATTCGCTTTTATTGGACGATTGAAACCGATGATAAGCATGCATCACAACTTGCCTACCGGGTGGTGCTGAGCACCGATGAGGCCGCTGTGCAAGGAGATGCGATCGTTGAGTCGAAGCTGGCCTGGGATTCAGGTCGGGTGATGAGCAATGAGCAACGTAACATCATCTGCAAGCCCGATAATGGCTTCCAGTCGACTTGCAGCTATTACTGGCGAGTGACCCTCTGGGATCAGTCAGAGCGACCGCATCATAGCGCCGTCAATCACTTCTTCACAGCCTACCCCCGATCGCACCTGCTGCCTCCCTATAGCATGAATCAGACCTACATGCCGCATACCAGTCTCATTTTTCGCTCCTGGTTCGAGGACGAGCCGAACCGATGGAAAGCCGTGTGGATTGGTGACGGCGGCGACAAACCAATTTACCTTCGCAAGGCCTTCGATTTGGCCCAGCCGCCAGCCCGTGCCATTATGTTTGCCTCCGGCCTTGGACACTTCAACATGACTGTCAATGGCTCCCCAGCGTCAGACCACCGGCTGGACCCCGGTTGGACCAACTACCATCGTCGGGTGCAATTCACAGCCTACGATGTGACGGCCCAGCTGCAGACAGGCGCCAATGTGCTGGGCGCTCACCTCGGCAATGGTTTCTACGCGGGCGACAAGGGGGAAGATCGCTTTTTCTGGCCAATGTACGAAGACAACACTTATGTCCGCTATGGCAACGAGCTCTGCTTTTTCAGTGAACTGCATCTCTTCTACCCCGACGGC